AGGCTGCCTGTTCAATGTCGACGATGTTTTATTATTTCGCGTTGTTTATTGCGGCGCGAATATGAAAAGCAAATGCCAACACTGTTTTGACTCGAGCGCGCAGCGACGTGAATAGAGCGTCTGCTTGTCGTTTCAATTACGCCAATATTCTGCAGTGAAACTTCATTCTGTTACGACGTACTTAAGCAAACACACATAGTCCGTTAATGGAAGCCATACCTCGTTCACATGGCCGTTGCAAAAACGAATGCCAAATACGAGGACCTGTGCGATTCCAATCTGCGCTTGACTATTACTCCATTCTTGTATGTGTTTGTGTTGCATAAAACATGGGCACATTGGCACAGCACTTGAATTCGGCCGACACTGCGCAGGACTTGGGCTGCCAGCCTGTGCGGAAGTATACTTCCTGTGATATTTTTAACAATCGAAATGCACGATGCAGCTTTTATGTCGGATTGAGAATCGAATTACGTTTCTCTGATGCGTACTGTTCATCTATTATCGGTTTCCCGAGCAATTCCTTTAATTTTTTTTGCTATGCACAATTGAGTGTGTTCGATTATTAACGTTTCTCTATTGTTGAATATGCAATAGCGCCGTAAATTGACTGCCTCGCAGTTGAAATATAAGATGACGAATGATTAAGCAATGCGCGTTTGCAATTAAAATATTTCATGTATGAGAAAGCCACGATTTGTTGGTTAGTTACTGGATTTGCAAACATTTCAAGTAAAACAGCGTCTCCCCGCTTTGCAATCACTATGAAAATATTTACAAATTCCAAAGAAAACAACTTTGATGTTTCATATCGGTGTTTGAATATTTGCATTGGAATGAAATCATAAAAGCTTTGGACTAAAGGGAAGGATATTAATTTGTAGCGAATTATATAATATCTGCAATAGAAGTCATTTCATATTTTAACTATTCATTGTGTTTGTTTAGTGCCTTTGAAATGTGTCATTCTTATTAATATACTCGTTGCATAAACATTTACATTTTTATGATACCTTCTCATAATTACTAATTTCTGGTGTCTAGAGCTCACTTAGCAATGGTAAATCTATTCATATTCCAATATCAGCTGGCTACAAAACAAAAGCACAAGTATCTGTATTAATTTGATTTAATATATTTATCAAGATTTCAAAACAATAGATGATTGCAATATTACATACATCCCAAGCGCATAAACAATGTAGTTATTTACGTCGTCATCCTAACCGTTTGAAAATTATGAACGAATATTGTGCTACTAAATTTTATCGTCGGGACAATTCTTTATTGAAGAACGCCAAATATTTGGGTATTAGCTTTACACTTTTGTTGCAACTTAAAACAAACAATAATAACATCTAAGTACTAATAAGCAATAAATGTTTTGGTTGCGATTCATAGAAATTAGACATTTCCTATGCAATAAATGCGCATATTTAGGTGCGCCATTATTGGTTCATGTCGGAATTCAAATAACGGCGGTCTCCCAATATACTAAAAGCAAAATCCATATCACGCGAACCAACTGCATAATGAACCAAACACATTGACATGCTATAATTGGAATAGCTGAAATTTGAATCTCCAATATTGATATTTGAGATTGTTAGCGTAATTATGTATATTTAACTTTGTACTTGTATAAACTAATGTGCTTCAAGGGCTTCTTTATTAAGACTTGCCGAATATTTAGCTAGAGTTCGTCTCGATTTGTGGCCGTCCACGCTTCGTTCTGCCGGATATACCGACCACTTACTTAATCATTCTTACAATTGATAGTTGGTTGCTTGCTATTAAACGACATTAATTTGTAAGTGTGCCTCGCGAAGTCATTGATTAAGCTTCAACTTGAGTTGTGCTTAGCTATAGTCGGCGGATATTGCGGTTATGAATTAATCATTATTCATTTTCTTGTAAATTTGATATTATGTGACCGACGTGTGAATAAGGTTTTTTTTTTTACATATTGCAATTTTAGATGAGTTTTACATTAGCTGCAATGTCATTGTTTTGTACTAGTCAAGGTTTTCCCCACGGCTGAAAAGACCGCAAGATATTTTCGTATAACAGTAAATAAATTAGTAAATAAAACTATTTGAATGATGCGCGATTGGTAACAGTGCTGACTCATCAATCAGATGTTCAACGTACTTGACATATTTTCCTTTTCAGTAAAAGTGTAAACAACATTTCATTGTGTGGCAGCTTGCATTGAATGCCCGCTCTATTTTGATAACTAAATTCCGAAATATGAAACACTATCTGATATAATTTTCACTCTTGCTTTAATGATCGCAATAGTGGAAAACCCATCTCGAAATGATAAAGCTAGTTTAAAGTGCATACATTATGTGAAAAATATTTGGATAGCCAGTCAATGGCACACATCATACTGGACATTTATTTGCTTTTCCTGCGTTTGTTAGTCGTTTACGTATTTTGGTGCCTAGGATTAAAAACAACGTATAAATATTTTTTTTCCGCGTTCTGGATATAATCATTATTTGATTAATTGTAATTATCTCTCGAATGATAGCTCCAGTCGCAGTTAATGCTGGCGGAAAGCTTGTTTGATATTTGTAAGTGGGTTTTTATTTTCGTGTTGAACATACATTTTATATCTAGAAAGTCTTCCACGGTTGCAGGCTTTAAATACACATGCAAATAAATAAAAAACTGTTTATTTGTCGACGCAACATGTGGCAAAAAGATTTTTCGCTTTGTGGAATAGAAACCACAGAACGATCCAGCATCAACGGATGCGATCCTTATTTTTTAGTATCTACGCACAACAGATTGTTTTTGCATTCGCGTTTTGGTGGTTTTCGTTTAGTCGTAGCCAAACCGTTCGATCGTGCAGTGGATTTAGCAAACACTTACTCATTGCAAAATTACCGCATAATCGGCAAATTAATATTTCTATTGAACATTGCACATTAATGCCTGGTTTATTGGTGACACGGTTTTAAATTATGATCCTATCTGAGCAATATATATAAATCGATTGAGTCGACCTCGGAGTACATATTACATATAAAACAATCTCCTTATCAAGCGAATGTGTGTGCGTGTTGGAAGATGGTGGTGCTACATCAAATTATTCGAAATTCTCAAAGTTATTAAATTTTATTTAGTTTGTAAAAGTGCACAAAATGTGGTCGAAACAAGCCGATGGCCGTAACAAGCATATCAACACTGGGAACCCGTGCAAAACTAACTCGTCTAAGTCCCAAAGGAAGCGTAAGACGGATAAAAAATGCGATAGCAGCACGACGCCGACACAGCCTCAACACACCTCGAAGAAAAGTGTGACCAAGCAAACGAGCAGCAATAAGCCCTCGACGAAGGCCGGCAAGCGTGACCAACATAATACTAGTATCGATGTTGTGGATCATAAGGCGCCTGATCTAATTGAAGACATCAAAGAGAGTTGTAAACTGGGCGATGATCAAATCGATGTCTCAAAGGAGCCTGTGGCACCGCTAATAACTCAATATGACGACGACGCAACTGCAGATGTTGTGCTGAGAAAGAAAAATGACGATGCAACGCCTCCCGTGGATCCATTAAAACGATACAGTGACAGCATGGTGAATGACAATTTTGTGAATGGCAATACTGAGTGTGTCAATAAATTCACACTACCGCGCGCGCATAGTGGATTTTTTCTGCTAAGTTCGTCAAAAGACAGAGAGTCTGATCCCAAAGAGAAGAAGCGGCGGTTTAGTGATTTATTCAGACACACGTTGGGGAAAGGCTCAACAGACGAGCCTGACGCAAAGATGGCCGAATTTAGCATTAACGAGGTTGGAAAGGTCACCGTGCTGGACGGAAACGACAAGAAATCGAATAAGAAAGCCGTCAAACGGTCAGATTCGAAATTGCAGAAACCTAAAACAAACAAGCCCACCGAGACTAAAATTGCTGGTGATACTACGCCGAATTCCGTACTCAAACGTGTCCGAAGTCGGATTTACAAGACGAAAACAGAAAATTGTGTGAGCATAGTCCCTTCCATGCCGGACATTAGGGAACAGAAAGAGAAAAAGTCAAAGAAATCGGGGTCTAAGGATGGAACTGCAGTGGTAGACAAAAAAGGCTTTGATTTTCGCTTACTTAGACAATCCTCAAATTTGGAATTTACTAGGACGCGTCCGTATTGCGTGTCAGTAACGCCCAAAAAAGCTCCTATTAATGATGTTATCATGGTTCCCGATGAAAAGCCAATTTTGGCAAAATCCAAATCAAGCAGCGCCATCAATTTAAGTCTGTTGCGCACCCGACGAAAACTGGTGGATAGCAAGAAGCATTCCAGCAACACCAAGTCCGTTGAAGACGAGTTTGACTTTATGGCTTACGAGAATAATTACAAGAACTCTAAAGTTTCGCTGCTGAAAAGTTTTGGATCTCAAGAATACATCAATAGGTTAAACAATAATGTGGCCAACGCTTATATTAATAACATGAATAGGAGGACAAGTTGTATTCCGAGTGTCAATATTACAGGTAATTTACACTGTATTTTCCACGCGACATGAGCAGTACAATGACCTATCGACTTTGTCATGTTGGCTGGTTGAGGGTATGAGCAAACTTTCGGCACGACAAATTGGATACAGTCTACTGCAAGCAATTTAGCAGTTTTTGACGTGCTCGGCGTCAGGTCAAGTTGCGAATGCACCTGCATGATGCGATTACGACAATAATTAGGAGCATACATTAAAATATCATTTACAGACCCAAATAAACACGGATTAAAAACGCGTCGAATCAATCTCATAAAAATGAAAGATTAAAGCATGAATCATTCATACTTTATGAATTGTTTATTGTAAAATCTATATTACAGCTAGTTAGAAAATTAAGAACACATGTGAAAACATTATGAGTCATGAGTCTCACCTACGGATTCTAGCTTGATATTAGCACACCTGCCTTACTAATATGTATATTAATAGCATTTTTGACACGAATGTAATCATTCTTTTTTTGCGCTGCAGAATCAAAGCCTGGAAATCCGGTGACGCGGACTCCTTCGGATAGACGTCCAGACGCATTTCGTGAGGAATCCAGAGATGTTGACATGCAAGGACAAGGTGATGTCGAAAACGATAACGCTCCCTTCAGAAGGTACGTAAATTCTACGTAAATTTTAACACATCTGCGAAACTTATTGATAAAATATATATCTATATATATATTGCGCAATAAACATGTACTGACTGACTGTACTATCTAAATTTCTATACGTGAGTGCGTATTTTTTTTTCATAAAGTTATCGTTGGCGTTTATGATAACAATATGATATTCCGACATCAATTGGGTGCAGTCGTATACAGTCCACAAAAGTAATCTGATGGCCACGTTATCGTGATACTTCTAAATAATTTGCATAGCGTTGTGCTGTGAGTACCATTCATGATGGATAGTGATCATTTGTTCACTTTTCGGAAATACTCGAAGAATTTAAAGATGCGTAAAAGGTGCTACAAATTGGTGCATTTTATATATCAATCATGTTTGTGATATTGTGTGTAATTCGTGACTCATTGAAAGAAAACTAAACGTCAGTCAACCATATTTTTAAAAAGTCAGTGATTATTTGTTAGTGAATTACTTTTTTTCTTTTCTAGTTCGGTGGTTATTCTACCCGGTTCCACAACTGGAAACAAACAAAGACAAAACAACCACATCAACCGATCGGAGAGTGTTAAGGAGCATTCAGAGAAGGTACGAATTATTGCAAAACACACAATCATTTAGTTCAACTTTTTCTGGCTCATTTTTGACCGAAAGGCAAGGATACAGTTATATCATTGTAATTTCTATTCTATTCTCTCAATTGAAGTCGATTGCCTCTCTTATTTTACGTTCAAGCAGTATGTAAAAATCTTCCTCATTCAAGTCGTCATTTGAGTCAGCCAAGACCAGAGCTAAAATTATAAGTTTCACATGGTTCAGTCATCTTTTTTAAATTTTAACTTACCGAGAAGCAAAAACAGCATGCCACAAAAAATTAACGTTTCCATCGTAAACGATACACTCAATTAAGAAAAATTCTTGTTTTAAACAATATTTATGCAAATCCCATGCAAATTATTGGTTTTTTGATAAGAATTGCCCAACAATGTAAGTGCAAACATTTAGATTAACAAAACACATACTTGACAGCCATCAACTGCAACAAATAATTATGACGTACGATGGAAATATACATTAAGAAATAATTCTGCACGTGAAAAAATAATTATTGCAAAACAGGAGAAATATTACAAATGGTTCGATGCATTTTTAAAATCAGTCTAAGATATCATCTACATTTGTATATTTTCTTTAAATCAAGGAAGCGCACATATTAACATCTGGCCTGCAATCTTATGCACTCAAAAAGTTTCGCTGTAACTCTGATATTTGACTGACATTTGATTTACTACTGATCGGTATATGAAAGATGGCTTTTAACATTTACGCATTATGTAGAAAAATATGTTAAAACATTGCCTGCCAAGGCATTATATGTATTGTTTTTCACTGTATTATAGAATATTTTTAAATTATATATATTTTTTGTTTCAGAATCGTAAACAAAAAAGGAATGTCAGCGATCCGTTACGCTCCGGGTGAGTTGCGTTTATTTACGAAATTTTGAAACGGTTGATTTTCAGGCTGCGTGTGCGCTTTTCCTGCCGCCACCGTTGCCAATGTCGTGTAGCCTGTATATCCTGAACTTTGCCGGCAGTCTAACAGACAGTTGCATCGACAATTTTCGTGCAGACGCGTTCTCGGCGCTTGTTCTATGTGCGGAGAAGACTAGTTCAAACACACGCCTCCGTTATGTGTACACTGTAGGCACACGGGTGAATTTGGCGTGTGTTTAGTGCATTTTGGCATGGTGCGGTGAAAGGCGAAGGTGAAAACACGCTTGCGCTTTACAGTCCACCACCTACCATCCCCCATATAGATCGCCTCCCTGGCGAACTTCACAACACCCGCCGCCTGCCAACCTCGACGGGAATCCGCTTAATGTTCGCACAAAATCGCGACCGTAAACAATATGTACTTCTTAGTCAATCTAATTGTACCATTACGCAGTAACTAATTATCGATAAATGTTAATACGGCCGAATCAAAGTGATGCACGACGCGTAGTTTCCGAGAATCGCTGTTTTTTGTGTGTATATTTGACTTACTGATATGATGGAATGTGCCAGCATTAATAACAATTCTCATCATGATGGAGCGCGTAAATCCTCATTCCAAGAAAGGTACATACACCATATGTCCTATGTATGGTTATTTTGCGCAATCAAAGCATGCAATTTACTCGCGAAAACAAATTTCGCTGTAGTCTTCCTTCCTTATAATTAGCTCGCGCGTCTGTAAAATTAAACACGGCATGATCATTTTCTCTAGAGACGCTTATTGCTTCATTGACTAAGACGCCTCAACAACGCTTTACGGCCCCGTTAAAATGAACTTGGATGAAACCTATTTTTGAGTAATCAATCATTAAGTGTCTAGCAAGTAATTTTAAAATCACTGAGACGTTTTCAGTGTTGTTGGTTTTTTTTTTATCTGACTGATAAAACGTTGATTTGTAATCACAAAATTGGCAGCGTTTTGGTACGTGGATAAGCGGCTCGTACATTTTACACTCAATATTAATTAGATATTTGCCTGACTATGTCTTATTCCCGCAGTGAGGTGTTGACTTTCAACGATTCAACGGGTACTTTTCAAGAGCGTTCCGGCAGTTCTTCGAATAGTAGTATAAGTTCAAGGTAACGTGAATGCAAGTAATTACATAATCTTTATATATTATTAACGATGCGACATTCGTTACAGATCGCTCGATAACTTCAGCAACCACGAAGATGATAGCGATTTGGACGTGGAGCCTGATCCACCAGACTGGAAGAGTTCGCTTACTGAAGAAGAATTATCCGGACTACATACGAAGGAAAAGGCTAGACAAGATGTTATTAATGGTGAGGTGTTAAAATTTGTTTTGCGTTTACTTTTACTAAAATGTTTCATTACAGAATTGTTCCACACTGAACGTACTCATGTTCGAAACTTGAAAGTTCTTGATCAGGTGTTTCGGAAGCATATTGCCGATACAAAGGTGATCACTGAACATGAACAAAACCTAGTCTTTGCTAATTTGCCGGAGGTATTGCTCGTTCATAATCAATTCAACTTGGCGATGAAGAAGAAACGCGCCGAGCAAGCAGTAGTGCCTGATATTGGCGACCTTTTAGTTGGATTGGTATGTCATAACGTGCTCTTCTCATATTGTTACGTTGTTTGATTGTTGCGACTTCTTTTACAGTTCGATGGTGAACTGGGTAATAAGTTCTGCTTGGCCGTCTCTCGTTTCTGCGAGAAGCAGCAGCAGGCACTTGAACTAATTTCCGAGAAACGCAAGCGTGATTCGAAATTCGAGAGTGTCCTTGCATCTTGCGAGAAGAACAATCTTTGCAGACGTCTGCCGCTGCAGGGACTTATTCCACAAGAAATGCAAAGGACTACAAAGTACAAACTACTAGTGGAACGACTGATCGATATTCAGGAAAGCTTAATGCGTGTGAACCCTGAGTTGAGTGCCGTCGAACTTGACAATTTGAAGGTGGCGTTTAACAAAATCAAGGGTATTCTGCACACAGCGAACGAGGCAGCCGCGGCAGCGTACAATCAATACAGACTGGATGATATTAAAAATCACCTGGACGTCCCCAGTGATATTAGGGTATGTCAAACGAATATTTTCAAGCATTGTAATTGCACTGGGAGTTATAAAATGTTTTATAAACAATTTTTGATTTTTGTATTTTCAGACTTGTGACTGGATTCTAGTACGCGAAGGAACGGTGAATTTAAAAAGACAGAACAAAACTGTTCCGGTACACATGTTATTATTAAAAGACTCTGTGATACTACTACACAAAGAAGGAGATCGTTTTGCATGGAAAAGCTTCCACACGAATAATACGTGGCAATCGCCTTTCATTAAGCTTTCCGGATTGATTTGTCGGCCTAATGCAGCTGGTAATGACAGCAAACTTTATTCTATCATCGATTGTTAAATATTTATTTATTTTTCAGATATGACCTGTTTATTTCTTCTCAGTAATTCACTGTCAAACAGCCAAATGTATGAAATACAGTGTAGTGACGAAACCGAGCGAAAATCGTGAGTAAAATTTATTACTTCATTAGTTTAAGACGTTCAGAAAAGGAATTATGTTCCACTGTTAAGTTTTAATGCATTCGTTTTTTCTTCTGGTCTAATTTGAATGGTCTTTATTTAGAAACTAGGTCGGTTGCACCAGTTTCTAATGGTTTTCATTTTAATAACATTGATGCAAACCTAATAGACTTACATTGCGTTCCTCGACGCTAATAATGAATTAATAGCACAAAATTACACAATGCAGCGGAACTATATTTAAAAGAAAGCGTACCACCGTGAATATATACACTGGCAGAGTATTGTCGAATTTGTAATTTATTTGCGCTGCGGTTTCCAGTGATGAAATACTAAAAAGAAGCTACGATTGCGATTCGCCAAACGATAATATTTGTGCTGGGGCGAGCAACGTAATGGTTTTTTGGAATTCTTTTGAGCAGCCGGCAGAACAAACTTTGCTTGCCTTCTTACTCTTCCTGTTTATTTATCTATTTTTTCGATATCTTTTAGAGGTAATATATCAGTTGGCAAAGTGGCAAATTAAAATGATTTTGTTTAGATTATTTGGCGCAACCTTTCAAAGTACTGACTACCGCATATTTGTTGCTTTAAGATTATGAACCAAGGCTTTTTCTTTATGAGTAATCAACAGAGCAAACTACTTGCGCGAGAGTAAGCACCACGCAAGTACGCACTTTCCTCCTGTGCGAAATCCAAGCTTCGCGAAGTGGACGCGCGAATATTTGTCCACATCAGTCTGTGCTCCTTACGCGGTGACGGGTGCAATTCAATGTTGTGCGGCTCTAGTTTTGCTGGTTTCTGCGCTTTTTTAAGAATACGCGTGTCGAAATTATTTCGCTGGCACCTACATTCATAGCGTCGTTTCGGCTTTATTTTTTTTATAAATAATAAGATGCCGTAAATTCTCATGGGATTTTATTATACGTATTTTAAATCTGAATATTCATTAGTATTCATCTAATCCCACTCGACGGTTTTATTACAGTGGATTTTTTAGTTCACTTCGTTTCAGCTAAACGAAGAGCAAAGTTGGTTCTGAATAACAATAATATAAAATGTGTAATTAATTAAATAATTGATGTGCGTTAGTGAAAATCGATTTTCTACATATGGACGTCAATCGCTAATATTTAATGGATCCAATAATTTAGTGACCCCCTAATAATAGGAAAGCTTTAATGAAATCGATTATTTGCTCAAAATAATTATTTGTATTCGGTCGTCGTTGGTAACTGCTTACTGTGTTGATATCAACATTATTGTAGACACCAATGAAGTATTTTTTGTTTAGAAATACATACGAATTGTGCAGTTCAGTGAAACATAATTGATGTAAAGTGACAGCCCAGTGAAACATTCTGAACACAGTATAACAAAAACAATTTAATTATTATGTAAATTAAGTTGGTCTAAAAAAAGTGAACTATAAATATTCGAATACAACACACACCACAAACATGTTGAATACTTCTCGGTTATAGCTAAATCATGCCATTTTCAAATTTTGTTGAATTGTTGCATGCATTTGGTTCGCTAAAGTTTCTTATTTAAACAGCAAAAAAACATATTAAGTTACACTTATAATGCGAAGCGGAACTACGTGTTTAGTCGTATAAACTTTCAGTGAGGTGTTTATGAATAGTGACTGTTGAGAAAACATGCTAACATTATATTTAACTTTTGCCATAAATAAAATAATAAATTTAAAGTGGCTGCAAAACTAACTGACGGACAAAATTGGAAACTACTTCTGAAAGTTGGGAGTATATGAGCCGATTTGATGATTTGTGCACATATTTACAAAATGTCGTGATTTACTTGATTAAACAATCGATAGTTAAATAACGTTAATAATGTGCGTGCGTTTGCAGTCCTATTATTTAAAAATGTATTGTAACGAATATTTTTGATGACTCTTAATAACATCCAAAGCTGTGCGCGCCGCTGTTAATGCATTTTTAATTGAATGTGGTTATTGCAGTATTGTGCGAAACTTTATCGTCTTTTCTATATTGCGTGTCAGTGGGTGTCACTTTGATTGAAGCGAAATGTCGCAAAGGCGCAAGTCACTTACATTAGATGATAGTAAACAATTGTTGGCTGCTGTACAACGCCGTGGCAGCTTGAATGTGCCTTGCGGAGCGAGGCTTTTACCAAATAGTAGTGGCAATGAAAAACGACGAGGAAGTGTCATTGTCAGGTATATCGTCGCATTACTACTACTAATAGAAACTGAATTTATGTATTATGCATTCGGAAACAAAAATTTCATTTGAAAAATAAGTACATGCTTCTATTATGCGCTCTTAATGTAATTTATTTTAGCAACTGTATTTTCTTGCGCGATGGGTATTTGAACGGTGGAATGGTCGATCAAAAACAAAATTAACGTGTTTGTTTGAATCAAAATGTCTTTAATCCAGACGCTTTCTAAACATACGAAACATTCAAGAGCCAGCCGGCTTCAGATGCTGCTGATCATATTGCCTCTCAATACGAACGTATAGATTATCGGGCGCGTAGACGAATAATGTGCGCGCTAGTACGCTAAAAATAGTTTTTACCAAACAATCTGCTTTTGGTGGACACGGGTGTGAAACATAAATGCGCAGTTGCTTGCTGAAAATGTTCAATAATGTGAAGTATGATTTGTCAGCACGTGTGATTAATTTTAAAAAATATAGCTGCTCTCAATAATTTTTAAAATTTGACTTGTTTCAGATGGTTTAAATACTTAGCTGATGCCAGCGAGCCGTTTAAGTCCAAAGATGGCAAGAACAAACGCGCCGAACGGAATCATGACGCCGGAGAAGAAGCGCCTCAAGAGTTGTCAGCGCCTAAACCAGAATCCCTCGAACAGACTGAGCCGATTAGCGAGGCCGAATTGGCAACAAGCAGCGGGAGCAGTCAGCGAAACAGTGCCGCCTTGGAGGAGGATGCAATAGACAAGTCTGTAGCACCAGAAGGCGACGCGGCCACTTCTGTCGTTCACTCAGGTACTACTATTTGTGATTTATGTTGTTAACTCTTAACTAGCACATTGGGCGTGTGTTCTGTGTGTGCGTTTTTATGGTCCTAATGGTTTTTTTCAACGTTTTAGCGGGTGAGGGTGGTACTACGGTATTGACTGCCAATGATTGGCCTTTGATCGAACCTTCTGAGGTGCAGGTGGCCGAAACTTCTGTTCACACTGCTGAATCTATTCTGACTTCTTTAGGTAGCACTCAATGCTTTAGTTTTAAGCGAATGTCGACTAACTTCTTCTACTATATGTTTGCAGAGAAAATCAAACGGAAGGATGAGGAAGTAAAGAAAGCACTGGCTGACAAAGAAGTATTAGTCGCTGACCTATTGAGTATTCCTCGCGAGAATTATCGCGACATTGCCGATATGGTCGGCGAAAAGAAAACTGACGTAGAACCATGTGAACTGGTTTTGGCTTCTTTAAATCAAGGTAAGAATTCACAGCAAAAAATATTAAATTGTATGCCAACTGACGGTATTTTTATCGTTTTAGCGAACAAACTCATATCGGCTGTGAATGACTCAATGAACATAACAGATGCTGAGACTGTTGCTGCTACTGGCGGCAAACATCCATCGTGCAATAGCAACGAGCTGTCAGCGAAACAAAATCATGTGCCTTCCGTACCTGCATCTAAAATACAACCTATTGCCACCACACTTCAATCTCAGCTTACAAACTTACTGGTATGTAGTTGACGTTTGCTAAGATGTACTTTTTGATCATTATCTATTATACTTTCTCTATTTTAATTATTAGAGCTTAACGAAGCAAAGAGATGAAGAGATGGAGAAGATGCGGAAAGAATTACATCGGTTGAGGGAGCAATTGCACGAAAAGAGTAATTTACACGCTCCCCAACCCAATCAATATGATTCCGAAGAATCTGTTCATCATGAATCACAATCCGGGGACTTGGAAAGCATAGAAGTAAGTTGCGTAATGGGAATAAGAAATCTTGAATGTACGATGTGATTTTTATTACAGGAGAGTCCAATTGAGACTGAAACTACTTGAATGACAGAATTGCAAAAGTTTTGGAATTATGAAGATTGAATACACTGAATGGTCCTGCAATGCAGAAAGAGACATTTTGTATAAATGAAATTGTTTGTTATCAACTATTTAATTAAACGTAAGTTATTAATTTATATTCAAGATCGCGAAAAGAAGGAAAATTGTTATCACATACTTTCCCTGAATGATGAAAACAATGGAAAACCAAAACAAAATCAATTCTTGTGCCTGTGCCTGAACCATAACAGGTGGTTTCCTTAATAAGAGAATATTCATGAACGTTGTTCACATGAATACTATTACAATTTTTGATTTATTCATAAACAAGAAAAGTATTTATTTGTATTATCAACTACATACAGTAGGATGTATCTGGTGGTTGAATGACCCATATAGAGGAAATTATTTAGTAACTTTTTTTTTCAATCGTATTTACCGTCGCATTGAGCACATTCCACTCAAAAGTTAAACAAATGTTTTCATGACAAAGTAGGACGATTTTACAATCGAAGGGGCGGATATTTGGAGGAAATGCAATGGGTCATTTAATGTATTAGAAACTCATACTGTACGTGCAATAATAACGAACGCTTTTGATTCGTATGTTGTTCATTATTATAAATCGCTAATTATGTTGTTTATTATGTCTTGTCCGGTTCGTCATATACTTATCAAATGTACATACATATATTTAGCTATCTAAATGAGGAAGTTGGCGTAAGTATTATACAATATATGGATATATTTTTTTAAGATATCTTGTTAAAACAATAGATAGAATTTTGACTATGCAATCCGCATGTATGTATTATTTATTTAATTTACAACATTCAATATTATGTTAAAATATGTCATAATAATATTTATTTGAGGAATTACAATGTGTATATTTCGCCATTACCAGAGTTCGAACAACATTTCTTCTGTTCTTATTCTTATTGAGTGAACTGTCAACTACTTAATGGTTGTAGGTAAATGTTATTTTGTTCGGACTGAAACAATCCAGAAAAAAATAAAATATAGTTGTCAAATGCTATAACAAGATATGGGCTTTCTGTATTAACAGCTTTTCAATAACAAATATTGCATTTTATTGTGTCAGCATTTATAGAATATGTACACCTATTATAAAAAGCTTTGATTATGAGAGGGACAGGTTCATTCTATTTGAATTGCATATATATATATATAATGTTCTTGGCTCCTATGTGGAGCATAGAGCCTCACTAAGCGCCCTCCAACGGACTCTGTTTCGGGCAACCGCCTTTGCTTCGTTCCAGCCCATATTTTGGTTTCGGAGCTCCTCTATTGTGGATCTTCGCCAGGTATTGGCCGGTCTACCAACCCTTCTCTTCCCCTGTGGGTTCCATTCTAGCGCATTTCTGGCGATATCTCCGGCGTCTCTTCTCAAGATGTGCCCAATCCACCCCATTTTCTCTTGCGTATTTGATTTATAATGGGAGTTTCATCACATCGACGGTGCAACTCATCGTTGGAGATTGTCATTGGCCAGAATATGCGCAAGATCATTCTCAAGCACTTGTTTATGAAGGTTTGGAGTTTGTGTGTGCTTGAGCTCGTTGACCTCCATGTTTCGCATCCATATAAAAGGGTGGATTTTACATTTGTGCGGAATATGCGCAGTTTTGTTCTTAGTGTATAGACGCTTGACTTCCATACTGTGCTCAGCATTCTGAAGGATTGCTGGGCTTTCTTTATTCTGTTGTTTATATCTGCGTCGGTCCCCCCTTTTATGTCAATTATACTTCCTAGATATAGGAATTCCTTGACCTCTTCTATTTCCGTATTATCTATTTGGAGTTTTAAGGTGTTGTTTGTATTTATACGCATTTCTTTTGTTTTGGCAATATTTATTCTTAGGCCAATTTTACTTGCCTCCCTTGCTAATGTTGTTAGCTGTCGGCTCACGCCTTCGAACGTATGTGACATCAGGCAGATGTCGTCGGCGTAATCCAGGTCGCTGAGGTGCGAGGTTAGTGTCCAGCGCAACCCATCCCTGTTCTGGTCTACCTTTGCTAGTATGTAGTCTAAGGCGATGTTAAATAGTAATGGGGATATGACACATCCTTGTTTTACTCCTCTGTGTATCGTAAAACTTTCGCTTTTTCACCGTTGTGTAACACACTGCAGTTTGCATCAGTGTAGAGTTCTTGCAGGATGCTTATTATCTTTGTTGGTACACCTCGCGACTTAAGGATCCTCCATAAAGCGTCGTGGTTCAGGCTGTCGAATGCTTTCTCAAAGTCGATGAAGGCGATGAATAGTGGTGATCGCCATTCTACTGATTGCTCGATAATTATACGAAGGGTATTGATATGATCGATGCATGAGCGATTCGGCCGAAAACCTGCTTGGTTCGGGCGCAGGGTGTTTTCTATAGTTTCCGCTAATCTTGTTTGGACGATTTTCGCGATAATCTTATTAATTGTGTTTAATAGCGTTATGCCACGCCAGTTGTTACACTCGGTCAAGTTACCTTTTTTGGGAAGCTTGATGATTAGCCCTTCTTTCCACTTGGTCGGAATCTTGTTGTTGTTCCATGCTTCCTTAATACAGTGGTATAGTTCATTTGCCATCCATGTGGCGTTTACTTTTAGTAGTTCCGCTGGAACGTTATCAGCTCCTGCTGCTTTGTTGTTCTTAAGCGTCTTTATAGCTGCAGTTATCTCCGCGACTGAAGGCGGGTTCGAGTCAATGTTCAGTTGTCTACCTGGGTTATTCTCTGGCTCCCAGTTAATTGTTTCGTTTGCGCTGAGCATGTCGGAGAAATGTTCCCTCCATCTTTCGAGCTGCTTGTCTGACTCAACTAACAGGCGGCCGTTTTTTGACTTAATGAAGTGTGTGCGTGTAGAGTACTTATTGGCCAGTTTCTTTGTGAGGTTGTAAAGTTCTCTCGAGTTGTTGTTGAGCATTGCTTCTTCTGCTTGTCTGCAAATATCATCTATCCACCTGCGTTTGTCTCTTCTGGCTTCCCTTTTGACCTTTTGGCAAAGGCCTGTGTACTCTACCTGTGCCGCTGCCCTATATTCTTGCGAAAGATTTTGGAGTAGCAGGTGTTTTTTCCTCTTTCGGTCTTCTATCAGCAACCACGTGTTTTCGCTGATCCATTCTTTCCTTTGCCTGCTTTTCACTCCAATTGTTGTTTTGGCGACTTCAATGATGTTGTCGGCCATATTTTCCCATTTTGTGCTGATTTTTGGTTTATTGTCTCTTGCATTTTTCCTTGAAGGATTTTGCTATTTGTGGAATGCGTAGCTTCTCTATATTTAGTTTTATTCGTTTCATATCGGCTGGTTGCTTGGGTACTGCTAGTTTTATTCTCAATGTGCCAACTATTAGGTGGTGGTCACTGGCTACATCAGCACCTCTCTTGTTCCTCACATCGAGTAATGACGATCTCCATTTCCTAGAGATTGTGATATGATCGATTTGGTTGTGGGTTTTTGTCTGGCGAGACCCACGTTGTCTTGTGAATCTGTTTGTGGGGGAACAGCGTACCCCCTATTACCAGGTTCGCGTTGGAGCAGAACTGTGTGAAGTATGTGCCGTTTTCGTTAATCTGCCCAACGCCGTTTTTTCCCATAATTTCTTCCAAATTCTCGTTTTGAGCGCCTACTTTCGCATTAAGGTCGCCCATGAGAATTTTTATGTCACCGCTGTTTACGTCTTTTATAGTTTTCTCGAGGATGTCATAGAATTCATCTTTATCCTCTTTAGAAGCGTTATTGGTTGGGGCGTAACATTGGATAAAAGTTACTTTTCTGAACCTGGTGTAGAATCTTGCTGTTATTACTCTTTCGTTTATTGGTGTCCATGAGATTAGACTCTTTTTAGCATGTTTACTGAGTAGAAATCCTACACCGCTTTCGTGTTTTCCAGATTCATTACCACTAAAAAGTAGTCGTTCTCCACCTTGTGTGGGATGTTCTCCTTTCCCCAACCAACGTACTTCTGATATACCTAAAATATGTAGATTATATTTGAGAAATTCCTTAGTTACCTGCTGCAATTTGGAGCTCTCGTATAACGTTTGCACGTTCCAGCAGCCGAAACGTATCTTGTGTTTAGTATTAGCCAGGGTCGTCCTCGTATTATCCGTCCGGGTTTGCTTAGTTGAAGTTTCAGTAATAGGTTTGATTTAGGGTGAGTAGGTTATTAGCCTTCTGCACCCGAGTTTGGTGCTGGGGCTGCCAGCTGGAGCGTCCAAACCCGCCTCAGTGTACCTGGATGTTTGACGATGTTGTTGATGTCCCGCACTTGACGTGGTGAAAGTGAGGTTATACCGCCTCATATTCGGTCGCCAGAGCCTCGTTTGTCGAAATCAGGGCGCACCACGTGAAGGGAGGTTGGCAGTTGGCACCCACGGCCCTTGCGCCCCATTTGAATTGCATAGCGAATTATTATAATGAACGATATTCAATCTACATTTGTTAAATGTCTTTATACAAGGTAGTGAGTGACTGTATCATTAAACTTCTATAAAACGGTGTCTTGCTTTTATTGCTTTGTGATTTTACAGAATTTGGCCAGGAACAGTATTAAGTGGTTAAGTGGGTGTTTTAGTCACGAGATTAATAAAGAGCGAGTGTAGCTAGTGTTTAACAACGTTTAGCCACGCAATGCTTACACAATGTACGTCCACTCTATTTCTACGTTTAGGTTTTTGTATTTGAACTTTTGTATTTTAAATCATCGAAATTCGGTCGTACACTACTTGGATTTGAGGTTGTATGCCGTGCCGCGCGCCGAGCCATGCTTCGCTTTGTTTGACTAACGGCGCATTTCATATGGTATTGTGCTGCATCGTTGGCAAATGCGCAAGTGCAAGCTCCACCCCGCAACTAAAGCCCGTGAATAAAGTACTTTAGTTAAGTTTATCTACTTCCACTTTTAAAGCGCCAGTTTTTCCACGGTTTTTAGCCGTAAGGTCAATACAACTTATTGAATATACCAAAACGGAAACATTTATTTTGCATCAAGGTATGATCTCGCATTTCTTCAGCCATTTGAAAATTGTAAATAGTGTCTAAACGGTTAATTTTATCAAAAAAGATGTAGAATTAAATTATCTATTAGGTTTCCGATTTCAAATTTAATCGAAATTAATAATTCCATGCATAGTACGAGTACTATTCATGTTTTTATTCATGTTCTGCACTACCTCACTGAAAGTGTCAGTGTTTACAAACAAACTAGTTTTCCTTATCTCGTGCAATTCTTGTGCGATCGCCACGCGGTTGGCTTGTGTACCACGTTAGTCTCATTTTGTCGTCAGGTGATCTGCACGCACATTTTCTATATTATTCTTGAGTTTCTAAATGCTTCATCGATTGTGCACACGCGGATTGTACATACTCAGAGGTACAGCGTGAATGATGTACCGTCGGTCGCCAATACAACTTATTGGATATAACAAAACGCAAAAATTTATTTTGCATCAAGGTATGTTCTCGCATTTCTTCAGGCATTTGAAAATTAAATCCATTATTGACTTTACTTGTTTGCACTTTTCTAATTGTTTTACATGATTCAAAATAAAATTCTGATTTGTGCTTCAATTTTTAAATTTTGTATTTGGATTCTGAAAGTAAATTAAATTCTGAATGAAGTGACACAATTATAGATTAAAGCTATTGACATGTAAAAACTAATTTTTGTATTAAAATTGCAAATTGTATCAAACCCATTGACATTGATATACCTATCTATAAATAATAAAAGTATACAATACTACAATTATCTACCTGGTGTCCCCAACTAGATGTTTACGTCGGCTGACAATTCTCTTTCCTGCTTAGTCGGTCGTACGCGATGGCGTCGTGAGCACGAGTTTTGTTTGTGAGTCTCTCTTCATAGTTATTAATCGCGTTTCTTGAAATATTATTGTGATAGTGGCATGGTAGCCAATGAATTTGAGGATATGTGGCTTACAGTTATTGAATTGTCGCGCATAGAATCGGATATTGAGTGACTTATCCTAATATTTGTGGCTGCCGTCAGATACCGTTCCCTTGATAATATGTCAAATTGGTATTATTACTATTTATTTATTCAACGGTTAATTTGTTCAAATAAGCAACATATCTTACTAGAAATTATATGAAAAGTCTGTTGCTAGCGGAAGGACAATTAAGTGCGTGACGATAATGCAAATTAGACTTAACGTATTCATTAATTTTAATATTTATTTGTTCTTATTTATTGTGTAGTAACACAGCTATAGAAAATGGTTTCACCACAAGTTAAAGGAAAACAATTACAAAGTACTTTCTCTCCATATAAAAGACGCTCCAATAAAAGACAATTTAATGTTATATATGAAAGTTTATTTATTTTTGTATCCTCTTTATCGTTTTCAGGAATCGTTCAAAAATAACATTTGGTGTAATTTTTGTGTGCGCGTGACAAAATATAAGTGTTGTTCTTTTTAAAAACATGAATAAAAGTGCAACATTTATACCTGAAATAAATACAGTAAGATAAGTGAGCTCGATGGCTCAGGTGCATGTGCCTATACTTGCGTATCGGAGATTCATGGTTCGAATCCCAGTAAAGCAAGGATGTTTTCTTAAATATCAAAATAAATCTGAGTAATGTGGGTTGCATATTATACAACAGAGTTGAAATTCAAATGGAACTTCGAATTACAGCGAAGAACGAGGAAACGGAATACAGAGAAAGAGGAGAAGTCGGAAACAATACGAGTGCAGAAAGGAGTAGAGTAGTAGTAGGAGAACAAGAAAACAAGGTGGAGGAGCAAGCAGCAGCAGGAGTGAGAGTATAGGAGAAGTGAGAAGAGAAGAAGAAGAGTACAGGAAGAAAAGAGAATGGGGTGATAGAATTTTTAAATTTTTTGGCACGTGTCGTTATAAGACAGTCTACAGTTCCACTGCTTCGGTGCGTTCATTGCTCCCGGCCCATCCTACAGCTACGATGTCTCTGCGCTTCATCCCCGAAATACTCAGGCATATCAACAATTTTTATGGTGGGGGATCACCCCCAGAGAGAGGGAACTCCTTATAAGGACAATCCTTATAAGGTCTTGTTAAAATATATCTAAGTTTTAAGTCGCCTCAAGAGAGGAGACACTTAAAAATATACTAACAAGTTCTGACCTGTACCTGAAATGAGAGAAAGAGTACACAAATCATACAGGATACCTTAACCAGTTTTATAGTGGGGATCATCCTCTGAGAGAAGGAACTCTTCCTGAAATTATAGAGGGGATACACCAATCAAAGAAATCAATATATTTTACTGTTTCTCTTATAACAATAGAATACAATATTAAAAATATTTTTACAAGTTCTGGCCTGGACCTGAAATGATAGAAGGGGTGCACAATTGATGTCAGTCACAACCTCCTTTAATAATTCTTTATTTACAAATTCGATACAAGCATGTAAAATACATAGCAAATTCACCTCGCCATTTTGGAACAAGTCTTACGACCTGCATAATCGCACACATACAGACAAATACCAAATTATAAACACTAACACATAAGTACCGGAAAATAGCAATTTATCACGGAAAACTAATATACAGGGTGTTATAAAAAGAAAATCTAAAGTTTAAGAAAGAAAACACTCGAACACAAAAAATTGGTCAAGCATTGATTGGGAATCAAAGAAAACAAACATACAGGGGGTTGCCAAAAGATAATAACAATATTTAAAAAAAATTCTCAGATCAAGCAAAAAATATCAGGAATTAACAAGGTTGATCAACTTTTGGTAAAGGAGTAGGAAAATGAAATATATAGGGTGAAACAAGAAGCAAATCTCTACATACGAGTAGTGCGGATTGGTTTAATCCCGTAGACGTGTGGGTTGGACACGCGAAAAAAAAGTTTGCTCGTTTCGGGGTCGTTATGCCTCATGGAATTTTCCGCACATGAAAATACAATCGTGTTTTCGACCGTCAGCGTTCGGGAACGGGAAAACAATAAACGGCACATAATATTGCGCGAAGAGCCGATGCTGTGGAAGGATTTAGTTGGCTCGTAAACAATTTTCGCCGGGCCGGTGTACGAGGAGCATGCAGTCAAAGCATTCTCATCGTCTAGTCTTATCGTAGTTTATAGTTCGCCGGTATTAACAAGCTTTCAACTACCCACGTCTCGAGGCTGTTATACTCTACCACCCAAAGTGCAAACAAAGTGTCGTAACGACACCCGAATGATAAAAAATGGTTTAATTTCCTGGAAACAAGATTCTCTTCACACATAATGTGAAGCCCAACGATCATAAATGTTTGCACCTGCGTGATGTACAGTATTTTATAGATGCCTTCGTATAATAATAATACTCAAAATTCTCGAAGGAGAACATTGGTCAAATAAAAATGTTACAATTTTCATTATGGAAATGAAGGAAAATGCAAGAGACGACAACACAACAACAATGCCACTAAAAGATTATATTTGCGACGCAATCGCGAATTACATACATTTTTACGGATAGTAATTAATTGTCAAACTACTAGACGTATCAACGCGATTACAGAATAAAGATTGCAAAACAACAGAAAAATGTGAGATGAATAAAGATAATAAAACCAACTTTCTGCAGCGAGGCCAAAAATGTATCCGACGGCACGCGACAATATTAAACTATAACGATACTTTCACTACACGCGATTAAAAAGCAAAATGTAATAATGATGTAATAATATTTACAAACTTACCCCTGCATCGGGTAATCTAGGAATTCACTGAAACAAAAGAAAACATATGTGTAAGAACTCGCACTACTCTGCGTGCTAATTAAGTCCGTCCTGTCGGATAATAGACTTGCATTACAAGCAATATTTCGGATATAACAGAAAATGTTACATTCTGACGAGGACAGACGATGATTATACGTTCTGGTAATTGGCAGAAGTATGAATTTCAATTCATATTCTCAGCATCGAACTAATTCAATGGCCGACGGACCACTAACACACAAATGAAGACACGAGTTTTGTAAATGTTCAGCGTACAAATTAATAGCTAAACCCAATGCACATCTATGTTCATTAGGTGATGATTTTAATTCATAAAACGTAATACACTTCACTGAATTGAAATGAAAAGAAGAAAGGTGAACCGCCGCGTGCTGATAGGAACAGATTGAAACGATCGAACGATTGAACGTTCCTAGCGTGCACTCAGCATAGAACTGGTTCAAAGCGATAAAAAAGTTGTTTATACACAAACCCCGATAGAGGCAACATTAAGTTGTGTCAATATAACTATGCACTATTCTGCACACATCCACAAATTTCTATATAACTCACATTAAAGAATTATCTCGCAAGTAAATTTAAATACAGGGTGATAGAGACTTAAATTCTGCATCTGGAAAAGTTATTCCGAAAATATTTTCGAAATATTGAGACACCGTGTTTGCGTGTTATTCCAAAAGAACTACAACTACCCGACAAGTACTAGGGCGCACACACACAACTTTCAACATAACTCGCGTTACGGAATTATCTCGTAAGAAATTTAAACACAGGGTGATAAAAAAGACTTATACAGTTACCTTCTTATGGTGCCCTGAACACAAGTCACTTTAACAGGCACCCTCAAACGGGGCCCGGAATACGAGTTACTTTTACCACTACTTTTACCGAGATATGAGCCAATTTCCACGTCAAGACAAGAAAAATATTGAAAACTACCAAATTTTGAAGGCATTTTATAGGGTGTTCTCAGCCAAGTTCCAGAGGTGTCAAATGCGTATCATTTAAAGTGACTCTTCTTCTATAATAATAAAAAAATTACACCCCAACAACGCAAACCGAGATATGAGCCAATTTCCACGACAAAACATGAAAAATATTGAAAATTGCTTAATTTTGAGGGTGTTCCAGACCAAATTCGGGGGATGTTAAACTCATCATTTAAAATGACTCTTTTACTACAATAACAAAAAAAGAAAACCTCAACAACGCAAACCATTCCGGAGATATAAGCCAGTTTCCACGACAAAACATGATAAATTTTGAAAATTGTCCAAATTTAAAGCTAATTTTGGGGGTGTTCCCGGCCGAATTCGAGGGGTGTCAAATGCATATCGTTTAAAATGACTCTTCTTCTATAATAATAAAAAAAGAACGCCCTCAACAACGCAACCGTTCTCGAGATATGAAGCAATTTCCACGACGATACATGAAAAATATTGAAAATTACCTAGATTTGAAGCCAAAACATGAAACAAAACAAAAAACAAAACAAAACATGAAAAATATTAAAATTTGACTCCTTTTGATGCCAATTTTTAGGGTGTTCCCGGCGAAATTCGGGAGGTAATAAACGCGTATCGTTTAAAACGACTTTTCTTCTACAATAATAAGAAAGGAACACCCCAACAACGCACACCGTTCCCGAGATATGAAGCAATTTCCACGACAAAACATGAAAAATATTGATAATTACTTAGATTTAAAGCCAAGTTTGGGGGTGTTCCGAGTGAAATTTGAAGGGTGTTAAACGCGTATAGTTTAAAATGACTCTTTTTCTACAAAAACAAAAAAAGAACACCATCACAATGCAAACCGTTTCCGAGATATGAACGCATTTCCAAGACAAAACATGAAAAATATTGAAAATTACCTAGATTTGAAGCCAATTTTGAGGGTGTTCCCGGCCAAATTCGGAGGATGTTAAACGTGTAACGTTTAAATTGACTCTTCTTCTACAATAATAAAAAATGGGCACCCCAGCAGCGCAAACCGTTCCCGAGGTATGAGCCAATTTCCACGACAAAACAAGAAAAATATTGATAATTACCTAGATTTGAAGCCAACTTTGGGGGCGTTCCGGATTAAATTTGAAGGGTGTTAAATACGTATAGTTTAAAATGACTCTTTTGCTATAAAAGCAAAAAAAGAACACTACAACAATGCAAACAGTTTCCGAGATATGAGCCAATTTCCACGACAAAACTTGAAAAATATTGAAAAGTTACTAATTTTGATGCCAATTTTGAGAGTGTTCCCGGCCAAATTCGAGGGGTTTTAAACGCGTATCGTTTAAAATTACTCTTCTTCTACAATAATAAGAAATGAACACCCCAACAACGCAAACTGTTCTAGAGAAATGAAGCAATTTCCACGACAAGACATGAAAAATATTAAAAAATACCTGTATTTGAGTCCAAATTTTGGGAGTGTTCCCGGTGAAATTTGGGAGGTGTTAAATGCGTATCGTTTAAAATGACTCTTTTTCTACAATAACATAAAAAGAACACCCCAACAGCGCAAACCGTTCCCGAGATATGAAGCAATTTCCACAACGAGACATGAAAAATATGGAAAATTACCTAGATTTGAATCCAATTTTGTGGGTGTCCCCGGCCGAATTCCGGAGGCGGCAAAGTTGTCTCATATAAAATGACTCTTCCTCTACAAGACTAAGAAGAAAACCAATTTCCAGGATGAAACATGAACAATATTGAAAACTAGGCGTTACCTGGATTTTATTGCATCGTGTTCAATTGAATAATCTGTAAATTGAAAATCACGCGGTGGCCGTCGGACGACGGCAGGTCACGCGCGCACAAATTGAAGATCGCCTCAGAAACACGCTTAAGAGTACACACGACATTACGAAAACTCGATAGGTACACTTTTGTTACCGCTAATTACTGGCGGTATGCGATTGTACTCGTATTAAGAAACAAAATTACCGAATTAAATTAAATACCTAAGCATCGTAACAAGCTGAGGCGCAACACACGAACCAACCGACGGTAAAAATGAACTGACCTCTTATCATTTAAGAATATACCTGCGTGCGCGCAGGAAGTAACATGCGCACGTCAAGGCTGAATATGAACAACGTAAATATAGATAAGACACTACTACACACAAGGCAAATCTATGAACGCGACGTAAAAGAACTCAAATGCAAAATTTTGTTACACCTAGCGCAGCGTGGCGACAATTTTGTTTTATAAATAAAAGTATTATTTATAAACATAAAAATGAAAGTGGAATAAAATAATTATTTTAAACGATGTCATTGATATAAAATTGCAAAGCGTTCCCGAGATATGAGCCGATTTCCACGATGAAACATAAGAAATAATGAAAATTGTCAAATTTTAAAGCCGATTTTGTGGGTGTTTCCGAGAGTTGCAATGGCGTGGTGTTAAAAATAAGTTTTCCCCTACAATTGATTGAATGATTTATCCACTATATAATTTTTTTATAAACTCACCAACATAACGCTCAATATCCGACGGTCGACGGAAACTCACTTGCAACAGATATGAACTGCACATTCCCGAAAGTTCCACTCGTTACAAATTGAAAACAAAACATAAAACGTGTCCATTGCCACTAAATGCACTTGATTGTTGATCGAATCCACCGCAATGTTCCAAATTATTTACAATTTAAACAAACAAGACGACTTGTGAAACGCGTATCGACTAACCTACCGTACAACAACGACTAATACTACGTAGAGAACATTTTAGCGACGACTAGCGACGATTTTACGAATTGTGCGCGATAAAAACTTGTTTGTATGCACTGATAAACACTGGTAAACGTTCAAAATAGTCACAGAGCCAAACATGACAAGTAAAGGTGACGTGCAAGTCTATCAACACCACCACCTAACCACATACACAGAAACATATCAGGATTTACAATTCGTCTTGAATATTTATGAATTAAGCTAGTGGACCCAACAGACTTCTGTCAAAAAGATTTGAAATGCTGCAAATGTTAAAACACTCCGAATTGTGTCACATGCAATACTTGTGATCATAGATAATTACACACTTTACACAAAACACGAAATGAAACAAAACACGAAATGAAACAATCAAACAAAAAATGAATCGAAGAAAGCTGCGGAATTTGTTTCGTTTATCAGTTGACAAAAGAAAACTCAGTAAGAAACACTTTGCGCAAAACACCATATAAAACAATTAATCAAAAATAAATCGAAGAAGGCTGCGGAATTTGTTTCGTTTATCAGTTGAAAAAGGGAAACTCAGCTTTTCCTCGTTTTCCTGGCAATTATTCAAATTTTTCTCGCCGTAAAAATCCTCCTTGGACTTTAACAAACATTAAAAAAACAGGAATTTGCCAAATTGATCTAGGCGTTGTTGAGTTATGCGGTTACCAACAGATTTTGCGATTCATTTTTATAGTACAAATGATTTCACAGTTGCACAGCTGCACAGTTGCTTGATTATTAGACTTTACTTATAATCAAATAAGGGATAAGTACGACATTTTATTCAAATAAAATACTCTTTTAAAATAAAACACACAATCCAAATCCTGTATTTATTTCCTGATTGTTAAAATATAAAGGGCACTTATAAATTCTGGAGAGTCATGAATCCTTTTTCCATTTATTGGGCGATGATATTACTTGCATGCTTTCTGCAAGTACGCGATTAAATCCTGTCTTTCACTGTCTTTTTTCAATCCGGCGAAGACCATTTTGGTACCCGGTATATACTTCTTGGGATCCTTCAAATAGGTGTCTAGTGTGTCCTTGCCCCAAACGATTCCTTTTTTCTTGTTTGCTTCTGTATACATAAATCCAGCAACTGATCCAGACTTTCTTCCAAATAACCCGTTTAAATTTGGTCCAACCTTATGCTTGCCACCAGCTTCAGTAGTGTGACATTGCGCACAAGATCTCATAAAGATCTTCTTCCCATTATCTGCATCCCCCATGGTGCTTTCATAAACATACGACGTTTATGAAAGCATATACTGGAATTTGACATTTATAGTATACAAGTTTGAACAAGTATTATTAACTCTCATTTCCATAGCAACGAAATGCAAATGTCACTAGTTTTAATTTCTCCTATCAAAGTTTACTGCAATTCATCAATGAATTGTTTTTTCATCTTTCCAACTAATTTACATTTTTTGCCAATCTTAATTAAAGGACTGCTTACAATATAAACTATGTATTTTAATAACTTTGTTTTAAATTAGACCAGGTATTTGTTAAAAGTACAACAAAACAAGTTTAGTAACGTTCAAAATAATTAATTTATTACAACGGTCAAATACATATTGAATGATACTTTTATTACTTCTGTGGTAAAAATGGTAGCATTAAACTTTTATAAAAAATAAAAATAACGTTCTACAAAACCAGCCTATCACAAATTTAAAAAGGACAATTTATAAGTATACTCACATTTAACGTTTTGTTTGCTTTAAATTATAATCAAGATTGCTTCAATTTGATTTCTCATATTTTAAAACCAGTAACACAATATATGTATTTTATTTACAACGTCAATATAATTTTCAAGAAAATTGCTTTTAACAGCTGTGAATTTGTTAATATTTGTGAATTTACCCAAATTTCCAAATATTTAACATGCGCAGTCGCAGTTGCAACGTTTAACGCGCTTTTGGCTCTTCGGCAACAATGCATCAACAGATCTTACAGATCTCGGATGGACAACTGTAAAAAATTAGATATGCATTCAAGTCTATTATACATAAGTCAATTGACCTGTTACTTACAGTGAGGACGTTGTTCCTCTGTAGCTTGGGCATGTGGTTCTTGTTCATCTGCCTCCTGCTGCATCATTGGGACGGGGATATCAACTGGCAAACCTCTTGCGTATGATTGTCTTCCGGTAATACCTTGTGCACCTTGACGTTGATGTTGCACAACTCTTACTTCCGGGTTTTCAGACTCTTCAGACATGTCTTGATGAGACACGGCAACAATTACATCGCGATTTGGAAGGCGATTGATTTGGGTGAGTACTTCTTCTGGAATCGGGATGCGGGCCATGCCTAAACCGCGTTGCAGTTCAATGCGGTGCAATGGTGTTGCTTGTTCTGATCTGAGCTCGTTGTTTTGGATTTCCTCTTGAGCTTCTTGTTGCAACTTTTGAGCAATAATTTGCTGGGCAATTTGGTGAAGGATTTGGTTTGGTGGTAACTGACTCTGAGCTTGTTGTTGCATCTGAGGTTGTTGTGGGTGATGCGGCATTAACATTGGATTTGGCATTGGTGGACGCATCGACTCCATAGGGTGCATAGACTGGGCTTGCATTGGCATGTGGGTGTGGAACTGTGCTGGTGGAATTGGAATCATTACCGGTTGGATCATGATTGTTTCTTCTTGGTCCTGATTATCAGGTTGTGCCCTAAAAGTTTTAACAAACATGAGAAATGCTTACTTTAGACCAAGCTTTGTTTGTTTTACAACCTTTGTTGTTGCTGTACGTTGCCGCTTTCACAGAAAATGGCAATTCTTTCACCGGTGACTCTTTCGTAATGCGGATCGGTCGTCAGATTCAATCCGAACGGCAGATTGACTGTTTTAGGTTGATGATCAACCACCTCCACAGCGTGTTTCTTCTCAACGACGCAATTCATTTTCGATCTTTGGTTATTCATCATAGCGCCAGCCAGGTCATCGAAGTCGATTGAAAGTGGTAACTTAATTTGTACTGGTTTGTCGTCCTCCTCGGAATCGTCGCTGCTATCACTGCTTTCGCTACTGTCGGAGCTATCTGATGATTCTTCCTGTGTTTGCGAATTGGCTGCGTTATTCTTGGTAGTTGCTTCCTTGGTTTCGGCCGTATCTAATTGCTCTTTAGTTTCCTGCTGCTGAGGTTCCTCCTATTAAATAAAAAGAGTTTACTTGATTAATATTGTAATAACATCGACTGTATTTATTCGGTGAGTACATCGCATCGCAGTTGCATCTAATCGGCTGTAGTCTCAATGACCTGCTTTTAAATACAAAGGAGTAAAGACCTCTCGCTTTCACCGATGCCCTAGTCACAGAAAGACGCGCATTTTAACGAATAACATGGTGATGTTTATTGCCAACCAGCTAGCGAACGTGCATCAGGCCAGAATTGAGTTTCATCGAATTGGTCATGTAAATATTAAAACTTTGATTGCAAACGTCTTATATTCCAACAGAGTTTGATTTTATTATGTCGAATTAAATTTAGGTACGCAAAAATGAATCAAGAAGATTGTTGTGGGAAAAATTTCAATTTGCCGTTTAACGAGTACCTATTAATGTTTACTTTATCATTCCAATTGCTTAGTAGGTATAATTTCTCACAATTATTAAATGCCTGCATAAGAAACTGCGACAGAATAAAATCATAGGTATATTACTCGACCGAGACAAAAGAGATTGCAGTTTTTTATTATTATTCCTGGTTTCATTTAACGTTTGTTTTTTGCATGTATTTAGATTTCTTAGTCTTTATTAATAAACCTAACAACAAGGTTGTAGCCAACCAACTCTCAACGTGCTTTTGAATACCTTCTCCAAGGTTTTTTTTAACTTCATAACGTCGGAGAAGTTTAACCTTGTTCAAATATTAAAAATCTTTTTGTTAGCTTTCTGAACACATCGTAATATTAATTTATCTTTAAACAAGATCATAAAACGTCTTTTAAACTTTACGTCTTTTAAACTTTAAACTATAAACTTGAGTTTAACTAAAGCTAGAAAGTTTATGTTCATTGTACGCTATCAATTTACCTGAACCAGTGCCTCGGGTTGTAGTGGTTGGTAGCGATCCATAGTTTCGGACAACAGCTGCAATTCCTGTTCCAAATGCCTGCAGGAAGCATTCGCAGTGATGTAAGCTGATGCTAAAATACATCCTCCAAGGATAAACGACACTAAAACCACGGTGACTGCGATGATCCTCGCCACTTGAACTGACGCAGCTTTAGGACGCTGGTAAGCCTGTAATAGAAAAAACTCAATGTTATTACGTTGTTACCATATAGGTATGTTTTTTACATATTTGCGTGCAACAGCATGTCATGACTTTTACTGCATACGAGCATATAATTACTAGAAAAGTACTAGTCATTTCTATTTTAAAATAAATAGCACATAGCTCTGTGCATCATTGCGTACGATTAGAAAACCAAATCAAATCAAATCCACGACTACATAAATATTTATTTAGAAATAATACTGGAGAGAGGAAAGCTACAAATGTAACAGCAAATTAACGTAAAATGGTAAAACGAAACAGACGAAAGCGTACAACCATAGTTCCGCTTCCTGATCATCGTGCGCTTGTGAACGAGTATACTTGGTGTTCTGACGTTTCGCATAAATAAACAAGCAAATATTAATTCTCCCACACGAATTGGCAGCATCATCAAACTATGACTTTATAATTTATATGAGGATTCGTTTAAATCCTTTCATACAAATATTTATATTGTTGTTTGTGTCAGGAAATTTTCTATTGTGAATGAAAGTACTCGTAGTTGTTAGAGCGCAAAATTTTTGTTAATGAACAAAACTTGCCTAAGTAGTGATTAAAAAATTGATGAATACATTTGGATTTATATATTGAATAAATTGACTAATTGATTTCAAATAATGTTATTTTCACTTTCATTATAGCAAAAAATGTAATCAATTACAAAATATAATACAATGAACAAGCGCAATGTTTATTCGTTGTTGTTGATGATACATCATGTATGTGTAGTGACGATTAGTGACAACTTATCTTTCCTTTCCTGCTATAATTAAGGAAGAGGAAAAATCATATGTACAATCAACTTTCATCGACTTTAAATAAACGTACGAGTATAATATGAACAAAGATTTGCAACGTCTTCTCTTTAAACCTAAAATCTAAAGTTGAATCAGAACACAACATGCATAAATAAATCGAAGAAAGTTGAATTGGCGCTATGATGACTTACGTAAGTTTATACCGTTTAAACCACAGCTCTTTTACGTTTTACGATTTTTCTTGCAATTTATACTAAGTGTGAAACTATGTTCGATGTGATTCGGTTACAAAAATGGTATGGGTGCATGTAGTGAAAACAACGAACCTTTTACAGGCGTAACGATTAAGAGAAACAAAGAATAACTGTTGGTACTAATTTGTTGTCACAACCGGTGTATCACGCTGCTTTCTTGAAGCGCACGTACCTCTTATTCATGCAACATGCATACTCGTGCATCAAATAAGGAAGACGCAAACCAGAAAAGAACCCACATAGAAACCCATCATGCATTTAGTGAAAGTGCAAAATGTTAACGGCACATGTATCGCCTCGCCTGTATTCGTCACGAGAAAAGTGCGACATGAAGATGGCAACTTTGTACAGCGGTAAGAGCCATTATTTGTCCCAGTGTTAAAAGCGCCTATTTGTCGTAAACCACTAAAATTAAGATAATTGCTTTCCTAATTGTAATCTTACGACTTGTCTTAACCATACAATAACCAAACAATACACAATAATAGAACAATGCGACAATTGGAACCTTGCAGCGTCGCAGAACCGGAATGCATTGGAACAGATGCGCTCCTAATACACCTACCGAGAAGGAACAATCGAATAACGAAATAAAAATACAATGGCGTTTACTTGCGCAACCGTACTGTGGTTGAGGTGTACGTGCTTTAAGATAGATGAAACACACACTATCCGACATGTTCGTCAGACAAGAATATCTTCTTCTTCTATCAAATGCTGAAATTTAATTTTCTGATTCAAGACTTCTTGGTGTTCATCATTGTGGTTGATGATGATGATGATGGGAACGTGACAATTGTTATGTCTTAACGTCCATGCTTACTTCTGAGTGATTTTCATTATTTTTAAAATTGCAGAGACCTATGTCTTATTTCATCATCATATTTCTAATATTTTTTATAAAATTTATTTAAGTTTGCAATCGAAAATAATTGTTAAATTATGTTAATAATTAAATTAAATTACCGTGATTAAAACTGTAAAGTTAGGCACAATAAAACAAATAAAATTCATTCATTTATTTGTTTATTCACACATGTATTCATTTACAGAATTTATCAATATTGATACCAATTTCTTTGTTAATAATAAATATTTTGAAAATATAAGCTTCAAATGCATGTAATATTAAACCGTGCCTTTCCTTCCAGCAGTGCGGCGATAGTTTATTGTGAATTTTTCCTGCGAAATCGCTCAACAATCCATTATTACTGCTTTGCAAATGGCTCCGCTCAAATTAATGCATAAATAAACACGCATATCCGTGTCTAGAAAGTTCCAAGCGCAAATAATTGAAAAGTTAATTTATAAATTTGCAGCTATATCTGCATTTATATTCATTTTTAACTCAAAATGATGGTAAAATATTGCAAAATTCAGAATGTTTCAGATGTTATTTTTATGGTGTCTAACTTTTCGAATATTAATTCGAAAATATAAATCAACGCGCACAAATATTTATTATGTAATTACCAGCAATATAATTATATAAAACAGTAGACACATAATTTCGGCATATGTATATAATTATAAAGAAATAAGTTATGATAGTTTATAGAAATATAAAACTTTCAAGTGAATTATTAATGTGTACTTTTACCTCCGGTTATCTACATAACAAATGTTACTTGATCTATTTTTATCGCAAGACAGCTCGACACCTACAAAACACAAATATTCCATGATCCATTAGATCATATATAAAATCGTATATATCTTCTTTGATTACATTGTAATAACATTGTTGCAAAATTAATGTTCACGATATCTGTAAAATGGTTTGTAAATGTTGATGGTTTCTTATGTTCATCATTGTAGACGTCGCTGCCTGATACAGGAATGATGAGTTTGTTTGTGATGAACAATCATAGGTACACTAGTAATAACGCTAATTTGTTGCTTGCGCGGTACGAAGGTTGTTCGTAAGTGTACAATTTTACTTATTGCTGCGCAACTACATTTAATTCCAATCGCATCGCGCCGCCTTCATAAATTTGTACAACATAAAAAAAACAAATCTCTGATTGATACAAACCATTAAAGAGCCACAATATGACGAGTATACAAATCAACGTCATTTTACCACTTAATTAAAAACTTGTCTGTGAAGCATGGGTTTTTCAAGCAAATTTTATTATTATTATTCACAGACGAATAAGCAAATAGTAAGTGTAAGTTTGGAATGTGTTGCTTGTTATGAGTTTTTTTTCTTAGTGATTACTAAAATGCACCTGCAGTAAAAAAAAGGGTTTTTAATTGTAATTATTAGAACATGAGATGAAAAGTAACGTTTTCACAGCCATGATACTAAGGTTTACACTTAGATGGTTCTTATCATGCTCCCACTAATATTAGCTCTTACGGAAGTGCCAAACAACCTGAACAATTGCAAAACATATTTTTTGTCTATTATATTAAAATTATAATTTTTTTGATATTTGGCGAAATAATTTCACTTGTAATTAATAGTACTTATAAATATTTCATTCTAATTCCGGCAATCAAATATAATGAAGGACCACAATTAAATTCATAACATTCACTAACGAAATGTTCATATAATCAACGCAATTGAACCAAATTGCGTAATGATGGTTTGCCGATCTCGATTTTCGACCTGACTGCAAATGGCAAAAAGTGCGTAATTGCATAATTGAATTTATTACATAAAATATGTTCATGTTCAATAAAAATATATTGTAATCTCTGCATTTGTAAATAAAAACAAAGCAGAAACCACCAATCACACCAAACCAAAACAAAACAAATCTACTGTGAAAGAATTGTTTTTATGAGTATACCAACAAAGCGGCAAGCTGCAAATTTCTCTTTACATTTATTACCGTGTTATCCAAAGCCACATTTTTTATACTTTCAAGTACTAATTTAATTTTTTTGTGGCAAAACATAGTCATGTAATGTAACGCTTCATTTGCAAGCCCGAGATATGATATTCATTTTAAGCATTTACAAATTAAGAAGTCGGATACCGATGTGTTGCAAAACATTTCACTTGCGTAAATCGCCAACTAGGTTTCCCAATGCATGAACAGTATTGCATGTAATATTTACGTGTTGAGTTTGGGATTTTACAAAATATACACTGTTCATCATACAGTTTGCTGCCGATTGTTGAAATTGTGTTAACCATACTAAATGCAATAAACGATTTACGCTAAATTTGGAAATTGCGTTGTTCCGTTCGCTGGGCCATTTTGCGCCATTTTGAAGTCGTTTTCTGCTATGTGAATACCAAATCTAGCAAGACCATTTCGTATGAATATATTTCGTCAAGAAACTACAACCGTGCATAAATGTGTCATTGCCGCAAGAGTTATTAAATAAAACACTTATTTTGCTTTGTCGCTTAGACATTCCAATAATTGCAATTGAAACCATATAAACAGTTGTTACATTAAATTATATGTTCATCCAAGCTTACAGGTGGTCAAAAAATATGTTTTTATTTGTTGCCTACTGACTTGAAATAATGAGGTGACCATGCAGGTGACACACAATCATCCATCAGTGAAACCCAATGAAACACGAACGGTAATCATAATAAACCACCTGACCTTGGAGAACGTTTAACACAGATTTATAGCAAACTCTTGAAGTAGCTTTGCCTATGCATCCAAAATATCTTCGGTAGTTTCTTTTTATACTCAACAACATTGCTCGGTTTTACGCCTCACGGTATAGAAATTTTATACTAGAACTCGCGTGAAACACTCACAACTTAATATGAGCCGTACGTGTGTGTCAATTAGAAATCGAAACAATGAAAATTTAAGTCAAAGAGTGTCGGCGTACATTTGTTATTGTAAAAACGCGCAAGATATAACCGTTCCTCGGAACTCAGCAACGTATTAACGTTGCTAGCATTATATTCCTGAAGCTGGCAGCACTCAAGTCAGCGCTCGACTAATGTTAACGAACTTTACCATCCAACTTTCTATTTTGTGAGTTCTCTTTAAGCGCTCTTTATGTCTTGCTACCGAACACTGTTCAAAAATGGTAGTTTCAAGCATTGCATTGCTTTGCATCAAACTCAGATTTAATTGAAACAAAATGTTTCAACGTCCATGACCTTACCATGAAACAAAGTTAATTCCCCCCTAAACTATTGTCGAGTAGTTAATTAAGAGTCATTGATTACAAATTGTTTACTTGCTTGATTCAAGTTCAAGAAAGGATAATGTTGAATCAATTAAATTATATAAATTTAGTCATCCTCATATATACATACAAATATTAAATTTGTTAGCAACAGTCAGTGTTTGCACGATGAAATCATCTCGTATCTGATCAAATGGTTTGCATCCGCTTCGAAAGTTAATTTGTTTAACTCTGGGCACGTACTGGTTGCTCAAACCAGTGCGATCATTCTGCAAATATCCTCCTTTTGGCAAGTCAACAATCAGAATTATCATCTTTTGGCAATCCAATGTTATTTATGTCACTTTCCGCAGATGCGAACATTTCGTGTCGTCGAGAGAGCGGAGAAGTGAAAACATGCGAAAAAATGTGTCAATATTCATACTCTGAATGTAAACAAGCCGTATAACTTTTCTTTCTCATTGCGCGTCACTTATAAGTTGTTTCCATGCCATTATTACTGTGGTTAGCATTTTTACTACAATTTCCATTCAAATTAAGCGCATCACAAACGAAGCGTTAATCAGTTTTCGTATTATTGGAGCATGTCGCACAAGTACAGCGTCTCGGGAGTATTTCATTTTTATTCCGCCGACATCAACCGTTTGAAAGCTGTTAGTTCTTCACAAATACAAAGCGTTCTGCATTCGATGTCAAAAGGCTTTATTCCAAAAATATTTTTTGATTATTCTTATTTTAACACTCTGTCTATGGATAGTACATGTATTGTTCTTTACCAAATTAAGGAAATAAGTGTTTAACACAACGAAAAATAAGAAATAAACACCAGCAACAATAAACTTTTAAGTACTTATGCAGAGATTCAGAGATCGCGTAGGCTTTTATTTTGCTATATGACCGCTGCATAGTGAATGTATCAATGTGAAATCGTTTCGTGATGACTTATATTTATAACATTGATATAACGTACGTGCCTCAGTAATATTTTAATTCCAAATAGTAAAACAATAAACTTACTAGCAGGTTTCAAAAAGAAACAACAAATAGAGACAATAGGTGCTCATAATATTGAATTTAACTTAAACATTTATTACTTCAAATTATAATATAAGAGTGTGCACATTTTAGCATGTATATTGCCCCCAGAACTGTACTCGGTATTTTGTTGATGATGATGTCTAACGACGTATAAATGATTTGATTTCAATTAGTAATGCTTCAATTATATTATGTTGGTTCCTTTAATGCGGTATTTTATTCAATTTGTTTAATTTAACGTTTGTTAACTTTAAAATGATTCTAACGAATTATTTATTTCTTTAAGTTGCACAAAAAGCAACATATGCAAGTAATGTCTCTCACTAAAAACGTATTAGAACCAATACACATCATTTAAATATTTTGCATATTTAAAAACTCGTCTTGCAGGTTCTCGTGGTTTTTCAAAGTTCATAAGGCACTGTAAAAGTCTGACTAATTTAATGAAGTGTGTTTCACAACACTCCTCATATTAGTAGTTAATCTATGACTATAACACAAACTAAAAACAAACAATTTCAATTTTTTTTAACAAAATACTACGCAAATATTTCCACATGCAAATGTAACCGCAACAACCTTAAATAAATTAACATGTAGGTAAGGCTGTCGAACAATTTTATAGAAGTTACATGTTGACGTCGTAAACGACGATACGTCCGAATGTCCTTCCTTTGAGAGAGCGAGGTGTTAATTAAATAAAGAATTGCACATAACACTATTCTATTCTTTCTGACTTTTTCTTTTGTGATGACTAAACACACCTTTGAAATGCTAAATGAAATTAGCTTCTTAGCTGGCGTGCGGTTGTATTGCAAAATTATACAAACGCGTATTAAATGAGACAAAGTGTGAGAATTGTTAACAACGTGTTTACTGTAAAAATATATCAATACGTGGGTACTCGTTAATATTAAAAATTTTAGAAGTAAAAAGTTTATAATTCGACGTCTTGCAACAAACCATGCACTTTCACTACGGTTGGATTGAACGCAGTAAAATCATCGTAAAACATGCGCAAAAACAATTAATGACTGTATATGAAATGCTGGACTTACTGGTGGCGGTTCGGATGCTGCGTAACTTTCCGACGGCGCGTATTCCGGTTTGATCTGCACGGTGGTCATCGAGTCTGGGGGCGGCACCTCTTTCTCCATACCGGCGTTTATATAGCGCTCCAGATTGTACACAGAAGAGAAACGAGAAGTTCTCAAGTGAGCGTTTTCTAATACGGGAGATTCTTATGGTTTGTTTTACCGGTCTCCACGACCGACTGACTGCGAGGCCGCAGAAGTCGTGTAACTATCTATCTAGTCCCCTACCACACGAGTACCACCGCACCATCGCCTCAACTCTGCCAAGTAAATACTGCACAATGTTATGCTTACCAGCTTACTAGTAGGTACACATAAACAAAACAGCAAAATAAACTTTACAGTGTACATTACATATTTCAAATTTTGTACATTTTCAAGACCGATTTGTCAAATATCTTTTTTATTATTATAAATGCTACCGAATAGCAGATATTTGCGCTAATTGCGATAATATTTTCGCCAAATTAATGTCCTCGATTAATAATATGCAGTGAAGACGGTGAAATCTCCTGAGTTAATTATTAATCTGCTGCTGTACTTGGCTTTTAATAATATAACAATTGAACTATATAAATATGTAGATATAAGTAGATCTAAACCGAGTTTTTCAATCCCAACAGCATAGAAGCTTTTGAAACCGATAACATTGCTCAAAAAAGAACTATTATCTGATCCATGCTGTTGATGTTATTCAATTAATCGACTGTTTATTATTGCAAAAGAAATGAAAACCAATAAGATGTTAACGGATATAACGTATATTGAAAAGAAACTTAAATGAGTGTACAATATAAACTTGACGTGCTTACGCTAAGACGGCTTAACAAGTAAGAGATCGAGTACAGGGCTGCAGCATCCGTCATCCCACAAGGGTGCAAGAAGGGCGGTTACTTGTCCCTAACAAGTGCTACCAACATACATACATTTAAAAATATGGTGGAATTTATTTACAACACATGCAATTGCACAATTGGTTTGCATATAAAATTAACTTGACAACATGTAATAAGACCGTACAATCAGTCAAAGAACAACGAAATCGAAACTGCTTGATCAGCCAGCTAGGAAGCTTTTAGTAAAACTGCGGTAAAAAAATTTTACATTCCTTTCAGGGCAGATTGGACTTTTCAACCCCATTTTCATAGTACTCTTAAGTGTTCCAGACTAGTGTGTTACCAAAATACAAAAGTTATTCGCGCAAACACCACTCCTTGTATAATAAAAAAACATATAAGAATAAGTAACATTTACCTTTCGCAACGTTTTTCTCTTGTTTATTTTCCGTGTTATAGTATTGTTTGATAACAGCTTCCTTGATTTGTTTTATTGGAAAGCGCCATGTGGCGCCGCGCCGACACGAGTAGTAGCAGAGCATGCTTTTATTTGTTTGACTGGCGGCACATGGCATTTAACATGGTTTAGTGCTGCATCGTAATCAAATACGCAGGCCCAAGCTCCACCCCGTGACTAAAGTATTTTAATAGCCCGCTGCACGGCATTTATACCCTTACAATTCCCAGTAGTGTTCGAGCGAGTTTCGAAAATTTAACGTACACACGTTCAAATACAAAAACCTCAACATGCTATTGTTAAGCCCTCGTTTAGCCATTTGATACTTAATATACTATTAAGAGAAAATAATATACTAAGAACCAAATGTGAACATTTTTGGTAACCCAATGAAAAAAAAAATTAAGCATATAATGGGCAAGTCAATACCTAAAATGTATAAAATATATCTTTGTTAACGCCTTATAAAATAATTCAAGTATTATTCTTCAGGGTCCGCAATTGAATCAATATAACTCAATGAATGAAGTTTACGTTTCTTAACCTTTGTTGCTCCATTTAAGGATGATAAACAAGAAAAATTATCTTCTTCTAGTGCGCCATATTTAATAGCTAACTTATCTACAAATTTGCTCATTGAAAGCATTAAGTCTCCTGAACTATCAGACCTTTCTAAAACTTCTTCAAATAAAGGAGCAGGTTTCTTCAAGGAAGTAATATTTTGTTGCAATAATGTTGTCAATCGTTTTCTTCCTTTTTTTGGATTACTGCTATCTTTTTGTGATGGTTGTATCTTCTTGCCAGCCATTCTTCCTTTTAAGGCTTTGCTTTTTTGGTTCTTTGAGCTTTTAGTTATTCGTGGTGATGACTTAGCACTACATGAGGTTGGCAGGTTAGTGATATGCTGTAAATTAGTAAAATCACCTTGTTTGAGATTTATTTTCACTCTCTTCAGAAATTTCTCATCCAGGTTATCTGAAAATATTGAGTGATGATTTTATCTTGTCATTAATTATACATAATAAGTAATAATAGATTACAAGTATTACCTATGTGTTTACAATACTTTTGTACTTCTTGTTGGGATTTAAACAAGGGGTATTTAACTTCCAGTAGTTTTTTAAGTTGAGGTACACTGCATGGCACAGAAACCTGAAATTGTTATTTTAAATTCCATTAATTTATCTATTTTAGGAGGTTATGAATTTCCAAGTTATTAAAGACATATATTTCACTTCAAGTATTTATTTTATCGTAAGATCAGAACTGAATTAAACTCAATTAATAATTAATTCCAAACATTTATTGATGACCTTGTGCGATTTAGGCGGGAACAGCAAACATTAGATAAAAATTACTTACTTCTGAGGGATCACTGTGAGTATAAAATAAAAACGTAAATGGACGATTAAATGAATGTGCTCTAAGAACATCAAGTATAGTTTCAGGCATTGTTTTTATTTATTTTGATAGATTCAATCACAAAAGAAAACAGCATACGCATATGCACAAGATGCCAACTGACAAACCAATTCAAAACTGACGTAACCTTCAGACTGTTATTAGCTGCATATTAAATTTGACGACACTAGCGACACTTGAACCGGTTCGTAGGTTTATTTTGATTTTCATGAAAATCATGATGGGGGTTTAATTTCTCTTTGTCACTGTGTATTTGCAAAGACTGTTCCCATGCTGTTCCATTAATATGATTAATATAGCATTAATTTAAAGCTTCTGTACTTCTCCTGTTGTAATCATACCTACGTTACGTATGTGTGTGTACAAGCTGTGATACACGAGTGCATACATATGTACGTAAGGCACATCCATACAAATTGAACAAAACATTTATCATGCATTTATCATTTTGAAGTTTGCGTGTCAAAGGTGTGTCGAAAATTCCATATAACAAGTAATGTTAATTATATCACCATAATCATGAGTAAAAACGTGTGTGTTGTGGTTTTGGGAGACATTGGTCGAAGCCCACGAATGCAGTATCATTCGATATCATTAGCGGAAAGCGGGCACAAAGTGGACATCGTAGGATATCGGGGTGCAGCGCCTGTGGAAAAATTAACATCGCAACCGCACGTTAGTTTTCACTACATGATTGAGTGGCCAAACCTTCCACTACCAAGGTTTCTCAATTACATTTTGAAAACAGTCTGGCAGATGATTAGTCTGTTGTTTGTATTTTTAATTATCCGGAAAGCAGATTTCATCCTGGTGCAGAATCCACCAGCTGTTCCATCACTTTGCGCATGCTTCATATATAAAATATTCAGTCATGCAAAACTGGTTATTGATTGGCATAACTATGCACACACAATTATGGCACTTGCTGTGGGACCAAAGAGCATCTTGGTCAGAATGACTAAAGCAATGGAAAAGTTTTTTGGTCAATGTGCAGATTATAACATGTGTGTTACAAATGAAATGAAGTTGGATCTAGAGGGGTCATGGGGCATTAAAGCATGCACCTTATATGACAGACCACTTGATATATTCAAACCAATTACGCTTGAGGAGAAACACCAACTATTCATTAAGTTAAAGAAAGATTATCCAGAATTATCATTTGATGGACAACTTGAAACTGAAACACTTGTTTCTGCTGAGTTAGATAGCAATCAGATTGTGGATAGATTGAACAGGCCAGCCATCTTAGTTTCAAGCACCAGCTGGACAGAAGATGAAGATTTTAAGGTTCTTATGGAGGCTCTTCAAGGTAATTTATTTATACGATTCTTAGCATATATTTCCTAAAAATATTTACTTATTTAAGCATATGAGAAGCATTGGGAAGCAGGAAACACCAAAAACTTACCCAAACTGGTATGTATTATTACTGGCAATGGACCAATGAAACAGTTCTACAAAAATTTAATCCATGAGTCAAATTGGAAGCATATAAAAGTAATCACGCCATGGCTTGAAGCAGCAGACTATCCTAAGATGTTAGCATCAGCTGACTTGGGTGTTTCCTTACACACCAGTTCAAGTGGCTTGGATTTGCCTATGAAAGTGGTTGATATGTTTGGATGTGAGCTACCTGTGTGTGCTTACAATTTCAAATGGTAAAATTATGTGACCTATATTCAAAACAATAATATAACAAACTTTATTTATTTTTTAGTTTGCATGAATTGGTTGAACATGACGCAAATAGTTATGTTTTTAATTCAGTTGAAGAACTCTCTGAACAACTCCAAACTTGGTTCAAGGATTTTCCAAATAATCCTGAACAAAAATCAAAACAGGAACTGTTTAAGAAGAGTTTAAAGCAATTCAGGAGCATACAATGGTCTGAAAACTGGCAATCCATTGCTTCCCCAATTTTCACTTAACAGATAATAGAAAACAATTTGTATAAATCAAAGTTTATTCTTAATACAATTTTGAAAAAAGAATATATAAAATTATAATCTAATGCCCATGTAATAATTTACACAAGTAAGCGTTCAATTTCTTGTTGAATGGAAATGATCTGTGGCTTCAACTGAGATCCTTCATTCACTGTCACACTGCAAGCAATGACTGATCTTGAGACTCCACAGGCGCGACCCAAAGCCTGCTTTGACCTGACAAATACATAAGGAACGTTTTTATCCTCGCAAAGAAGCGGCAAATGAAGCAGAATTTCCAGTGGCTCCGCATCCGCGGCCATAACAATGAATTCGGCAATACCACGATTTAGAGTTTTTGTAACTTCATTGGCGCCCTTCCGCAATTGGCTGTAGTTCATGCCTTGTTGCACCAAGTTGAGAATTTTCTTGGTGAGAACAGCGTCCGCAAGAGGGTACGCTTTTGGGTTGACTTCTTCTGCCTATTCAACAATAAACAAAACATCAGTAACTGTGAGGGAGCGTAACGTATAACAACGTGTTTTTGTTGAGGTTATGATTAAAAATCAAAATGTAAAGTAAAATATTACCATTGTAAATCGTTGACTGTTTACGTAGTCGGTAGCAAAAAATGAAGAGTTTTGAGATTATTTCTTTGCTAATTTGCAACCTCTCGGCGATTAATCGCTTCACTGAGGAGCGCTTCGAGAAATTAAACCACGTGCGTAAACAACGCCAGCAGAAAATGGATTCTGGTAACTGCGCCAAGCCATGCGCATAGAGAAAATGCCATCTAGTTGCGCATGCGCAATAAAGTACCAAATAAAACGATGATCGTACTTGAAATATTTTTTTATTGGTTTTCTCCGTAGAATACGTAATTCCTGGTTTATATTATACTTATTTATTCCTTCCAATTTAAATAAATATAACTTTTTTTGGATTTGCCGATTCCGTTCTGTTTAGTCAACGTTACAGATCAAATCTAAGGAAAACGCATGATATTAAGCCCGGTTTACACGATGATTTTAGTACAAAATACATTTCGGTAAATCAATGTTTGTTATGTTTTACCGAAGCTGATGCCAGGTTGAGCTTGAGGTTTAACTCGTATTCGATACCCGATATTCACTGGCAAATAAAAAAATGTGATTAGCTAGAATGAACTTATCAGTAGCAAAGTAATTAAACTGAGTTTTAGTCTCATTCTCATTCTACCTTTATGCTGCTGAATTTTTTGTTATTATTTGCATATAATCACCTAAAATGAAGAAAGGATTAAGTAAGCATAATAAACCGGTATTATCACGAAGAAGAAATAATTTATTATGTACAATATTTAAGTTCTTTATTTCATTGAAACATCCTGGTATTGGAATTGGACTAAAAAGTTGTAAGTGTACCTACAGGTTGAACTAAGTGTTCTGAACAACAAACAAACAGCGCTTAGATGTTGCCAGGGAAGGTACCCTCGTCACGCTGACCATCCCACTTCTCTACCCATCCATTGGGGCAGATGGAACCGTAAACCTTCTTGAAGTACTGGCAGGGGCTGTAACTCTCGCCCTTCACTTTCTGGCAGCGATGGAAATCCAGGTAACTCTGGTAGCAGTAGCGAGTCTGGTTGGTGTTCGGGAACCTAGGGTCAAAAGGAGCGGTCTGCAAAGTGGTGGCAGCAGGCATTTTGTCTGGAAGCAAAACGAAAAGAACGTAAATAATACGGTCACCACTCAATATCGTTTGATTAGAAATTATAGAGAGATAATCATGCGAATTTGATAACTTTATGAATTACCTATCTACAAGTTTTTAGTCAGCATCGTTTGTAGATAAAGTAAAAAATAATCGCGTTAATTATATCCAAATAGCGGGTAACAACTAAAAACTAAGTGAATGATTTTGATACAAAAAGTCAATTGTGTAATTGCGCATGGCAATCACTTAACGAGAGGTCTCGTTTTTGAATCGTCATCACAGCAAGCTTCTTTATATCGTTTCACTTCCTTCAGATAAATCGACCAGGGATCAGTCGCATTGGCCAGCTCGTCATCTTCCACAGCTTTGGTTTTCTCCACCATCCCGGTTTTCAACACCCTGCCTCCTCGCCGCTTTCCAAAAGCGGGTAATAGCTTTCTAGCTTCACTGGTTGTAGCCGTTGGCGTTGCAGCCACCGCCTCATTTTTCGCAGCCTCTTCCTTCTGCTTCTCTTCTTGCATCTTCTTAAACATTTCTAAGAAGGAACCGTCGTTCTTGAATGCGTTCTCCTTGGTGTCAGCTTCCTCCTCTTCCCCTTTCGAATCGTTGGCGGTGTCATCATTCTGCACGGATTCACGACGTGGTGGATCCGCATAGTACTTGCGTTCGGCCCGCCGTCGATCGTGGCTGCGAGATCGGCTTCTAGAACGTCGCGATTTTTTGCTCCGTTTGTGCTTGTGTCGATTGCGCGCTTGTGATACGCTTCTGCTTCTTGAGCGGCTCGTCGAGTGCGAGTGACGCCGATGTCGCCGGGTTCGTGAGCGCGAGCGTGATCGTCGATGTCGGGTGCGACTTCGGCTGCGTGAGCGATGCTTCCTTCGGCGCTCCCGCGATCTCGATCGTGACTTCGAACGCGATCGATCGCGATTAAATGAGCGACTCCTAGATCTTCTGTTAGGTGCACCTCTCTTGTATCTTATGTACTCAGGGTTTTTAATGTATGGATCGATCTGGTCCATCAACACTCCTGAGTAACTCTTTGGAGAGGATACATTGGAGCCTTTGCTCTCTTCATCCATGTCAATGCCTGGAGGAGGAGGGTTGCACCATGAGGATGGATTCATCATTAGCTTTATTACTGTGTGTGAGAGCAACCTACAATAGAACTTGCAGGTATAGTTAACCATATCTGAGCATATACATGTTCAAAATTGAGATCTTCAGTAGTCAACTCAAATCGTTGAGCGAGCATCTTGTGATATTTGATTCCCTTGATTAAAAGAGAAGCTACTTCTGATGCGATTGCGGTGTAATTTTGACGATTCGGAAGTAATTGATATTTTGTGAAAATGAAATGTTAGGTAATCAGGTGTCACGGCTAGGATCATCCGCCGTAGAATTAGCATCGCCACAAATTTCGAGAAATAGTGCTCGGCGCAGACAGTAATCAGTATGAAATAAATCAATCGTATAATATCCGTTTGTAATAATACCTGATTTGTTAAATAAGCGTTTCTCCCTTCAGAAAATGAACAATATGGCCGCTCAGAAACACACTGTGCACTGGCGGGCGGAAAGGGAAATCAATGTGAATTTTACTTCTCAAATCACCGGTAGAGGCGCTATTTCTGACGTATTACAAGTTGCCTACGTTACAAACATAAACAATTTGTTTTTGTAGTTTTTTTTTACTTGATTTCTTAACTTTTCAGGTGGCTATTTTTTTTTCAAAACTATCTAAATAATATACAATTTAGTTAATACTCTTAGATAAAAATAAAAATACACATCACATACATATTAAAAACATCCACTTACTTTCAGTAACTTCATCTGCTTGCACCTTATTTGTAACTGGAGCTTGAACCTCGATATCCACGACTTTTACGGTTTCCTGTGCTGTTTTTCCCTCAACCATTTTATTATATAATATTATTACAAATCTTTAATAGAAACTAACAATCATCCTCTTGCAAACCTTCTCACATACTAAACTCAGAATGCCTTTGATAAAATTCTTATCAGTGGATCGTTTACATGTGAAGTTCAAAGTCCGAAATAATTTAAGTGGCGGGGAAATTTTATTAGATTTGCTGCGTCGTTTGTTTTGGCAAAATGGTTAGACTTTTGTCAAAGCACAAAACAAACAAAAAATTTATTAACAAATTTTGTTCGTGTATAAATATTGCTTGGAAGAAATTGTATCTATATGTCAGTTTATGTTTGCTTTCGAATACCTAATTCATGTGTTAAATTTTAAAGTATTGATTCTGATACATATCCTATATTTTAATTAATGTAGATCAATCAAAAATTTACGAAACTTTATTGTATCCAAATAAATTTATTTTTAATAATGTAAACACCAAATATTATTAAATTACATACGCATGTGAAAGCTTCAGTTACATTTAACTGATCGTGGAGGAAATCGCTAAGTATAAATGAAAATAGAAAAAGAGACTTTGATTAAGAAGTCTTGGCCGGACTCCAAAAGCCCAATGCGGGCGTGCTTGTAAATATTCGCTGGATACGAAATTAGGCGTTGCGCGAATTTATGGATGTCTCCGTTTTCCGGTCGAGATTCTGCAGGTTGCGTGTGCAACTTCCTCTCGGCGAAAGGCCGCAGCTGTCAGTCTATTTCTTTCTATATTTTGTAATAATAACCTACAGGTAAACACTTTTATGAGCAGTTAAAATGTATTGAAGATTACGGTTTAATAATCTCGCACATTATAATCTAATTCAGTTGGATAAACAGAACATTCTTTCGAGTTCAACAGCACAAATCTATTTGGAGCATTTTGATCACCATAAGCTACCGACCTAAGAACAAAAATATCCCAAGTTCATAGGAATTGGGTCTGTAAAGTTTTCAGTATTCATTCACTCCGATGGACTTGATGGTTAAGTGCTGATCCAATTATCTTAATGGGCAAAGTCATTTATTAAGTCGCAATTAGTCTGTTAACTTTTGTTACTCACTTTAATTGACGATACCCGATCCTTGAGCTCAAAATCTGTTAGATACTGTTAACTTCTTGAAAAGTAGTTTAATTATTATTTTAAAGAAACAAAACGTATTAGTTTTTAAATACATATGTAAAATTGTGCAGACATATAAGGCGAACATTAAGATTTAAGCAACCACTGCAATGCGAATATTTTTAAGAAACAATCGCTTTGCAGTTTTGCACGTACGCTAGACACAAAGCAGTAAAATCGAACAAATTTGATTGTGTTTTACACGTAGAAATTATGACGATGCCGTCGAATTTTAATTGTGCTTTTTATTTTATGACTTTGGGTTTTATTTAATAGCAGAGTGTTTCTATAGCATAATGTAATTGTATGTATTGCATTGTTAATTGTTAGAATTTACATCTTAAAATAGATTTTAAATGGGTGACTTTAATTTTGTATTGAACTGCAATTTTTAAAATGGTGCACATTATATATATTTTATTTTGGGAATAACACTAAAAAGTTTTGTTTTGGGTTAGTTAGGTGTGCGTTTAAAAATTGTCAGTTTTGTTTGTGTTTTATTACTCAATAGTAAAACCAATAGTACCAATCTATTTTATCATTTTGTTGTAATAAAGGAATACAGAATACGTTTAACTATTTTTTAATGGCAGTTAACTCCAAATTAGCTTAAAGCTAAAAAATATAAAATGGATTTAAAAAGCTCCTCAAGTTTTTGAGTGTGTATATTTATGAGCAACCACATATCATAATCGTTTGATCTATATTTACGTTATCCCGACATTTCTGACGTCAGACTATCGTTGAATGAAAATATGCAAACTTCTTGATGAACAGATTTCAGACGTGTCGCTAGTTGACTCTAATTTAATAAACTATCCGAGAAAACCTTCAAACGTAAAACTTTTAATTATTTCACAGTGTTATGTTTACAGCTACATCTAAATAATTAATCTGATTATTTTCCACGGTTCTTAGACACAAAAAGTGGAACTTTATATACGAACGGCCAAGCCGTGAATAAAGTACTTTACTCACCGGTATTATTTACGGAGCGGAGCTTGCACCTGCGCGACTCGACCTTTATAACATTACATTTCCGTGTAGTGTGTGCGCGAATTTCAAAGATTTAAAATACAAAAACTAAACTTGAAAACAAAATCGAAGTAGAAAAAATAGCGTAAGCATAACGTGGCTAAACGTTATTAAAGCCCTCGTTCAGCCACTTGATACTTAATATACTATGTCAAGTTTTTAACACGTACCTTAATTCTAGGCGTTTTATTAAATACCTATAGTTAATTAGATTTACATGTTTTTATAATATAATTTTAGTTGAAATAAAATAGTCTAACTTAATACTTAATGTTGCTTCGCCCTCATGTGTAAAAGCCTCTTCCTCTCTGCTGTCATCTTTAATATTATAGCGGCAGCAAAGCGGAAAAAGACACATTCACAAGTGGCTTCACGGCTTTAATTTATTGGTGCGATATGATGAAAAAATTCATCGTTTGCACGCTGACGATTTTCGATTTCATGCCGCACGGTTAATGTTCGACTCGTGGTTTTATAGTTGAGAACGTGATGTATTGCAAAAATATGCCACGCTTTTATAACCTTGGACTATTTCGCACACTGCACAAATATCGTTAAGTAACTAATCTATTTTGCTACTACCGCCGATGAAAAATTTTTGGAATTTGCGTTATAGGAAAACCCGAAAATTTGCACACAAAATATTATAAGCGTTTGCAGGAAGTTGTAAAAAGTAGTTAGTATTTCTATATCAACGGTGATTGCATTTGCCTTAATCGCAAAATCACTTTTCATGCCGAGCACTTTTAAATCCCCCGCTGCTTGCTCACTTCTATAATCATTGATTGCACTATTTCCCGCGATGCGTTGATTCAATTTTCATGTTTCCTTCGCGAAGGAACAGCATGCCCTCATGTTGGCATGGCATGCGGTTGTTTTGAACCACTTACTGCTCGAAAACGACCCCTTCTGGTGCAAACATTTTATCCAGCCAATGTCCACAGTCAGAGTAAATACATCTAGCGGATTATATTCTGTAACTTTAAAAAAATAAATTAGTAATTTGCTCACTTTAAACTTTTAATGCAAGTAAAATTATCAGCGTCGATTTATCAGTATCAACTAGAACAATGTGGGAGTTATGTTTTTTTTTCTCCACCTTTTATCGTGACTTTTAATAACATATAAATATAAAATTAATAATAAAATGAATAATTGCATTGCCAATGGAATTCCCTGCGTGTGACGGTGAGTCGGTAAATCGGTAAAACCTTGATGGTTGTTTTAATGATTTGCTAAACCTGTCGCAAAATTGTATTTATTCTTATCCGGTTATTAGAAAATAATCGTACTTTCATAATATTCTTTATCAGTAGAAATTAAATTCAATATTTAATGAGTGTTGACATGTTGACATTACCAATACAGGTAAATTTTAAGATAATATTAATTGTTGCGGTAATTTACAGAATTTAAAGAAAAAAATTATCGATACAACAATGAAAAATCGTTGTTTCTATCGCTGAAAACCCAAATTTGATTTCCTTGTATATAGAGGTTGAACATAACAAAGATTGGCATGATCGTCATTGAGTATTTTTTTGTTCATCGAATATTTATAGCGTTATATAATGTTGCATGTGCAACAACCATGTGGCAGCGACATTATCTATTCAGCGAAATAAAACGGAAAACATTGCAGCCGCCTGACTGCCGATGTCGATGTCGGCGGCGTGCATTGTGTGTCGTGTTCATACTTACCAATCCGTCTCCTAATGGGCGATGTTGCGATCGTTTCCAATGTGTGTGCACTCCTCGAATTCAATTATCAACCTTGACTTAACTAACTACTACAGAATGAACATAATAACTGGAATTGTTCATCGGCGCTGTCGTCATCGTAGTAATAACAATATTAAAATGCACTTACAATCAATTGTATAACAATATACGATTCCCACCTTTTTGTTGCGTGTCGTTATGATTCGCGTGCGTTTTCAGCGTTCGACTAATTCTCTTGATTTCCTGTATTGATGGCAATGAATGCAGAGCATATGTAATAGACATATCCGCTTACATGAGTCGATCCAATATGCTTCAATATTCGGTATTAATTGCTCGTTTCATCACACATTAAATGTTTTATATTATTTCTTTAGGTGCACCTTAAGAAAGTAACTGACTGGTAGAAATATAATGTGTTATGATAAGAATTCCAAGTAACACAATACATTACTCATCTCAACAACACAGCCGGTGCGGTAAGTTCCGAGAAATGCCCAGTTTTACAAAGCAACTGCTAAAATCAAGCATTCAACAGTTGAGCACTCAAACTGTTCCAGCTCCGGCAGTTATCAACGCAAATGTAATTGCTAACTGAATTAACTGGAACGTAATGTTTATTGAACAGCGTTTAGCCACATTTAGTCAGCTCTATCGTTTAATGACTAAGTTGTATGCAGTTGTAAACGTTATCACAGCTATCATAAAAATAGCACATTCATCATTCATGATTATGAGTAAGTATATTAGTCATTTCAGTAATTTCTCCCTGATGAGTGTCACCTGCGCACAGAAATTAATAAAGTATAATTGTTATTTTACAGCGCTATATATATAGTATATAGAGTAGTATATAGTATATATATTTATTAAACATGAGGAATTAAATGTTCTATTTTTATTCTTATCGCCAGTGCGTCGGTAATGTATCGATAAATGTGTAGTTTCAACAATCTTCATAATAACATAAATGTGCATGTGCAGTGTTTACAAAATTTGCATGTCGCGTCAATATTATTAGCTACTAAATTTCGCCTTTGTTGATTGAACATTAATGTTCAACGAAACAAATCGAATAAGATTACAAAGGTAAGAAACGTTATCTGAACATTGTTTGAATAATGTTACTCATACAAACGATTCGGATTAGTCGCAGCTTGCGAAGTACGCAAAGACCTTAGGTATGTGAAATTGGAAAATAGGAGGTAAATAATTGGAAATTTCTTGCCGATGGCAACATATATACCATGCCGTTCATTCGTATTGCATTTGCACATAAACCAAAAATACATTTTATTGCGTTGGCTTAACTCGGCGCAAGTATTTCCGTGGATATCCACAATTCGCGTGAATCACGTCAACGGGGGCCAAATGATATATAGGTACATTGGTAGTTACACGAAATTAATGTTATGTACTGCAATTAAGTAATACGATTATATTATAATTCCAAAACTTGCTAAAAATAACTTACCGATTATTTTAACGGAAGGAAATCGCTGTTACCGTTTCTATTTGCAGACTCAGAAAAGCACAAAAGTTTAAACATAGTTCACTAGTACTTTTAGATAGTTTATAATCCCATGGCTTGGTTTCGAGTTTAGTAGTAGAATTTAATTCAATGTAACTTAACTTGGGTTGTGCGCAGGTAGCGTTAGTGTTTCAATCGCAGATGAAAATTGCCTGTTTCAGATTAAAATTGTTGCCACTGTGAAATGTGTGGCAATATGTGAGTTTTATAAAATGATGCAGAATAGTGGATTTATGTGAATGTTTTGGAGTACTCAAACCGGAGTGGGCGACGTTTGAATTGCGAATGAAGCGCACGCTTACGGAGCGAACTGGCGGCATGAAAGAGAGGAGCCACATGCGAACGCGTGAATTGCCGTCATTGCCGTCGTTAGTTTCTATGAGTTTCTATGGTAGGCGCGGAGCGAATGTGTAGGAGCGTAGAGGAGTCGTAGGAGTAACGCCGCCATCACCGCGGCGGCGCGCGACCATCGGCGTTTGTTGATGCAACGATATTCTACGATGTTCAGTTTCCAGCATTTACGAGTACTTGCTAGAGATATGCGCGCGCGTAATCTACTCAAATATCATTCGATTTTCTGCGCATAGGACTACGAAAATCAGGAGTAGTACTAATAGAGCACACCTATGAAATTATACTGCAATTTCAGTGATAGAGAGAGATAATGTGCAATTTTGATTCATTTATGACTTACTTATGCTAGTTATTGAATTTTGATCATTATTTAATTTTGTTTCCGATTATATTGTTCACTTATTTTTAAATTTAACACTACTTTAATTTTTTTAATTTTAATCAAAACTTTTGCGATTTCAGCTGAATTTTTCACAAAATAAATATAACTCCTTGGCTTTTCTTTATGAATTCTTAAAAGTAGTTTTTGTCTCGTAGTACTAATAAAATGTTCTAGTATTACTTAAAACCACGTATTTCATTATTGTTTAAGCATATTTTTCTTTGATTTTTGACTTTAACAGTTTTTAGTAATATTTGCAATTGGTCAAAATAAGATGAGTGTTTTATGAAGACTTAATAGTATTTTTGCTGCATCATTGAATAAATTAGATGAATAGATTAGAGACATGTTTTAAGTATTATCAGATTTCATAAATTTTGTTACTTTATTGTGCTAATAATATCATGTATAATTTAGACTACATATTGAAAATGGAACATAAAAAATGCACCATTTTAATCACGAAGTTACATAAAGCCTTCGCATACAAGTATTTGTACACATTTTCGAAATACATCAGTTTTTCTTCTCTAATTAAACTCCCTTTCAGGCTAGAACATTTTTAAATAGAGAAAAAGGAGTAGGTATCACGTACATACCTACACGTGCCCGCAATTTTGCGATAATGAAACGGCCGTAGCGTTTACAATTATTTTCCTCGCAATCGCTTGGTTTGCTTCGTACAAATTTCAACATGTAACATTTATTTTCCAAAAATATTTACAATGTTACCGACAGGAATTGCCCGCATATTCACAGTGGGCACATGTCCAACTATTGAGTATCGCCAGATCGATAAAAAGTGGTTAGTAACATTTACGAGCGTATGGAAGTTAGAATATTTGCTTCTTCCAAAAATAATACTGTTTGACAGTTTAGTTTGACTAATCAACTTCCAAAACTCCTCAATTTAATTTTGAATCGAAATAAAAATAGAAAGTTGGACATAATTAGCAAAGAGTGTAAATTCATTTATCTAGGTATATAAGGATAAGTGTATAAGTGTCTAATTTTTCCAAGCCAAAATCCATCATCTCCTTTAGTATTCAAATCACTTAAAATTTCAATTACATCAACCTTATAAACATCAAGACTAAATCATCAAAGTAATATGATTGTTAAATATTTATCGTAAATATATCTGTGTTATTCCGGGTAAAAATCTTATTTTCGAGCTTCTGAACTTGAAGTTAAGATCACTTATAGCTATTTTTAATACTAATCATACAATACACTGGCACAAAACTGTTGCACACAGAAAAGATCAATTTCTATAGTAATCGATTGTAGAATAATATAATATGACTAAAAAACTCTAAACAAACATCAGTAAAATTTGCTCTCTTGAACAAACAAAACCAACGTAATCTATTACACTAATTAAACCGCAATAGCTTTCTTAAGACTTCTGAATCTCGAACTCCAAAGTAACGAAAACATTGACATATTTATGCTTTTAGGTATTGCGTGGAGGATGCGCGCCTTAAGTGTGCGACTGCAATTGCAACGTGACGACTGCAATATGCCTGCCGTAAACTAAAACAAGAGAAGCTTAAAATCGCTTCCAGCGTCAAAAGTATGAGATATTGTCGGAAATCTTTCACTGGGTCGTGATGACGTCTTCATTGCTACCGGCGGGCTCGTCGCGACTGTAGTGCCAACAACAACGGAGCCCAGTGTGTGCATGTCAAGAGCAACACAAAGTTGTGGGGCTTAACAACTGGAATAACCGCGAGCAACCCGAACGCGAACACGAGTAGGTACAACTTCTAAAGAGTGCAGACTGCACACACTCGACCAAGTCCTCATCCTCATTTCTCACATTCATTTCCCAGTATCGGAATGCCTGCGCGACGAAGGGTGTCTTGAGCGCCTTGAGGATAATATTGAAGAGTCGGTCGCCAGGAATCCAATAGGAGTAGATGAAGTACTTTGTCTTGTGTGGCGCTAGAAAAGTGTGCAAGGCATCACTTTAACGTTTGCGGCTAACTACTCCACGTCGCTGAATACGTATCCTAAAAATAGTATCACATTCGAGTTTGTTCTCATGGTTGTAGCAAACATCAAGAAACATCAAGAGTGGACGTAGCATTGCTTAGATTCTACATGATGCCCTCATTTTCTAGTAGTTTGCTAGGGTTCTGATTTTCAGTTTTTTATTGGATTTAATGTACTCGTAAATCTTGTATGAACTCCTTCTTATAATATTAACCTTATTTGTAAGATAATTGGTAATATTCGCTTCCTTATGAACCTGAAACAACCAACGTTTTAATTTATTCAGGACTGTTTGACACAATTTTCTCTTGGCGAGCTCTTTCAAGTGAACACTAGTTTTCCGCGAAACGTAATATTATTATGTGACCATTAATACTAATGAAATACGGATGGTCGTTATGGATATGAACGAACGCAAGCCGTTTCGAAATAAATTCGGCAATTCGATCGTAAACGCGTCCCGGACGTCGAAAACCGACAGAAAAAGTGTCTATAAATTACGCCTCACCCGCCGGAGCTAATAAGAAGCAACTTTGACGCGATGCGCTAATTCTAAACTGCAATTAAAGTTTAAAGGTTTATGATTTCAAGAAGGTATTACGGAAGCGTCGTTAAACAGGGATGGTCGAAATGAATCAATGAGCTCCAAAACTTATAACGCGTTTGCTATTTAAAGAGATCTAAATGCTTACAGTGTGTTTCCGACTTGAAATAAGTTAATAAATTAAACTATATCAAGACATCCAATATAAGATGGAATTGCATGTATTTTAATAACTGCAGGAATTAAGTGTTTCGAAGGCAATTGAACTACTTAATTCAAAGCACATGACGTGAAAGTTAGATCATATTGTATATTGCAAGTATTTTTCATATACCGATCGGTTTTCGAGATGGTGAGCGAATTAGTTTAAATTTACGTGAGCGTGTGAAGGATGCAAGCGTTTTGTTTCGCCGAGATGAAAATAAACTTCTCCCCTTTCGTACGGTGCAACAAAAAATCCATTTCTCTTGCTCTCATTGGATCCAGATGTGCGTCCGCTGGGAAAACTCTCTGTATACAACAACCGATACTATATTTGTACGCATTGCTACTCCTACTATGAATTATTAACACTTAATCTTGCCGCATTTAAAAATAGGCGACGCGGATAAAAGCCGCCGATGAAAGGATAGTTTATGATTGAGTTATATACGCGCATGTTTGTGCAACATTCATCACACTTTTGGTAAAAAACGCAAGTGCGCACCGAGTGCATAAATTATTCATGGCAGAGTGTAAACAAATCGTAGCTTCCAATTAAGAAATAAAAGGAGACTGAATCAAATTCAGGAATTTGCGTATAATCATTTTTTAACTTTTGGAAGCTTGGCGATATCCAAATATGTATACGTGACGTAATGTCAGGATTGTTTTACTGCAGGGCGACAGACATACTTTTACATCTGGGATAAAATATAAAAGTGGTGCAAAATAATAACGATACGTTATGCATAAATTACACAGCTAAAAAGAAAAGAATGACAAAAGACAATGTCATATTTTTAAACATGGTACAAAATAAATTGTTAAATGTATTTAAAACATTGTTCTATAAAGTTTCAAAATAATTACATTTGCTGAGCTTGTTTCTCAATCTTACTGGCTTCCATATTCTCAAGTTGTTCAAGAGTTAAGAGCGAAACCCCAAGCTGATCTTCTCTTGTGAATGGTTGTGCCATTTGGCGCAACCAACGTTTGGCCATCTACAACAATAAGTAAATGTAATTTGAAAAGCTAAAACTAACAAATAAATGTACCTGTACTGATTCCTCGGTGGACAGATTACAATATGAATCTTTCAAATGTTCCTGGATCCACTTAGGCAGCTTGGAGCGTTTATCTGCACGTGAAAATCGCTTATCAGCAAATATCATAATACCGTAGTCGGTTTTTCCTCGAATTACGCGCCCAACGCACTGTGCAGCATGTCTCATTGCGTCAAAAGTGAGGAAATCATTTTCTTTTATCTACAAAATGATTAGTACTTAAAATATTGCAATTATTTTGAAAGAGTGGACTGACTTGAAACTGATCTCGTAAATAATCCAATCTAGCTTTCAAAATTCGAGATTGCGTGTAAACGTATGGAATTCCAAACATAAGTACAGCACGTCCAAGATGATGGTCAAAATCTACTCCTTCTGATACTTTACCTCTCGCGACTGATAACAAAACTGCTCCTCTGCCGGATTCACATGCCTACATTTAAATAACTTTAGTAAATGTCGAAAGTGTCATCTCATTAAAAGTGATCTACCTTGATATAATACATTAGTGCAAAACTTGTCTCTGCAGAATCTTGTGTTTCAATAAACAACAATTTGTATCGTTGCAAACTATCTATCACACCCTGATCATACCAACTTGCCACAACTGATTCCAAATATAAATATGATGTAAAGAAACAGACGACGCCATCAGGAACGTTAGCGGCAATCTAAACATACAAATCAAATTTTCATATAGAACTTAAATTGAGAGTAAACATTACCTCCACTAAAAGTTGGCCATAATTTCTTATCACTGCTATATCTTCACGTGTTTCAAACTTTGATGAAATAGCAACTTGATCATTGCCTTTCGACACAATCTATAAATATAGAAATATTCAATATTGAGAAAACATTCTGTAATAATATTACCATTGGTAATAAGCACGGCCGGGCTAATGTCATAGTGAACGACGACATAATAACAGGATGAAAGTTCAATATTTTCGGATACATATCCAACGGAGATAATGTACCGGAAGTGATAACCACCGATTGGAATCGATCAAAAACCGGTTTGATGGCAATTGAAGAATCTAAGCAACTAAAATATAAAACTGGATTTGAGACTGTGGGTGTTTTGTCGTCAAATGGTTCGACGATTATTGTAAATCCCTTCGTGTATGTTGAGACCAGAGTGGCTAAGTGAGTTATTAAAACCAAAGGACTGAAGTCTGCCAGGTCAGCAATTTCAAGAGTTTTTAATAGTGAAGATAATCTATAAAATAACATTAAAACCAAAAGTACTATCACATCAAGAAAAAATACCTTTCAGCACAAAACCGTAAAGGTTTGCGTTCTATACACACTTTGCTTTGTACATCTTTAAGAAAGCCTGCAGGAGATTCTTGTACAACATGTTGCACTCTTAAACGAGTCTTTAAATATTCGATAAATCGTTTTAAAAACGATACAAAATGCTCTGCATTTCTTATATTTCCAGGTACAACCTCTAAAAAAATATTAGCAGGTAATTCATGGATGAACTGTTTCAATTAAATTATACCATTTAATATTTCATCTGGTAAAACTGGATTGGCTAGGATAACGTCAGTTTCGCGTGCGGTACTCGCATCCCTTAATCCTTGAACAAGTTTTTGATACTCATCTTGTAATTTATTTTGATCATCTTCTCTCATTCTAGAATAACAAAAATACAATGTAATTTCCATATTAATAAAAAGTAAAAAACGAAGTAAAGAAGTAAGAAAAGTAATTTGTAACAACATTTTTGTTCACAGTTGGGCGTATATGACAATCACCCAGTCACAACGCGCTCATAATAATTCACATCATTTCTCATTTTACAACTTGGAATTTAAATATGTAATGTAAATATAACTCCTAAACATAAAATTTAAATATTCGTTAGTTAACATTATACATTTACTTACTCTGCAATAGTTTTCTCCAACAAAGTAATATTAGCCGAAGACTTTTCGATAATACGACGATTAATCTTTACACTCATAGAATCAATGCATACATTATCGATGTTGTGGGCCTCATCAAAAATAACTACCGATTCCCGAGCCATTTCCTTTGAAACAACATCTGCAATTTTAGGGTCTAGCAGATAGTGATAACTGTACACAACAATATTTGCATGGATAATCTGGAAGGAAACAATTATCAACTGTAAAATCCGTAATAAAAAAAAGACTTACAGCAAATCGAGCTAAGAAGTAAGGACACCAATTTTTTTTCCTTCCATACATCTTCAAATCATCAATAGTGTAAACTCCATAAGGTAAATTACTCTCTTTACCATCTAAAGCAAAACCTTCATAATACTGACAAACTGGTGTAGTTTCATCATAATTGTGTCTGTCTCTAATATATTGTGCTGTTAGTGAATGACACCTTCCATCTACAATTTTTCCTTCTTTTTCCGTGCTAACCTTTAATAGATTTTTAGAGTTACAGCATCATAATTTAATTTTCGAGAGTATCATGTTACCTCTGGATGAATGCATAAATTCTTTCTTGATGTCAATACCAAGCCGGTTAAATTTGGATACTCGCCGTTCTCTTTTTCGTAAAATTCTAACAATTTCTTTAACTCCTCCATGACTTTCTCAATTTCTGGTACTGTACGAGAGCAATAAATAAGTTTCCGGACATCAAATGGATGCTCCAACATGTAGGCAACAATTAAAGACAATAATGTAGTTGTTTTGCCAGTACCAGAAGGCATCTCCAGTAAACAATGGCCCTAAATAGTCACAAGAATTATATAAAATATATTCTGAACCTGAATGATAGATTTTAGTTTTAATTGTAGCATGTTTTGGTGGATACATTAATATGCTTCAAAATATGTCCCACCATAAACAAAGCAGTAACACCACATGCAACAAATTAAATCCAAAAAAGAAAAAATATGAATTAAGTAATTCTATTTACAAAATAAAAAATTAATTACCTTTGCATCAAGTGCTCTCTTAAGTTCACACATGTATGCATATTGTTCAGGATATATGTAATCATATGGGAAATAAACAATCAAACCATCCACACTTAACCTAAAATAACAACAAATTATCATTTAATTTTAAGGAAATTGAAGGGTTTGTGTATAACTGACCTCATTTTATTTTCTCTTTGGGGTGTATTTATATATTTTCTGCAATGGGATCAATTTCTGTCACCCGTTTCTTTGTAAAATAATTTACAATTTTTAAGATACCGGCAATAACAACCTCGCACACCGCACTTCGAAACCAATATGATTTTGCGAGGTGCGCATGCGCAGTGTCGACGAATACCGTACATTTATTTTGAAATTTGTTCAAAGAATTATTGAAACCCTTGATAAAAGTAAACTGCGTTTTCTTTGATGATTTGAAACTCCAGTCTTCGGTAAAAAGATGTAGCAAAAACCAATACTTCACAAAGGAAAACATACACAAAGCAATTTAAAGCAAATGTAAGCAGTAATTCCAAATATCTATCACTTTATTATTATTGTGTTTTTATATAAAAATTGAAAATAGTAAAAAGTATAAAAATACTACAACATAGTGCTAAAATTCACTACAATACTTTAGTTTTTCTAGCTCACAAAACAACTGGAATCAAATAACAAACCAACATGATAATTCTTAGCATTAGTCAACCTCTAGTTTTCTGAAGCTGCCCTGCATTTCAGAAATTTCCCCACCGCCGGGTTGATTTCTTCGGCGAATAATTCCTCTATCCGACAATAAATTCATTGCATCATAAGATAGTAAACGGTCGCGCTTGGCAGCCAACTCCTTTTTCCACAACTCAATCATATCGGCCATTGGCATAACGCCGCCATATTCTTTTGGAAGAACAATTGATGGAAGTGATTCATGCATTTCGCTAATTGAGTTATGGATCTTTAAGCGATCACGCAGTTTTGGGCTTACTCGGGACGCTCCAAATTCGACCACGTATTTGAATGCGGGCAGTAAGTTGATAATGTGAAGAACCTTATGACGCATTGGGCAAGATTGCTAAAAGAGAAAATATATAAATTTCATTACATTATTAGTACTAGATGTTGACATATTTTAGTATAGTCGGCGACTAATTGTAAAACGCACCGAAATTCGACAATTTATTATATTTATAAAAAGTATAGAATTGTAAATTGTAACTATGGCAATGACTAATCTCGGTACAACTACTTAATCAAATCCGAAGGAAAGTCAACCAAATATCAAAGCATAACGCATTATACTAACCACGCAAAATATGAAATGAAACCCGGAAATACGAATGCCGATACCGCAAAACATGTTTGGAAATACTATATGGTTAATTCACGTCACGCGAAAACAAATTAAATCAGATGCAATTTTAACTCTTAATCTCGAGTTTATCAGCGTAAAAAACTGCAATTTTAACTGTTATAGGTTTGTGCCTAATTGAAACTTTGTGAACTGCTCAATAAAATGGCCCAACAACAATTGTTAACCATATTTAATATTACCTCTCCCCATTTCATCAAAGTTGCAAACTCCGTAATGGACCAAATCGCAACATGTTGAATGGTAACGTTGGCCCCGTCCCCGAAGTAACTAAACCCTAGAATTTGATTCTCTTCCTCGTCGATCAATGTCTCGTAAGTTACCATGTGAGCACGAGTCATATCTGTACTTGAATATCGACTGGGATCCAATTTATCTATACACATAAGAGTTTCTCATAAATTCACTTCGAATTCAACAACGTATCAATATAAAATTTATTCATTACATGGAATAGTCAAGATGACACGCCTCCCATTGTTATCTCTGAAGGGGCTCGCAAAGATGTAACCATTCGTGACGAGCTCGTGGATTTTCGCGTCCTGGCAGTCCAAGTCGTAGAAGATATGCTTGAACTTCTTGCGAAAGTTGAGATACTTGAGCAGTGTTTGCTGTGCCATGGCGAGGCTGAATTTTCGCGCGCGTAGAAATCGAAGCAGGAAGCTATCGTCTACAGATTGCAAGCGCACACATGCATGTATTACTTACTGACATACTAACTCGTTTATCTATCGCCGCAATGCGATGCATTTAATACAATGCGCGACCGAATTGAAAATGCAAGCGAGCGCGCAACTTATGCAATCTGTTTGCATAACACACATCTGTGGTGTAACCTCCACAGGGCACGAAGAAGTTACAACATTCACCTTTATCCAATCATACTACTTCCTGGTTGTTGTGTTCTGCGACGAACAAAAGTGCACAAAAAAATATTCTCCTGAACACGCAAGTAATAAACCAGTACTTAAAGTGTAAATCTGTCTGTTGAAGATGAATCTCTATGATATATAAATTACGTAGAACATCAAAGTTTTTTTTGTTAAATGATGTAACTTTTACAATCACAGTGTTGGTATGACCTATTATTATATTATGTACCGCTTATAAAAAAATAATTAGTGCTTTGCGTCTTAGGGGCAAATCAAACTTTCTTTTTATTTATTATTTATTGCATTCCGTTTACTCGTCAAAATTCATATTATTTTGTTTGTGGCAAATTGATTATAGTTATGGACGGTTATAAAATTTTCGGAAAGTAACAATCCGTCTGAATGTATCCGTACGTTATCTATAATTATCTACTTTCGTGAAAATTGTCGAATAGTTAGGTAATTGCTAGACCTGTCATAATTCGCGTATTTTATAATACTGAGATGTTTTGTTTATGATATTAATAATATGTCCAAGTTAGAAAGATTTGCGTCTAAAGAGTTTGGATCTAGGATAATAAACATTTCTTCAGTATTATTCTAAATTTTAGCTATTGTGTTGATATTTTATCTAAATCGTTGAGTTAAATTTTGTCTTGTACCTTCGTAAAGAAATTGTTTTTTTTTGTTACTTGTTTACCTGGTTACCTTTAAATTGTATCTAAATTGCAAACATACATACAAGGTATAATCTTTGAATATTATATGATTAGCATTTAGAGAGTAGCGAATAGAACTTTCATAATAGATCTGAGTGTGATGTCACTGCGATTTCTTTTGTTGAAAAATATCCTAGCATATTTAATTTCATAGTATTAATTACAATTCAAATGTAAATATCACTGCCTTGGCTATTTTGTATTTATATTCCGGATACCATGCTCATAGATCCAATAATTATAAATTATCTAATTATTAATATTGTATGCAAACTACTTTTTACAAATTAAGTTTTTTCTAACATTATTTTAAGTCTTATCTAATATCTAATGTGAGTAGTAACAAAAATTATGTTGGTTAGTTTATAGTTTGATAGTGATATTTAATGGCAAATCTTTAAAAATAGTAATTGTTTTTGTTGTATCAACTTCTATCTCCGTCAAATTTAATTTTTTATTGCTTATAGTAGTCTGTAAAGTGATCATAATGTGACAGCTTTGTTGCTGGTAAACGATCGTAAGTAGCTGAATTACAACAATCTTAAGCAACACTTATTTCATTAGTAAATTGCAGCTGTAAAATAACTTAAGAATCGGCAAACAATTACGAATTGAGAACACATTTTTTTCTCTAAGCTTAATTTTAAGTATAAGTCGTACTAGTACTTGAAAAACTATGAGTCGAAGAGGTATCAAATGATTATCGCCATATAGTATCTAATTGTTCCCATAGAAATGTTTTGTAGATTTCGAATGAGAAATATAAATTTTTCTTACCCATTAGACAATTTTGTATGTCAGAATTGCTCTGAATCCATTCCCGAAATTGTGCTAAACACTGTCGACGTGTAGCCTCATCTTCGCGAAGCTCATCCACCGCAGTTTTGGCCACTACATCCAAAAAATTCCCTTCCTCAGCTTCCTTGTCCTTCGAACTTCGCGTGTTTTGATTGGGCATGATTAACTTGGTCGATGTCATGATGTATCTATTAAGATTGTCACAATACAATATAAATACAAAGTTGTCATTGGTATAATATACAAAATAAATGTCATAATGACTATAATGACACAACAAATCTTAAAAGCTCGTAAAGAGAGTGAAACGTCAAATGAGCTCAGTGCCAGGTTGTTTCTTCGGTGTCGCGTTTGATGAAAGTGTGCCGTGTTAAAACGCACATGTACTCGTTAAGAAATGTTACACACGCAAGGTTTGCAAAGCGATAAGTAAAAGTAATGTTTGGCGAAGTCCGAAGATAATTACTATTATCTAAGATTGTTGTTTATGTGCCTGAAAGTCATACATTTATGAAGTTGTACAATTCGTTTTTTAATGTTTTGGTTAAAATTATATAGGGACTGATAATGTAAACGTAAACGTTTAGTACGCAGTAAATTATGCATTTTTATTATTTTTACATAATTATTATGTGCCGCTATTGCTTTCCGTACATTCTCATTGTTTCATGATAATTTAATCGTTTACTTTTTATAATTAAACTTTCATAAAATATTTACTAATTGCTACGTAAATATATTCGCAAAAAGTTGAGAAACTTTGATTCATTAAAAGAAAACGTTTTCGTTTTGTGATCAGCGTGCCAATTTTAACCGATGGGCAAAAGTTAATCTAAAATATCAATTTGATTAAAAATTTTATTTTCTAAAAGTTTTGTTTAGAGATTTTTGATATTCAGTACGTGTTTGTATGTAAATATTTGTGGTTACGTTAAGTTAGGTTAGTTCAATGTTAAAGGTCAGATTTGTTTAGTAAACAAATATAACTCATGACAGAAGAGGTTTGAAATTTAATCTTTGGCATTTAAAAAGTTACGAAATACTTTCACACAAAACTGCGTTACGTTATAACTTATAATCACAAAAGTTTTACGCACCAATCTTCAAAAAAAAAAAACAATTCTGCGTTTGATTCTGCGAAAATATTTATAGTATTATTAAGAAAGTTTAAGAGGAATTTATTGCATTTCCGCTTTGACTGAATTGATAATATTGCATAAATTTCTTCCTAACGTATTTCCCATTGTACTTCAAATTTATATGTTGTTTATAGTGACAACTTTCTTTTCATCATTCATACAAACCAAATCATAAATCCTTATTTCAATTAAATTGAAATTTGGAATTTACATAAAAGCAATATACCACAAAACCAACGTTGAATAATAGTAACAACAAAATTTGATTATACAATTAAATAACAAATGTTATTGCAGTTACACCAACACCTACGCAGATTTTAGTACCTATTTAGGAAGCATAATAAGAAAAACCATGCAGCTAGTTTGAACAAATAGTAAAAGTCTAGTTTGCAGACACTAGGTCGCCAGCGTGTTTTCTTCTGCTTTCACATCAACTTTAATGCAATTCAAAAGTAATCGTTTTATTTGTGAAATGTCTTGAAAATGCCTAGCGCGGTGGTTATCTAACTCTTCTCGACATATGATACGTGCAATTGGACAGTGAGTGTTTGCACTATTAATTACAGTTATGGATGGTTGCTAATGGTTGACAACTCTTGTCTGAATTGCAACAAACTATTTGCTTATTTGTGCAAAGTTGATAATTGCTCTTTAAAATTAGCTTAATATTTTAAGTTGACACCTTGCAAACAATTCTAACAGCTTATTTTAATACACAATTATTACCAATTTCTAATTAAAATTTGTTATTATCTTTTAAATTTATGAATCTAATATTTTAAAAGTTACTCACATGCAGATGCACGTACTATTTACACAATAATCGCCAAATCAGTTCGGAGGAAACTGCACCAACGATTAATCTGAACTGAGAAAGAAATTAGACGTCTAGCGAAATATATGGAGTTCCCGATTCCCATTCCACCATTTCGCCGGTATTCACCTAACGCCAAGCACAATAAACGCAATATTCAGTAAAAGTTTTACTCGCTGCGCCGCCAATTGAGACGAAGACATTGCCCATTTAATAACAAAACATCAATCCAAAAAAATATAACATATCATTAATTTGCGGTTTGCGCTCGTGCGTACTTGGAGTAATAATTCTTATATAATAATCTAATTGTACATCATTACGTCGTTTTTATATATGGAGCATTTATTCAACTTTATTTTTGTTGAAATTGCCGATAAAATAATTAGTAAAATAACAGAGATGGTGTTAACGTTGGTCACATAACATTAAGCAATGTCTATTACCTAATGATTTATATTAAAATATTATATAAACTAATTAACTTGATTCGAATTACCCTATATTCTCTGTGGGATTGATAAAAAACGGAAATGAACATAAACATACCCATTGTGTTGCATTTCTTTTGAAATTTCTGCTCTAGTAGAAGCCAGTCATGGTTCGGCTGATTTTGTACATATTAATAATGACTTACGTGTTAATGAGATTTCAGCATGCGGTGATATTTATATTGTTCATAAAAAAATTAAGTATTGTTTTTTCCGTGTTGCATAGTCATTACATTGTTATGGTGTGAGTGATTTGTTTGGTAGCATTGGATAGGATAGGGTGGATTGTTTGAATTAATTTTTTTGTGCACCAATCGTTAATTTTACATAGAAGTACTACCTACTTGTAAGTAGGTACGTATCGTACATATGTATTATTAACAGGAATTTTAAAAAATTTCCAATTATTGCAACAGGGTTTATAACTATCATAAATGATATATATCATCTAAATATATATCATTTAAAAATTGTGGAAAAACGATTTTAGATAATTCTTTACACAATAACTTTTTACATAATAATTTTCCAATAAATCTGGCAAAAAAGTTATAATATGCAGGGTGCTTTTATTAAAGATATATTTCAAACCCATTAATCGAATCACATCACAACCCAGGTTTAATCAATAGAATTAATGATTTAATAATATATAAATCATAAGTTAACTCATGCAGTAACTCATACTAGACTATTTATAATATCGTGAAGCAATTATATAATTTTTTTCATATTCGATATCAACTAAAAACAAGTTGCAATCATGTGAAAACTATTTAACAACGTATTATTCCTGTTAAATTAAAAAGGCGAGTAATTTTATACATATTGAGATACATGCCAACATTTCTCTAAATCAGACGAAGTGCAGACTAACTATATAGCCAACTTATAGTCAACTGGCACATGTAAAGTTACCATTTTAAATGAGCAATATGGTATAGTAAGTCATCACCAAAAATTTTTCAAAAGCAAATGCCAGTGTTCCAATGATGTTGCCAATAATCCAGATACCAAAGACAGCACGCACATGATTAAACCGTAAAATAGTGGGCACACTCGCTGGTTCACGAGAATCCATATATTCAAGTAAGTGCCCTATTTTATTTTCACACATATATGTATCCCATTCCCATTTAATCATCAAACCAGCATCTTTGCACCTCAATATAAATTTGTCCAAAAACGGAATGAATAGAATATAATCATACCTGGATATGCAAATGGCACTGTACGATTTTAGGAAAAAATAATTCATTGATCTTACAAATGGGAGGATATTTAGATTGTGTCGGCTCAACGATGTAGATACTAAAAAAACAAACACAAAAATAAAGAATGAATTAATAAGCGAAACATTTTCATAAAAGAACACATACGTCTTGTAATAGTGACATAGTGTGCTATGGCTTTCTCATAATAAGGCAATTTAAAATTTGTTAATGACCAACGTGAAAATGCACGAACTTCAGCTTCCGTAAACGCGTTGGATTCGAAAAAATTTAACGGGTTGTTTGACCATTGCACCATGAGTTCTGAATCAGCAAGTTGTTCAATGGTCAGCACCTCGCCTTCGTAACTAACAGTCATCATTTTTTGAACAACACCCGAAGAAAACATAGACGATACCAAAACGGCTATAACCAATACTGTCGCAATTAGGCAACGCGTTCGGAGATTGGGTGATATGCTTCGATGATTTAGTCCTTGAAGAAGAAACAAACCAGTAATTGATAAAAATCTGGGAGAATTTACATTCTGATTGATAATATTCTCCATCCAAAAGTAACATCCAATCAAAACATAGCAGGAAAATATTAATATCCATAGTTTTACTTCAAACACTTGAAGCAGTGCCAACCAATTAATATATGATCTTGATTTGGGTGTCAGAAAACTCAAATCCAAATTTGAAACAGGGTATGTGCTAGCCCCAGTCGGACGTCCCAAATAGCCTACAAATATAAAATTGATAACCATTTTGGTTAAATTAGTGCAATTTAATAAAGTTTAACCCAAAATAAACATAGGCACAGTTGGTTTACAGTCGTGGCAGATTATGCCGCTCATATTCATTGACTTTCCAAACTCAAACATCAGAATTACCTCAGATCCCATTGACATAGCTAAAAAAATTTACAAAAATTACAAAAATAACCAATTAATAAGCAGAAATCTATACATGTAAGAATAACTGGAAGTTGGTCTGTTATTCCAACAAACTTCATCACTCCTCCAAGACGCTTCCTTCTCCTATTCGAAAAGAAGTCGTCGATATTGTCATTTTCAAACTTGTTTTCTAAAATATTCCAACGATTTAGAACGCTGTATGAATCCAACTCCCAGTTATCAAAAGCACTGATAACAAAATCGCTTTTAACTAGTTTGATAAAAATAGAATGAGCAGCATAAATCGGTAATATTGGACTACGAAACTTATTAAATTTATAATTGTCAATTGACGTATTTCCAAGAAAAAATACGCCTTTGAATGTATACTCTTTATTCACTGTTAGGCAGTGAATTATATAGGCATGGTGTGCAGCTAATGGGTCAGAGATAATATAATGGTCACATCCCGTAACACATGACGAAGGGTTTACATATTGTGGAATTGTCGTATTCAAAGCACCAACTGAAAAGTCGCGGAAAATATGACTAAATTGCACGATACATCTCGCATTTTGAAAATGAGTCGATATAATAATATTGATCATGACTTGAAATGACTTCACAACGACTGAAATTGAGGGCATTATGAATATGAATCTTTCTTTCAGTCCCGTTGCCTATAATACACTGGCTTTTGTAGATATTATCTATAAGTGGCATTTGTTAATAATATTTGAAAGTATTTATACGAAAAATAATGTCAATTCTGTCAAAATTAACTAATGTAGGTAAATCAGGTGTATTTGGTACCTAATGTTGCTTAATTTCATAAAGTATGCTAATAAATCAGTATTAATCACTAAATTTATTACATTGATGGGGTTTGTATGACACTAAGTAGGTCACCAGTTCAGCTCATTTTTAAAAGCTTATAATTCAAATATTGTCAATGACAATATACAATACAATGACAACTATTTAGTTTAGTTCACAAGCCAATTTTTCCGAAATTAAAGTTGATTGTTAATAACTCATGCAATTTTTATTTCCAGATATTGATTGTAGATTTTTTATTGGTATTTAGATCACGATAAACCAAGTTGTAAGTCCACGAAACGATTCTGCGTCATTTATCGTCGCTGAGGGTCAATTTTTATTAATACAGAATTATTGACGCATGTTAATGTCCTGTATCTAAAGGTTGCTAAGAGAGCATATGTTGGAATTCTGAGTACGACGTAGCAAACGAAAACGTGACATAAACATGGACAAAAAAGAAAACAGAAAAAGCTTTGACCGTACATAACTTTTTGGAAGCTGTGTGACCGATGAAGACTTTTCATAGTCTATCTATAATCATGTTCCCAACTGTTCAACAACTTTTCAACAAATTATTTTTCATTTAAATGCATATTATGGCTGAACTAAATAGTGAGAAAATCAATCAGTAATTTCCACACAAATCATAACTACCAATTCGGCAGTAATTTTCAAAATCATTTATCAGTTTATATTTACCATCTACAGAAATCAAATACCTACATGTTATGAAAGTATGTTGTTACGTGTTTCCTTTTGATTTGACCAATTTAAATCATTACAAACACAAATAGCTTTTCACACAGATGTTCCAATTTAACCAGAACAAATCCGGAACAATTCAACTATCCTTAAATTCAGAACTGTTTGTTCAATATTATATATTTTGTACACATAAATACATAATTGACTTGCAGCTCTCCTTTAAAATACAATAATATATAACACATCCCGTAAAACAATTAAAAAAGAAATAATAACAATTTAAATAGTCTTTATCATTGCTGTCGTCGCATACGCCGTTCCATTTTCTTTTGCTTCTTTTCACTAATCTCTTGCTCAGGAGGTGCTTCTTGGAAGAAGTATGGTGCAAGAATGTTTTTCCACAGAATCCACATAGCACGAATTGGCGCAAACAGCCACAGGTACCAGAAATAATTTGAAATTACTGAGGCTAGCACCTGACAACCTGCTGTGAGGATAATTATGTCCTTCACATGTCTGAAAATAAAATATATAAGAATGTTCAATAATATTTGTATGTAAATGTGTAAAGCAGTATTTTATAGCATTCTATTATAAATCTTGCAATTACACATTACACCTATACACACAATAAAAACCAAAATCAGAAAATTACTTACTCAGCAATTCCACCCTCCATGTTAAGATCCACCCCACTATCAATAAGCTGACCATTTTCAGTATATTTGGGACGAGCCATGTATGCCATAAATTGATATGAAGCTATGTAAATTGCACATGAGAAGAAATATAAAACCTGTAAAATATTAATAACAAACATTGATACAAATAAATATATACATCAAATTAAAGGATCTTACAATGCTGATTGTGGAGTTGTAAAAGACAAGAATAATTAATGAAATTGCATTAGCTGCAATTGCCATATTTCTGTAGAAATTCAAGGTTGACACATTTTCTTCTACAATTTGTTTGGCCCCCTTGGTTGCCACCTTAGCGGATTTCTGTGGAGGCTACAATAAAAGTATTAATAATATATAATAAATTAATTGGGTGATAAATACCGCCATGATTTAACAATTTTAAGTGATAATTTCTGTTATGTTAAAGCACAATACGTGAGTTTTATGAACTCAATCCAACTCGATTCAACAAACTCACTCCTACGTATTCTGAACACATAACCTCCACGTTGTCGCCAACTTTCATTCTGTTAGTACAGAGGGTAATTACTGCGCACCTGATGATGAAAAAACAGTTTATTCAGTAAAGACATAAATATTGCATCTTATTTAATTTAAGAAATAATAACATATATGTAAATATAAATAAGAGTAAACTTAAGTAAACATTCTGATATGATAACCATTGAACTATAAATTGCATATACTCTCGTTTTTGTAAACACCCATTATTTTTGTTCGTTCTACTGTCTGCCGTCAAATTCAAATCATAATAAATCAAGGTCATAAAGGTCAATTGACTTGCAGATGAATGTGTGTTCATAGGAATTGGAATACAAACCCTAGACTCGAGTGCTTATAATTTATGAAAAGATTATCATAACGCGAATATTTTTACGAATATTACACAAGCACATTTGCGCCGGATAATAAAGCGTGAAAGTATAATGGCAATAGTGCAGCAAGTAAGCAAATGTTATTAAAATGCAGAAACTATTAAGAAGTTCTGGTAACCTAAAAGTGTAAATATCATCAAACAAAATGTTTTACTGAAACGATGATGGAATACGAATACACGGCGTTTCGACGAGAGGTCGACCTGCATAATAAGTGCTGCGGCGGTTCGGTGTGGTGTATTCGAGACATTTGTGGAATAATCTGTGCAATATTAACATGGATGCTGATACTGTATGCAGAGTTTGTTGTGATGAATGTTATTCTATTACCAAGTTTTTATCCATTTTACAAAGTCATTAATATGGTGATATTTCAAACATTTGCCTTTTTGGCATTTGCTTCACATCTAAGAACTATGTTCACTGATCCAGTAAGTGAATTTTTTGTAGTAACACTTTGTACTTTTTTTTAAATTCCCATTGTGTTTATAGGGTGCAGTTCCAAAAGGCAATGCAACAAAAGAAATGATAAAACAAATGGGATTTAGAGAGGGACAAGTAATTTTTAAGTGTCCAAAATGTTGCAGCATTAAACCTGAAAGAGCACATCACTGCTCTGTATGTCAAAGATGCATCAGAAAGATGGATCATCATTGTCCATGGGTAAACAATTGTGTTGGAGAAAACAATCAAAAGTACTTTGTTCTGTTCACAGTAAGCCACAATAAAGCATCATTTATATTAGTTTTCTATATAAAATTATTTCAGTTTTACATAGCAGCCATGTCTTTACACTCATTATTCTTGGCTGTAAATCATTTCATGGTGTGCATTCGACATGATTGGAAGGAATGCTCAGCATATAGTCCACCTGCAACTGCAGTGTTCCTCCTATTTTTATCCTTTGAAGCACTGCTGTTTGCTATCTTCACTGCTGTGATGTTGGGCACACAAGTCCAAGCAATCTGGAATGATGAGACAGGAATTGAACAGTTAAAAAAAGAAGAGGCCAGGTGGGTGAAAAAGAGCAGATGGAAAAGCATACAAGCCGTCTTTGGGCGTTTTTCGATCGGTTGGTTCTCGCCGTTTGCTAAGCCTACGCCGAAATCAAAATTCGAAAGCTTTTTGTATTCCGTTTAACAACGGTATTGCAAGCAAACTAATGTCTAATCTAAGTGAAATCAACAATGAGCAACATAATTTTATTACAAAACAGATTTCATCTGATTTATTAAGTAATTATTGACATGCAATTTCAACTTCAGAGCAGTTTTAGACTGAGTATGAAAACTGAAAGGCAACACTGTTTATCAGCTCGTTTTAATTTGTCCATAATCAATATTTTAGAGGTGTAATATTCAAAATTATCAGTCCTGACTCCTTTAATATTTAATTTGCTCAGTGTATTCATTTATATTCATAAATATTAGTCGATTTGGTTAATTAATAGTTGATGCACTAAAAACCAGGAAAAGGTGAACTTATGTACATTAGAAGAAGGGCAGGCAACCTTATTTGATATTAAATTATATTGTTAGCCTTAGCAAGCTATGATTGTATGTATATTCTATGCTGTAACATGAACCTGATCCAATTAAAATGTTAGTGGACACTATACATAGCTTATTAACAGTGTTGCAACAAATGGCTCTATATTTTACTCAAAACTTTTTACATTATTTATTATTATAATTTTTAAAGTTCATTGAAAGCACTGAATTAATTAATAATAGTAATAAACGAAATGCAAGATAGCATTACTATAATTAGTCAAATTTTAAACTAGTTAGTTGAGAGTTCAAATATTATCACTGCTGAAAGTAGATATGAATGTGTTCTGATGTAAATGAGATTGAAAATTTGATTTAATGGCATTATCTATAGTATATTAAAATAATGATCTATAGTAAGTTAAAACCTGCGAACTGACGTTTTACTTTACTTAATACAGGTATTAAGCATTGTTACTATTTATCTTGTTTTTGTAATCATTTGTACAGTGTAGTATCTAAAACATAGATAATTTAAATTCACAATAAAACAACACATACCTATGTTGGCTTTTGGACATATGTAGAGAGTCTCTACTAGAGACGTAATATTTAAGAAAATAAGCATATCATACAAATGTTTAATAAATCAAATCGATAAATAGTAATAAGGATTATTAACAAAAACATTAAATTTTATGTATTTCTTCAAGCAACAGGTTTATAAGTATACTTAGTAATTAGTTCTTGCTACATCTGTGAGTGAAGCATGGTATGTACGGTTCAGGTGAGATGGTTATCCCCGGAAGTGGTATACCAGTGAGTGGCTTCGATTTATCCGCCAGTGACAGGGTATAAGTTTTCATAATTCCAGCAAAGAAGGTGAAGATGCAGCTACGTGCTAGTGCATCTGCTAAGCATTTTCTTTTTCCTGTAATTAATTAAATTTAAGTTAGTGAACTTAACTTAGTGCACTCAATTAAAAATATACCAATATTGAATGGATTAAAGTGTTGAGGAATTGTTACGTTGCCATTCTGATCCAGAAATCTTTCCGGTTGGAAAACATCTGGATTTTCCCATAGTTTTGGATCGTGATCTACTGCGTAGTTGTTTATTAGCACTGTGGTTCCCTAGAATGTTAAGTCGCATTTGTTACAGTCAAGAATAGCGGGACAGACTTTGTTGGTCTATGATTTGTTGAATTGGTCAATGCCCCTATTCGCAGCATTACTATTGAGCTTTCAAAAATTATGATATGTTAAATAAGGAATGAAAATTGGTACAAAGCTTCAATTATAGATATAACTAAATAATTGAATTCGCAATAGTGCTAAAATACATTATTAGCTATTGTCATTTCTTTAAAATTAGTAGGCAAAAACTAGTTTACAATAAATAGTACCTTTGGTATGTCGTAGGATTCTAATTTTGTATTTGCGAGCGTAATTCTCGGACCAGTTATTGGTGAAACATTATAATAACGTTGAACCTCACAGATGACAGCCTCCACATACGGAATTCTAGAAAACATTATTTAATTTACTTTCTAATGACTAAAGTAGATAGCGACTCACAAATGTCTGTCCTTATAGTGTGGCAAAGTGCAATTGGTATATGCTGCATCAATAGATTCATGTACCTTCTTTTGAATATCTGGGTATAGAATCATGCACATTAACGCAAAATCCAATGTGTTACTTGTTGTTGTGGCACCCCCGAAAAAGACATCTACACACAACATCAAAAGCTGATCCTCTGTGAAAAACATAAAATTGCATTAATGCACAAATTCTGATATATTCTACCAACCAGTAAAAGTTTCATCAGAAGATTGATGCATTTCGGTCAGAAAGGCGTAAATAACATCATCTTTTCTATCTGGATACCAAGTATCACTATGCTCTTTAATCACAGACTTAAATAGTTCTTTCATTTCGTTATTGATATTCATGATCAATTCGTATCCTGATGCCTTGGGTGCTATGAATCGAATCCATGGAAACAAATTCAGCCAGGTCCCGGCCATCTCAAATACTTTGGACCGCCTGTTCATCAGTGTGAGCAAATTTTGCAAACGTTCATTACTGTATTCTAAGCGTTCGCCGGCAACCAGAGTCCATAAAATGCTCAATACAGACGTACCGATGATCGTCTTGATTTCATGCAAATCGTTTTGGCCCATAAAGTTGATAATCTTGTTGACTTCGTCGGTGATCATAAAGTCCATCTTTTGTTTACCGAAACCGAGTTCTCTCAAGTGCCGTATGAAAAACCGGCGTTGTGTTTTCCAGTGTTCGCCATTTGTAAAAGTAATACCTGTGTTCATTTAATTAAATGCAATTAAATTCTATTACATTGTATGCAATATTGTTCTTACCTTTATTGGTACCAAATGATCTTAAATTGGAGAAAAAGTTGATAGGTCTAGCCTGATATTCATCCTGCATTAAAACTTCTTTTAGAAGTGACTCGCCGGACACGCACACTGTTGCCTCATTCCCAAATTTTAAACCGATTACATTCGAATCGTAGATTTCCGATAATTTCAGGAATGCTTTGTGTGTGCCACCAAACTGTTTGGCAAATTCTTTTACTGTTGGCGTACTGCCTGTAATTGGATGCCATTTGGGGCCTGGGAAAATAGATTAATTCAAAACTTAACACATAGTTAATAAATTTACGAATTCACGAAAAATCATTAATTAAAAAATGCTCACAACGGAATGAAATAAATTTTTCTATAATATTTTATTGTTACATAAATTTGAATTATATATTTTTTTCAAAAGAAAATTATAATTTAAATTTACGTAAAAAGAAAATATTATAAAACCTAAATCATGCATTACCTAAACGGAAACGAAAACGGAGACAAAAACAGTAAATAAATGATTTACAACCAACTGAGAAAGATGCGTACCTGGTGGGAAGTTCTTCGGTTTTACAGTCTTTTCGTACAAATATAGCAACACACTAACTCCAATTAAAAATAGCGTTAATAGAATCATTTTTGATGTGGCGTTATATTACAGCAATGTGTTTAATTCTAATTCTATTAAAGCACTTGTTGCCGAACTTTAAGCGTACCCGCGTTTGCGGCAGCGGCACATGAAGTTAAACTACAAGTCACTAGAGACACGCACAAGCCGGTGGCTACAAACGGATAAACTTTCATCAATTGAGTGGCCGAAGGTCGCCTCTCTGCGTTTTTATACAAGAGATTCTAACCGCGCCGAATTTTTTATAAAGCTTTGTTTTTTATTCGATTTCGTTTTTCTCACGCGTTCATGTACAGTGCAGAGTTTATCACTTGTTTTAAATTAAACAAATTGGCGCCACATGTTTAGTATTGAGTGCTTTTAAATAGCGCTAAACTTGATACTGAATGCATCACGCTCATTAATGTTATCTTAATAGAAGTAAAATGATTAAATATTTGACTGATACTAACTGACTAAGAATTTGATATGCCGCTAAACTGCGCAACGCTAGTTATATACTCGAGGAGCAAATATTGTATATGGCAAACAAATAACAATAATTTTACTAATTACTATAAATTCAAATCTTTGTATTGGATAATATTTACCTCATTAAAATATAAATATATAGGAAACCTGCATGTACTGAAGTATATTGAAATTGTAAATATATAAAGAGTTTCCCAACGCGTCAGTACTATAATCGTTATAGCACTTATTATTTATTTATATCCTGCAAACAACATAAATATACGCTTCAATGAATTTATTCAGGAAATGCTGACATACCTGGACTATTAAAGTTACAAAAAGCAAAAACTGCATAATTAATTGCAGTTTATTAACATCTAATGTACTAACAATTCATAAAATTAATCAATTCTTGTCATGATTCAGTACTTTTTTTTTACATTCGCTCGTGTATAAGTTTTCTACTAGGAAAGTAGAAACTGAACTGCTAGGCGCCCATTTTTTAAAACAATCATTTTTATCCTGAGAATCTGTTAAATCAATTGAAGAAGAAATGCCTTGTCGCAATAACGTATGTAAGTGCGTAAGTAGTTCGCATGGTATGTCTTAAGAATTGTTTGTTAGTAGGTACGATTAAAAGAGCAAAAAGGAATTTATTTAGATTTTCTTAATGTAAAGCTCTAAGACATAACCTCAGACATAACTTTGTCTAGGAGTTGCCTAACGTTATGTGGGATGACATTTTGTCTTTTCATTGAGTACATTTAATAAAAATAACAATAACAATACAATTGTATATTTTACATCATTGACTGTTAGATCTGTGTTTTCATTTAATATTAATTTACATATTCAATATAAAACAGTCGTTTAGAATATAAGCTAAAATGCATTTAATTGGCGTGTCTTTTTTTAAAAGATGCTTTAAAAGGTTCCGGCGATATTGTAATGCCTGGAATCTCGATTCCGGTTAGTTTTTGTGACTTGTCATGCAACGATATCTCATAAGTCTTCATTACTCCAGCAAAAAATGTGAATACGCAATTTCTGGCCATTGTATCTGCCGGACACTTCCTCTTACCTATAATCAAAAAACATCATTTCAATTAAATCATCTTATTTATTATTACCAACTTATTACCAATATTGAATGGGTAGAAGTAATTTGGGACAACAACTTTTCCGCTGTCGTCCAAAAAACGTTCTGGGCGGAAAGTTTTTGGATCTTCCCATATTTTTGGATCGTGATTCGATGAATAATTGTTGATCATGATAGTAGTACCCTAAAAAATATTGATGATTGTTGTATTACACAAATATACATAATAATCTATAAATCAAATTAATTCATACCTCAGGAATGTCATATGATTCTAATTTGGTGTTATGCAAAGCAATTCGGGGACCGGTTATTGGCGTCACCAAATAACACCGCAAAACTTCAAATATCACAGCTTCCACGTAAGGCAACCTGAGCAAACAATTATGTTTTAATACATTGTTATTCATATAATTAAATTAAAACATATGCTTACAAATGTCTGTCTTTGTAGTGTGGCATAGCTCCATTTAGATATGCCTTGTCGATACATTCATGAACCTTCTTTTGCACATCCGGATATAAGAGCATGCACAAGAAAGCAAACTCCAATGAAGTACTCGTCGTCGTAGCGCCACCAAAGAAGAGATCAACGCAAATCATGACTAGTTGATCCTCTACAAATTAAATAATCAGAATAAAATTTACCGAAAATCAAGTGAAACACACCTGTAAACGAATAATGCTTTGTTTCGTTCATTTCGGTGAGAAAAGCATAAATTACATCGTCGTTACGTCCTTCATGCCAATTTTTGGTGTGCTCGTTAATGACTCCCATAAATAACTCTTTCATTTCTGAATTAATGTGCGATATCAGCTCGAATCCGGTAGCTTGCGGGGCAATGAAGCGCAACCAGGGGAAAAGGTTCAACCAACCACCAGACATGTCAAACCATTTCGTACGTTTGGCCATTAGATTCAAAAGGTTCTGCAACTTAGCGTTATCATTATTTAAACGTTCACCAGCAAGCAAAGCCCAAATAACGTTCAACACGGATGTAGCAAAAATTCGACTGATAGGAGGTGTGATGTTGTTGCCAATTTGTTCAAGAATATTGTCCAGCTCTTCAGCCACCATAAGATCCATCTTTTCTTTTCCAAAACCGACATCTCGCAGTTGACGCAAGAGGAATCTACGCTGGGTTGTCCACAAATCTCCATTAGTAAATGTTATTCCTTTAAAATGATTAAAAAATTAATTAGATACATAATAGACATGTTTGTAATCATCAAGAACCTTTATTTGTTCCAAATGATCTTAAAGTTGAAAAGAACGTGGTAGGCCTAGCTTGAAATTCGGGTCTGGTTAAAATTTCTTTAAGGGCTTTATCATCATGAACACATATCGTAAGTTTTTGTCCATATTTCAAACCAATCACATTTGAGTTGTAAGTTTCGGAAAGCACATGCAAGGCTTTATGGACGCCGCCGTGTTGTTTTGCAAGCGCTCTTATCACTGGTGTATTACCGGTGAAGGGATTCCATCTTGGTCCTAATTGAAAGGAATATTAAAATCAAATTAACCATTTTTTTTTTATTAAAGATATTTAAATTTACCTGGAGGAAAATTCTTTGGCCTCAATGTCTTTTCATACAGGAACGCCAACACGGTAATCGAGATCAATATAAGTGTGATGAAAATCATTTTGTCTTTTTACTTTGAACACATTGCTTAATGATAAACTTGATTTCATTGGAGCATGTCTGAATAAACTGTAATAAAGGTCGCGAAACATTTGCTTTTATATCATGCAAAACTGTTTAGAGGGTATTCTAATCTATATTACATTGCTATACATTTTTTGCATTTGCACTTGATTGAACGGACCGAGTATTTGGTGTGTTTGTTAAATGTCTAAAAATATGTATCTATTTATTACATTTATTTGCATTGTAGATGTCTTAACTTATATTGTTAAATAGTATATTATCTTTATTACAATTAGTACATGATTTCTTTACATTCATTTTTCTAGACTAAATTAAAATTTAGCAAGTTCATAGATCGTTGCGTTAATCAGCTCTCCTCATGAATTCGAACTATGTTCCATTTGATAAGAGTTAGTAAAAGTATAAAAAATATGCACTATATTCAAATGATATGCAACAGTAATTGGCACACATGTTTAATGCATGCAATAATAAGTCTATATTTATTTATTGTACCACCACCCAATTTTATAATTGATTGTTTTTGTGTATTACATATTAAGTAAAGTTGCAAAATACATCATAACGGTGTACATTGAGTCAATTATATCCTCTGAATGATTCATGATGGTACAAAAAATGTAGATATAAAATGCCAGTTTCAGGCCTCGATCCAATATGTACATGCTGAAACAACATTTTTATTATTTTATTATTTATTTTAAAAATATGTTTACAATACGAATTGCAGTATTTCGCGATTGTGCAACATCTCATATGTTAATATTTTTTGTATTTTAAATTAGGTTTGACTGAATTTAGACTAAATACATTTGAATAATACTTACAATGTTTGCTGCACGCGACATCTCGGCAACGATTTTAAATCCTCCTTCATGCAGTACTGTCGAGTGCCCAGTATGCAATGCGTTAAGTACTGCTTGACTGACATTATCTTAAAATTAATGTGGAATGTCTTCTTTTCTCGCTCGTCGAGACCCTCATGGATGCTCAAAAAACGCTCACTTGAAAACTTCCAATTGCGGGTGGTGAAAAACTGTAGTAATTCTAAACCATCATGGATCTTCTGTTGAACGCGTACCATACTAAAAAGAATATTTGTATTAATACTTCCATAAACAATATCTGTTATGAAATCCTAGTGTGTCCTATATTAAGTGTGATATATTTGATTTCTAAAAGTCTGACTTTACCTACTCAAATTAAAGATGATTAAGAAAATTATTACAGAAGAGCTGCATTTGAATTTGTGAATTGTTGCTACATTTTGGTTCGAGCAAATTAATTGATTTTACTTTATAAAACTAACATAAAAGTTTTAAACAACGTTGCAACTGCGCAACATTGCGCAAAAGACACAAAAGACATAAATTTACTTTCGAAAATTGCGGTTAATTGCTAAATTTATATTATATAATATTTTTGCAAAAAAAAAACACGATATAAATACTAAGCATCCGGATCACCAAGCATTTGTTTTGATGTAGATAACATATATGCCATTTCAGTAAAAATGAAATTTGAGCAGCCAAAATAAATCTACGTCATCATAAACTTTATTCTTAACAAACATCTCACAGGTCTTATTTTTCACTTTTCTGATATAATTTAACCTCCGAGGTTAACGCGCAATCAAAACCAAAACTTCCCAAACATAGTGTGATTGATATAAATGCATCGTTTGAATGCAAATGTGTTATCGCCATCAAGAAACAAGGCGATAAAAATTTGCATAAGATACTCACAATCGTTTTTGTCGAAATATGAACATTAGCATATCGATGAGGTAGGCAGGTAGCCAATGTGTGAAAATACAATATAGCCAATGCACGAAGTAGCAGCTCCGCATGTCACCATCCGGATACCAAATCATCTGCTCAAAAGGATATTTATAGTATACTTCTTTTCCGAACTTGAGTATCTCGCCCCATGTAATGTGGAAGACGCCATCATTTGTGAGATTATAAACAGGCACTTCGTCTCGTCTGGAATCGAGGAAATTTCCGAATTACAAAATACAAAAACAAATCATCAGTAAATGACATTAATGTGCACACCTTTTCTCAGAGCCGGTTTTGTATGCGATAATAATCAAAGCGTTTATAGCGACATCACATGGCACAGTATGCGCATTGTATTCGCCTTTGCAGTGCATGGATCGCAGGACTCCCTTCCCGGAAGCTGCGATTAATCCCATTGGTCCATTGAGGGTGTCTACCCAGCCAGGCACAGGATCAATTCCACATGGCGTTACTAAGAAACAACAAATAAGATAAATAAACTTAATTTATACTTAATTCTAAAGCCCGGTTTACACTATGCATTTTAGCGGATAATTTTCACTACGTCAGGATATTGATGCATACCAAATGCATCGTATAATCAGCGTATTGTCAAAATTGGAGTTAGGTTGAGCTGGTATGCACGATGCATTTAGGATGTCGCGATATTCTGATGCAGTGAAATCGTTTCGCTAAAATGCACCGTGTAAACCGGGCTTAATATTGTCTACGTACTATAAGTGTTTTTTTGCATGGAAAACTTTATCTGACTGACATTTACCCCTTCCATTTTGTTTTTGACGAAAATATATTATATATTTCTAGGTGAAGAGGTGAACGTCTAAAGCAGACCATATTTGTCTGCCCACAAGTTTTCAGCTCGTTTATAGTGAATAAAATAAATTGTGAAAAGAAATTTACCAATTGATGGACGTACAATGGCCACATTAATATTATCAGCTTCATTGGCGACTAAAACTTCCGCCAATCTTTTACTATAAGTATAAGTGTTCGGATGTGGTTCAATCAGTTTCTTGGTTATCGGAATTAATATTTCATTTCTTAAATATCTTGTGATGTCAATAACGTGCCGTGGGTCGTCCTTAGTTTCGTATACCTGGAATATTATTAATAAAAATTTGCAACAATATTATACTTTTTTGTTATAAATTATATTACTCGTTCTTCAAAAACTTCAAGATCAGCAGAACAAAACGCCGTGCTCATATGAATAAATACATCCAGTTTACTGAATTGTTTCACGACGTCGACCACCCTTTGAGTTCCAGCAGTGTTCTGTTCGATTGCATCTTTCAGCGTCGCTTCCAACTTCAAAGTGGCACCACAGTGAAACACCACCGAAACGTTCTCAACAAGCAGTTTCATTTCAGCATCAGAAATGCCCAAGCTTTCAGTGACTAAATCGCCGTGGATTGGGATTATTTTCGATTTTAAGTGTGGGCTACCTTCCCGAAGTCTTGAAAAGCACTGCAATGGAATACAATTCGTAATGAAATTTCAAGTTTTTAGACATAATACATACGGGTAGTTTCCAAATATCATCAATGCGTTGCTCCACGGACCTTCCTCGTTTAGGTCGCATGAGAATATATAAGTTTCCGATATCTTCACATGAGTACAGTAGTTTTTCGACAAGGACTTTGCCCATAAATCCCGTGCCACCGGTTATGAAAATGTTTCTGCCGCGGTACCATTGCACTACTTTTCCGGTCGCTTCCGTCATGATTCCTTCTAAAAAATATTATTGATACTCATAAAAATGTATAATACATAATTGTTTTATAACATTATAGTAATGTAAATTTAAAACTCAATGCATTACAAGTTAAATTATGGTAAATAGTGATTTGTGCAAGTTTTTATGCTGATCATAATCTTTGATTTCGTTTGAACACGCAAACGGTATAATAATGGTTTACGCATCGTATTTAGTAATGATTAATAAATTAATGATATAATCAATTGTTTTATATGATATTTGTATAATTATTTAAATCATTGTGCTACTTTCTGAAACTAATGAACTTTTTTCTTCTGTTTTAAATTACAGACTTTTGCTGTCGTTACGGATTTGTACCTAATTTAATTTGAAGAATGTTCTGCAATGCAAATTTGAAAGATTCATCGCTCAAACAGGTAAGCGACATATTCCGCAAAATGGACGAAATGATAGAAAAAAAATTTGCAGAACGTATGTTTTTTTTAGTGTTACTATTGTAGTTAAATTTAAATGCAGTTAAGGTATTTATTGTAAAGATCTGAATACATCTTATTTTATACTTTTCTGATCTTTTTTGCTTTGTTTCAGTTAATTTAATTATAAACAAAGTGTTTTGGTTTGGTTTTCCGGAAACACTCATTAAGCCGAGTAGCTTCGACATTTATTTTATGATCACAGCTTACAATCCGTAATCATCACACATGATTATAGCTGCTTTTTTACCATTTACATTTTCACTTTCCTGTGCTATTACTACGCCTTCCTTAGTTGAAAACTAAAACTTTACGTGCAAATAAACTTTTCACCATATAAAATGCCAAACCACCAAATTATTTATTTGCTATTTATTTCCAAATGCAATAAAAAGAAATGACCACGATATATTTTATATTTGCAGTTGAATTAGAAATTTAAACTTCTTATATAAGCTATTCAAACATTTCTTTTATATGACTATATATTGTGTCAATAACACTTCAATAACTTCAATCTCAATTTGAAGTACGGCATTGAAGCGCTTATTACGCAATTTCACACCAATCAGGCTGAATATCAAAATATCTATCAAGATTTTATATAGAGATTTGTTGATTTCTAATTTTTTATTGTCATTTAGATTATTACATTATAACAATTGTTACCAGAAATAAATAAATAAAGTTAAAAAAGGAAATAGTTTTGATGTTGTGAAAGTAGCAGTTGTAAATCTGAAGGTCATCATATTTAAAAGTACATTAACATTTGCAAATTTTGAGAATGCATTAATATCGACAATGCAGTTAACGATCACTATGTCTGCAATTAATAGAAATGTGTGTTAAATGTGGTGCTTCACCGCTCAGTAATTTAAATATTTATGGTGCATTTTCATGTCAGAAAAACAATTACTGTTTTGTGCAATAACTTAAGCTAGTGCTATAAATTCTTGTTTTACGCAACTTTCAAAGAAAAATATTTAACCATATTAACTACAGAACATTGCATATTGTATATTAGGTATATAAAATGAAATTTTTACAGATGTGTTAGATGTGCACTACGCACTTATGCGTAAACGAATAATAAACAATTAACGCAGTACCAAGAAAAATTGCAACTGTGTAATACTTCTTCGCTGAACATAACATTCGCAGAAATATTTTAACCTATGTTTTGTATTCATGCTTGGCATATAATAAATACAATTAATAAATTGTATAGTAGATAAGTTTAGACACACTGAATATAACATTTTTTGAGACGCAGAATGCATAAAAATTATTTACTGCTTTATGATAAACACTATATTCAATTGATAAAAACTGAGCTGATTCAAATGATGTCCATAGTTAATTAAAGAATAAAGAGACTATATTTTTAAAATTTATTTTATCTTTCGTTTTTGCTTGATAATGAATTAGAATTGGCTTGGATGTTTGTGGGAGTCAAAACTCAAATATAATAAAATTTAAAAAAATAATTAGGTAGGTATTTAAATATAATTTTTATGTGACTTGAAAACTAATATAAAGGTTACTTTTACATAATAGTTCCTAGTACTAACTGCAGTGGAATTAGCGTATGATAACTTTTTACCTCCGTAACATCAGTAGAAAATTTTGAATTTATTACACACACCGACATCACTTTTACCATTGCATTAAGTACCGCATTCTCTCGTTGTCACTACAACAAAATATCATACAAAAGTAAAAGTCTATTTATATGCGTATTTATAATTCTATTAATGCGTAATGAAATGCCGGAAAACTCTGCAATGTCAGAGACAGATTTACGAATTAAAACGCAAATAAATGTTCGACATGAACAGCATTAAACCAGTTTTTCGCTTTTCCTGCTGCAATATATTTAAAAGGGAAATGGCCACTTTCACTCGAAACATTCACGAGATATATAACTGGCAATAGGTTGCAACTGAGTGCAAGAAGTGCAACCGATACCGGTAAGACTAAGAAAGTAAAATTTGCGGTTCAAGTATACAGTTAGGCCGGAGCGTTTGCAATAAATCTGTGGTTTAACTTGTATGCACTAAGTTTGGAAAGAGTTGTTGCTTTACTGTCACGTAAATGTTATGCTGTCGTTTTCTTGTATCTTCCTTGTTTTTTGTGTGCTTGTGTTTTGTGAAAATAAAGAAACATCTATTATTAGGTAGCTATTATTATTATTTGAAAATTTGTTAAAATATTTAAATATTCATTTACGTTTAAAGGTATAAATTTGGTAAATAAATTTATAATATATTACTTGGGTATTTTTGACTGCATTTCTTGGAACAGATTTATTTAAATATGCAAAGTGAATATTGATTATGCAAATTATATCCCCACATTATTGTTTTTGATTATTTTTGCTTTAAAAATTATATCGAGTTCAAGGTTCTATTATGAATTAAAATTTTAAGTAGTTATCGCATCTGCCTATCCCGAAAATATATTTATTTGTTAGTAATATAAGTTATAAATGAATAACGAAAACTACTGTAATATGTTCCTATAATTTTTTTTATAGAGCCATGTCCTAATATAAATTTTCACATCGTTTTGGGTAAAACATTTAAGACCAGAACAGTATCTTATAAAACCTATGAGCAAAATGAAGAAACAAAAAAATGTATAGATGCATTAGTTGTTTTCTTGTACGAAATTTTTAAATTCATTTAATTTTGACAAAAATTTTAAAATATTAAATACTGTGTTTCTTTTAGTATTTAACAAACAATTAATTTTATTTAAAAACTTGCCAATGTAATTTTAAATTACACAATTCAAACAATTGGCAATGCGTTAATGGCTTATTGCATCAGTGCAATTGCAATTACGTTATTGCTTTTCGAACAGCTTCATACGCATAAAAGGATTAAACCCATTAAAATCACTTAGTGTTATAAGTGAGTGTAAGTTATAGGCAAAAACAGTAATAAACAATAAAAGCGTATAATTGTTTTAAATTTTTTGTCAATTAAACAAACAAAAGTAGTAATGTCACATTTTTAAAGTAAGCTTACCTTCTTAATACAATAACAATGACGTAATTTAACGTAATTTCAAATTAAAGAAATAAGAAATATAAAGTACACTTGACTGGAAGTATTGAAAATGTCTCAACTTGCACTTTCACGTCCTCGCTTAAAGGTAGAAGACACACTAGCAATAGTCTAGCTGAGAACAATAATATATATGCCTATAACGCAGGCTGCTAAGCGCTAATATTACCATTTGCTTTCTGCAAGACCGTTTAGTAAAATAGCAATGGTGGGACGCTCAAACATGCGTGTAATATAATTACGCTGTATTAAAGATTGGTTGCGATTTTATGATTGATTTTAATTCCACAAGTTAATTGGAAAATCCAGTGAAAAGTGAAATTACCTCGTGGAACCTCTATCGTAAATAGAAAATAAATACGTTTATATGTTGTAATAATTTTTTTTTATTATATCACAATACTAATATTTTTATCTATATTCGATTTGATTCGTAAAAATCTTCGACGCGTAGGATCTATTCAGTATTATGATGTCATTCGACATTATATTTTTAATGGCCAATTATATTTTATAGAGTAGGTACGATATCTGTACCTGAAAATCACATAGATTATTAAATCTTAAATTTAATTGACGATTATATTACAAAGTTCAGCTTATATTCTCTTCTTTGGAAAGCAATCACACACTTTCTTCAGATTAAGTCCAATCAAGCATCAAGTGTACTATTTTGTTTACTTAGCGTTGACGTCACAAGCAACGCTAAGCGTTTTATAAAACAGTTGGCATTTTTTCAAAATAAGTCCAGAAGCCTAAAACATTATTTCTATATTGTGCAATCCCCACCAAATCAGTCATTTGGCTTTTGTGTCTTGTTGTGTTATCCATATTTTTTAACTCATTTTAGTGGCAGTTTATTAGGATAACATTTCATGAATATTGACCAGTACGTATTAGAATAATTCCCAAACGAAAATACGGTCCGAAATTATGACCATTTGGAAAACATATTTTATTGGAAAAAATAACAATATTTTTAAATGAATATTTGTATATCTTTGGAAAACTATTTACGCCCCCTAAGTGACATTCAATTTGGTTTAAAATATCTGATCTATTCTTTATGTATGTGTTTATGTGTTTTATTTATGTCTAATCTAGTGAACAAGAACAATTATTATGAAAACTTTTTGTTGGTTGCTGCATCATGTCTTCTCTGATTTCTTCTGCGACAGTAGATTCTCCTTAACCCCCCTCCAGATGCTGAAAATCTAGTTTAACTTCGTCACACATAGTCTTCTAACAACACCAGTTTGAGTCGGTACGGTAGCAACTTACTTCGGACATCCTCTCTTGTTTATTTTAATTTAATGTCTATTCATGATGAGAAATAGGGCTCATACTGTTTTTAATGATCACAGACATGCTCGCCTTTTATCAACTGTTAAACATAACAGACATAAACCAGCAAAAATACATATGTAACACTTATAAACATTTTATTCTACAACTAGCAAAATTACTTCCTAATAAACTGTGTATACCACATAAAACTTGTAATCATACTCAATGAATACCAAGTTAATACATAAGATAAATGCTCATTTCTAAGGGAAATTCGTGTTTGGCCACCAATTGGTGCATGTTCCTTTGCAAAATCAGTAGTTGCATCTAGAAATATTGGTGCTGCACCAGTTGCAGCAGACATTTGAGTCAAGTCCCTAGAATGTATTTTGTTTGATCATTCTTCCATATTAAATTAAAAATATTAACAAATGTACCTATAAAACCATGCATCCTTAGCTTCTTTATTTGCAGGCATAAAATTAGGCCTATTTTCATGTAATCGAACAATACCAATTACATCAACTTCACCTTGTACTTGTCCCTTTGGTCTGGTGGATGGATCTTTATACCTACCAGGAACCCATCCTCTGTTGATCAAAATTGTTTCTCTACAAATAATAAGCTGATTGCTACCTTCTACAGTCAATTACTTCAAATACCAACTCTCTGTCTGCTAATTTAAATGGAGTTATGACTAGATATCCCTGGGATTTCTTATGATCCTTAGAAAATAGTGAACTTTCAGTAGCAGCATCGCCTTCAGTTATCAAAGTCCTGGGACCCATATGTAACTCTTGATTATGCAAGAAATGCCCTTTAACATGTACTGGATGATATTCTAATTTCTCAATTTCTTCTAAAGTTTTTGGTAAATTTGTTGGAGTTGCATGAACACAATCTTGTAATTCCTTTATTAAACTTTCTTTCCATGTTTTTCTCTGGATTTGCCAAGTTCCCAAAGCAAAAGTAGATGCAGGAACTACCTATAATTTACTCACTGTAAAAATGTATTATTGTTGATTACAATATATTTACTAAAAGAGACCATCCAAAGACTCCAATTTGTTTGCCAATATTCTTTCTCCTAAATGCTTGAGAAGAGAATTGCAAAAATTGATCGCTTTTTGTTCTGCTTCTGAGCATATTTAGCATACTGCGTAACATGATTTATTCCTGTAGTTCCTGTAGGGAATTAACTATGAATTACTTCTTATTTAATAAAATTAATAGATGCACCGCAGAACAAACCGTTTAAAATTATATTTAAGGATTACAGGTTATAGTGTCCAGAAAACTTGGCTGCCTAACAACAAAATCATTATTTCTTTGAAACTGCTTACAAGTTACAAGTAGGTGCTGTGCGTTGTACCCATTACAGATGATTTTGCTTTTAATGCCCTGTTATTTACGATTTCTACTCCAGATAAGTTATTATGAATATGTAGTAACATAGTATACTTCAGAGAATTGAAAAAGGGACTTAATTACACTAAAATCAGAACGAAACTGAAGCCATATTTTATAACAACATATTTAGTAATCGTATAACTAAAAACAGTCTTTGGTTAAAATTTAATTACACTCCCAGGCATATATTATATTCATTTACATCCATATAAATACATATAGTCTAAGAATACGTGACGGCCAGACATTCGTCATTTTAGAAAATGAAAATGTTTTCAAATTCAAATGATGTTAAATTCGTTATTTTAGCAAACTCTATTTTTGCATATTTTATTCGTAATATTATTATAACATGCGCTGCTCATTGCCAGACACTTGGTATGGTTCCAACCCCAGCCAGACACCAATAAACATTAATATTTTTTAATTATTTTTACTTCATATTAGGACGTCAATCAATGAACTAATTTTCTTAATTTGAGTTTTTTATCGCCATATTATAGTTTAAAGGATTCTTTACACGATTCTTATTTTTCAATCATCCTAAACCCTTAAAAAATGCGTTAAAATGTACTATTAATAATAAAAAAAAATTAACATTCTTGCAGTTTCTCAGCCTCCAATTGTCCATCAAGAGACTCTCTCCAAGATGGTTCTTATTTGTATGGGATAGCGTTAGACTGAAGATCTAAAGCTCCCTGGTTCAATCCTTGGTTTCGACATGTTGCTTTTGACAAAGATTTATCGTAATACTGGAAAATTTCGTTATTACAAACTATATGACTTTTTTTATAGTTTCTTATCGCAATGTTAGAGTTAGAGAGTTTCTCTACACGATGCATATATTTGCACCCCCCCCCCTAGCTCTTCTGAAAATGCTGTGTTTTTTAGAAAGTAGCATTTTTCATAAAGTATGTATATATGGTGCAGAAAACACCCTGTATCTCGTGAACTAATTGACATTAGTTAAAGCTCGAGAGTTCCTCTATATGATGCATACCTTGTGAATCTTCTCGCCCTTTTTGAAGTGCCCCAAAACTGTCTTTAAAAATTTTTCATTTTTCAAAGAAATTTAAAGCATGGCGCGCAAAACACCCTGTATCTCGCGAACTAATTAAATTTTTTAAAGTTCGTCACTGCAATTTTAAAGATCTAAAGTTTCCCTACTCAACACATTCCTTTTCAATCTTCTCACCTTTCCGGAAATGCCCTAACATGCCCGTTAAAAATTGTCATTTTTCAAAAAAATTGAAAACATGGTGTGGAAAACACCTTGTATCTCGCGAACAAATTAACTTTCTTGAAAGTTTGTTACCGCTATTTTGAAGCTCAGAAGTCTCCCTACATGATGCATACCCTTTTGATTTTCGTGTCCTTCTGGAAATGCCCTAAAATGCCATTCAAAAATTTGAATTCTTCAAAAAAATTGATAACATGGTGTGCAAAACACTCTGTATCTCTCTTAAGATTCTTAAGTGAAATGTGCACTCCCATCGAGACTTAAGAATCAATTATCTGAGGAACTAATAGAGATAAACAAAACCGAAAACACCCCGATGTTCAGCGTCAAATCCTAGATAAGATAACATTTTAAAAATTTGAAATATAACATGTGCCTAAAAAATTTCCGCTGCTATTTTCTCGGAAAATAATAAAGATTGAAAAGAATTTTCTTCATTTTGTTTATGCCGTGTTATGGATCTATAAAATGGCAGATTTAGTTTTTCCATTTTCCAAATTTGACCAAAGACCTCTCAAAAGATCAAGAGATTACACTTGACTCTTTTGGACTCAAAAAATTTTTTTTAAGCTAGAAGAAAATGGAAAATGCTAATCGATTGAGTTTTCCAAGGGGATGAAAGATATCAAGTCAGTTTTCCGATAACATCATTATTTTGGAAAATAGGTGGTGAAGTCTAAACTGATCAAATAAAACCACCCCTCCGATTTTACCCAAATGTTTCTAATTGAAGTAAGACTTCAACAGGATTATATTAATCAAGGTTTGGTTGCTTTATCTTAATTAGTTTTCATGTTATTAACCATTTTTAATTAATACGTAAGTGTTCATACCTAAAAATTTTAACATGTTATATAATGTAAAATGCAATTCTACATACAAATGTGAAAACCGTTTTTCTCTATCTCTAATGGTTTTCAAGATAAGTGCGAAAAACGGGTTTATTCGTTTTCTCTATCATTTCCTAAGCAAAAAATAAAAATAGGAAATTACAACCTTTTATTACCAAATATAGAAGAACATGTGATTCTAATTACTTTATTTTAATAAAATTTTGTTCTAAAATAAAGCTTTTTGATAATAATAAGCCTAATTAAGTCGCTATTCAAATTACATAAATTTTTAATAAAATTGCAAATAGGGCCTAAACGATAAATGCTAGCCAAAAAAGTTACTAAAATAATCAATATAGAATTAAATAATCTATCCGAATCCGAAAACAAAATTTAAAAATTCCAACTTTTAATATCGAACATAAAAACGAGAAATCTTTTGCCTTTTTTATAACAAAATGTTTTCTTAAAATTTTTTCTGGAAGAGAATTCTTTAAGGATCAAGAATATGAAGTCCTTTTTTTCGTAGCCCTCTTAGTTCTCAACATAATCGCAATTTAATCTCGCCGCTTTCACGGGAAATTTAAAAAAAATGTCCGGCCCTGTTGTTCAACCGAAATTTTTTTTAAGAAAAAAGTTCGACCCTGATCTTCAACCGAAAAATTAAAAAAAAGTTTGACCCTGTTGTTCGACCAAAAATATTTTAAGAAAGTAAGTTCGCCCTGTTCTTCGACCGAAAAAAATTTAAACAAAAAAGTTCGACCCTGTTGTTCGACCAAAAATATTTTAAGAAAAAAGTTTGACCCTGTTTTTCGACCGAAAAAAATATTAACAGGGTCGAACTGTTATTCGACAAAAAAATTAAATTTTTGGGGCAAAAGTGGCTATTTTCAAAGTGCTTTTTAGGGCACTTTTAGAAAGGTTAGAGGGTTAGAAAAATATGGATCGCGTAGAGAAACTCTCGAACTTCAAGATTACAGAAAAAAACTTCAAAAAAGTCAAATAGTTCACGAAATGCAGAGTGTTTTGCACATCATGTTTTCAATTTTTTTGAAGAATTCCAATTTTGGAATGGCATTTTAGGGCACTTCCAGAAGGGCTCGAAAATCAAAAAGATATGCATCGTGTAGGGAGACTTTCGAGCTTTAAAATAGCGGTGACAAACTTTAAAAACGTCAATTAGTTCGCGAAATACAAGGTGTTTTCCACACCATGTTTTAAATTATTTAGAAAAAAATGCCAATTTTTAAAGGGCATTTTAGGGCACTTGCGGAAGGGTTAGACGATTGGAGAGGAATATTGCTCTATATATATGTATACATATAAAATTCAGCCGTCCTAATATGACGTAAGAATAATTAAAAAAATATTATAGTTTAGGGGTGTCTGGCTGGTGTTGGAACCATACCAAGTGTCTGGCAATGAGCAGCGCATGTTATATTAACGTTATGAATAAAATATGCAAAAGTGGAGTTTGCTAAAATACCGAATTTGACATCATAATTGGTACATCTTTGTTGGCTGTTAACTGCCAAAGGAACCACTATCCAGGTTTCATAATTGGGGATAGTTCTTACCTGTGTTGGAGACACACATAGACAAAAATTCATATTTCCTAAAATGACGAAAGTCTGGCCGTCACGGGCTCTTGCTCTATTACTCTGATACAGAAGTATGCACATATCAATATTATCAATATTTTGCACGTGATCATAAATTTGCCAACGCAAGCAGCAAAATATCTGCGTTTTAATTATGACCAGACTTATTGCGTTCTACTTTTAAATGGTTCGTTAAGATTACACTAATGGATTGTTGTAAACAATCGTTTTATAACAATATCTTATCAGTTACTACCTATCAAATAATAAAAAAATAGTTTCAGGTAACAAAATATTTAAATCTAGATGGTAAAATATAATTTTATTTAAATTATATATATTTAAACTTATATTTCTTTACATATTTTTAAATAAATCAGGGAATGCAGCTTTCCAAACTCTTCTTTAAATTTATTTAGTTTCATATTGAAATGCAATTGTCAATTTTGTTCAGATTTTCTTTTGCCTCCCAAAGTTGATATAGGTTTTAAAAGCAAATTAATTGATTCATAATCTCAGTATTGCAATTGTCCACAACACCATGTAGGGTAACATGCACACATTGTATAAAACATTAAGTGGATGAGCATATTATTTGTAAATTATCATAGCTTAGGAGAATATTCATACACATGGTGGAACTTCATCATCATTTCATTGTGGAGGGTTGTTATGCCATTCTAATAGACTGGATTATTTGGAACACTGCAGAACCACACACAACGAAGATGAAGAGTGCCAACAGCCATGGTCCAACTGGATATGATTCTTTTTCAGATTTCTAAAATTACAAAAATTATGTTTTAAACCCATGAATATCAAAAGCAGTAATACACTGAACACACTCAATTGAGTTGAAATGCACCCAACATAAAAGAAATGTGTACAATATGGTAAGAGATCGGCTTAACTTACGACTGTTTTGGGTACGTTGCCTCGGTTGAGGACGTTCTTCATCGCTTTCTCGTTGGCGAAACGCATCCTTTGCACGGGAGCCATGGTTTACTGGTGTTTAAGTTAAAACAATCGACCAAATTAAGAAAATCAAAACAGAATGTTTGACACGTTTCTACACGATTAGTGTGTCAAACGAATAGCGCGCTTGCTAGCTTCGCTGGCTTGTTTACGGTGAATGTGAATGTGGATAATGGCAGTTGCTGGTTGGTCGTACTGGGGAACAAAAAGCCGACAACGCGACAAATATTCACTGCGCATGTGGCCAACACGGAACCTCATTTGCTCCCACCATGACGGAGCTCCACGAGAATTCGATGTGAGAGCAATTCAAAATATGTAGTATCGTATGGAAGCATAGATTAATTTCTTGAAACCGTTTTTTTACTAGATTTTTGTTGTTACATGGCCATCTTACCAGTACCTTTGTTTTTATAATTTAAAAAATTGACAAAAGTTACGTACGCACCGCCAGTGCATCATACTATGTGTGTATGGTGTACTGCATTGATGGTACAACATTAACTAGCAAAAAAATCCTAACTTACCTGGTGTAATTTGTTTCCACTGAAATGAAATGTCTTATTGCGACTAGAAGGACAAGTTCCCTGCATAAGAATAATAAAGGCATTCCATGCTAAATCTTTTTGACTTGTACATTTGCGATTATTTAATTTTTTTGTGTTTTGGCATTCACTGAGGAAAGCTTCCATGATTTTTCTCTTTTTAACTCTCTTTCAGTATTTTTAGTTTTTAAATTAAAGAAAAATGGATCTGTAACGACTGACAGTTTATTATATTAAAATTTCAAGAAAATCGATCGTTTCGTGTTTTAAAAAAATCAAATTTTTGTGAGAATAAAACACTATAATACATTATAACACAAATGCAACATTGTGGTTATTATCAGTATGTGAAAATTAAAAAGATATGAATAGTTTGCTAATTCAATAATATATGATAAAAATTACTAAAAAAATGTACAATACACATCTTTGCAACTTTTTAATATTTGCATATTTAGGTATACCTGGATTTAACAAAATATATTTATAATAAACTTGTAAAATAATATATGAAAATAGTGATTAATGATAAAAGAATGGTTATATTAATGTAAGTATCATTATTGTTCTTAACTAAAACCTAGCTATTGTTCCAAATTATTTTAAGTGGGTTCATTATAAGGTAATTATATATTTCTGTTCCCAAACTTTCCCTTTGGAGCTAACAGCAACAGTAAAGATTAATAAGATAAAATTGTGTTAAAACCTAGTCTATTAATCAGACGAGACTTCAAAATCAGTCACAAATCTTTGGATAACCATACGTTTAATAGAATAATATCAATTTGTCGGTTTCTTGTTCATAAACATTTATGGATACCATCGCTTATCAGTCAATTAATTATATAAATGCAGCGAATAAACAGTAGCTTAACAATGTTAAAAGTTTGCCATGGTCAACGGATTTATGTGTGTAAGCTTACCTCATTCTACTCTATAATCAGTGCTGGCAACTTCAACCCTTAGATAAATGCAAGTTGCCACAATATAACAATTTGTCCAACTCATTCGATGACATGATAATAGTAATGATAAATGATTTTACGTTAGATATAGTATAGGCCGTGATCAAGACGCGAACATCGGGCAGCAATAGTTGAAGATGAATGTTTATATGTTTAGTTAATCACTGAAGTACTGCTTAAACAGCAGTAAGAATGTACCCTGCTTCAAACTTAAGTCGAATAAGATAACAATCAGATATCTAGATACATTTCAAATAGAGAGCACATACAGCAATTACTTAATTCTACTTGAAGAATTATATTGCAAAACTTGGATGGTTTCAATAACATTTTAACAAAGACTCCCTCACTCCCCTAATACCTAATTATTTGTTTCAACATCTACATATATATCATTTTGTTTGTAAGTTATATTTTAAAATGAGTTTCAAGCGTTCCCTAGGACGTTACGTATTTTGAGGCATATGCTATTGTTCTGGAAAACTACACTTCCTATCTGTTTGGCATCTTTTTGATAAAACTACATTCTTCTACAATTGTTATAACAGTGGCTCCTTATCTATATACTTTGGCAGTCCATAAAGTAATGATTTTACCATATGCCTTAATGATTTTTTTATAACATTGTGATTAATAATATATATAATACTGACACATACTTATTTAAGAATGGTTATTTAAAATACGATCAATTAAATAAAATGATTTGGAAGACTATCTTGCCAAAAAATCAACTTTTGCAAAGCAAAATAGCTTTACATGTTTTTGAAATGTCTTACAATGGGCGACATACAAATTAAAGCTTAATCCTCTGCAGCAACACCATGGAAAAGCTAACATGTTTTCAAAACTTACACTTAGAACGAAAATTAATGGTTGTTGTTACGCACGTTGCCATTTTTCGGTATGGTCCCATTTGCAACACTAAAACATGAAGCATTTAAATATTAAATTTGTTTATAAATTAATAGTAAATATTTACCCATGATTGGAACGTGGAACCGCTGCACGTTGATCGTCCATGCGTCCAGATGATTGGAATCGCATGATCAACGAGAAAAAGTCCTCGTCTGGTACGGTTGCACCACGACTGGCAGCTGGTGGTGGCGCCTCCGATTCTGCATCGACCATAGGAGCCGAAGGTAACTGAGATCTCTGATCATCCAAGCGCGAACTCTGACAACGAGCAAGTTGCTCCAAAAAGTTGTCATCTGGTATGCTATTACTTCTGGACTCAGCTAGTTGTTGTAAAGAGCCAATTTGTAGTCCTTCAAAATAATTTCAAGATGATTCGTGACACACAACACGGATTAATATTAACTTACCAGGTAATATTGGTAATGCAGCACGCTGCTCATCCATACGTTTGCTTTGCATACCAACAATCATATCCAATAAGTCGCCGGGTCCATCTTTTGGTGGTTGCACGTTTTGTTGGTTGTGTACATTCTGTGCATTTTGCACATTAGTCTTGGATCGTGTCGAAGGGTTCGCGTTTTCTTTATTATCAACCGTCAACACGCAGCGCTGATCATCCATGCGCTTCGACTGAAAACGCGATAATAAATCGAAGAACGAATCTTCATCATCACCCTGCTTCCCTGCCACAGAGTTTTTATCTACAGTGCTATTTTGCAAAACGCTTAAACCACGTTGCTTTCCGTCCGGTGTCATCTAAACAAAACATTAAATCATCAATTTACAATTTTAAAATATATAAACACACTATTACACTGCAACAGAGAACATCGCAACATAAATTAAAACAGCTAATATACAGCAACATAAAACAAAAAGCGGACTACCTTAATTAAATCAAGCTGTTCCATGCTTTCGCGTCTCACCCTTAGCTTGTTGATTGAATGTGAGGACTCAGTCTTGGAATGTTTCGCACTTGCACTGCTGGATGTTGAGCTGGTATCCGAATCAGGCGACTCCGGCAATTTTAAAACTTTCTTCAAATCGGAGATGTTCATTTTCGCCGTCGCTTCACCCATCGGATCGACCAGCTATAATTTATAGTCGTTATCATTGTTAATAAATATTGCCAATTTTGACTTGCACTCAAGTGTTTGATAAATATCAAGTAACATAGATAGTGCAAAATTACTGTGTGCTATATGCGTCAAACAAACTATTACTCACTTCTTTGCTAATTTCCAAATGCTTCAACGCATACTCGAGGGCTTTTTCGTGATGTGATAATGCAGCGTGTGCGTTTCCAAGCGACCAGCATGCTCGCCCTTCACCTATTCGATCACCCAAATGTTGCGCGATTAACAAGTGTCTTAAATGATATTCGATGGCGGTAGAATAGTCACGCAAAAGCGTGTAAGTGTTTCCTAAACTGTAGCAAGCTTGTGCCTCAACAGCACGATCACCCAACTCCTGTGCCAAAACTAATGTCCTCCTGCATGATAAACATAGAATAAGTTATCAAGATAGCAAGTCGTAAATTCAATATTTGTTACTTATAATGGTGTGCCGCTTCGGTAAACTGTCCCATAAAGATATGAGAATTTCCAAGATTACTGTGTGCGCGACGTTCCGCCGCCCGATCGCCAAACTGTCTTGCGATTGATAATCGCTCCTCGTGGTATTTTATTGCTTGTTCAAAATCACCGAGCAAGTAATAGGTGTTTCCGAGGTTACCACACGCGCGACCCTGAGCAGCTACATCTCCCAATTCTTGCATTAATGTCAGGTTTTCCCTGTTTTAATCAAATATATTAAAGACATTTTTAGCTTCCTCAATATGGCATATAACTTACTCATAATATGAAACTGCTTGTTGCAAACAAAGCTTAACATCATCTGAGAATTCACCAGGATCATTTTGGCCAACTCTACCTATATGCTTTCCCTTTGCATGATATACATTACCCAGATTATACAATGCACGTCCTTCACTAAGCTGATCCTTCAATTCTTTAGACAAATCTAAATGAATTTTGCAGTAAATAACTGCTTCATCAAACTTTCCCATTACTTTCAATGTGTTGCCCAGATTGCCTGAAGATTTTGCTTCTCCCAATTTATCTCCCATGGTTCTACAAATAATTACAATAGATAACCATGTATAAAATGAAGCTATTTCAATACCTGGCTAATGTTAGATCATGTGTATGATACTGCATTGCTCTGGAATAATCTCCCAGGTAAAAATATGCATTTCCTAGTTGACTGTAAATAGCACTCAAAGTACGTAAATCATCAGTGCCTGCTTGTATTGCAGCTTGGAAGAATGCCACACCAGCTCTGCAATCTCCTGCCTTGCAGAGCCTTTCACCCTCAAGAGCCAACTCAAGACACATGTTGGTGGTTCCATCGTAACCCTATACAGAAAAATAACATATTAATTGCTTTGTTTGGATAAGAATAGTTTATTTACCTGGGAGTCAGTGGATAGATTTTCAGCACTTGCACTCAGCGACATTATTATCGACGAATTTAGGAATCAAACATTAATTTCTCACTCAATCCACAAGAACGTTTTACCTACTACGTGTTCATTACTTCTGATTGTACTTATTAAGTCAAATGAATACGGACGGTCGGATCACAGTATGCATATAGAAGTTAAATGAACGAAAAGCGAACGAAACGAATGAAATGAGTCAAGAGCGTCCAGCCCAAGCACCGAGTATGGCGCTTACAGCGTAGAATATATTCTTCAATCGTGTGAGTTATTAAAAGGCAGCACTATTATTCATGCTTGTGTTCACTTATGTTGCTTTTGACTGTATGTGTAAATGTATCGCGCTATGTGTGCTACGCTGCGTGCTACTGTGCTAAACGAGTCTAAAATGCTTTTCCTTTCTACATGTATGTACAGCTGCCGCTCACTGACTGTGGAGAGTGCATAGGAGTTCACCTAATTACTTAAATACAACTTGTGGATCTTCGGAGAGATCACTGAATTGTATTAACAAGAGAGATGCGTCATTACAATCACAATATCATGCTTTGTTTAATAGTTTATCATATGTTGTATTAGGATGGTAGGTACATAAGAGATTCGTGCGTACAAAACAACAGGTATGGACTTGTAAGAATTTAAACTTTTCCCACATTATTAACCTTTAAATGATTTGTAATTAGTTAGTATAAATATTTTAATAAGTATACGAACATAGCATTCGAAAGACAACTTGTTTATTATAACGTCAACATTATTAAAAAATTATTTCTGAAGTATTTTTGTCCTGTCCTGTGATTATGCGCTGGAGTTGTGTTGTGGTTGTGTCAAATAGCGAAATGTAATGCACTGTTTTGGTTTCTGTAAAACTTTGGTTTCAGTTCATAGATTATACGCACTGTTATTACAACAAAAACAGCAAAATGATTGAATCAGCGTGCAATGATTACTCGGAATTTCTGAACTTGGATTTAAATACGAAGGTACGTTGGCAATGTTGTGTTGTCAATAGCTAAGTCAATTGTTTTTAAATATTCATTGCAGTTTCAGCCCATAAATCAATCTGTGGATGATATTCTAACTCGGTTAGAAGAGTTTGAAACCATGGTTTTGTTGATACAACAAGAAAGATGCAATGCAATTGGTTTAACTGGATCTTTAACAGACTGTGTTGATATACAACCGCAAGTACAACAATTGTGTCATCGAATTGATTCCTTGGAGGCCTTGACAGAATATTTAAAAACCTATGTTAATTCTTTGGAGAATAAGATTGATGTGATGGAAGAAAAGCTGGGATTTGGTGACAATGCAAATGTGTTTAAGAGTTTTCTAAAGTCTTCACTTTTTGTAAGTATAATTAGATCATGATTTTTAAAGCAGTTGAAATATGTGTTTAATATTTGATTCAAGAAAAAAACAGAGGTAAAACCAGCATCCACAACAATTAGTGCACCACTTAGTGACATATCTGTTCAACAATTTTTTACAAGTCAAGAAGGTGGTTCCCAGTAGTTCCTAATTTTTGATGCAATTTGTGTGATAATTAGAAATTTAAATGCCAATAATGTCAACAAAACAGTAACATTATTGTTAAAGGTCAATTAAAGATTACCATTTTATACATAAATATCAAATTGGTACTGTATTTTGTTAGCTATATAAAATATAGAAATAAACTCTAATCTAACAAAAGTACTATGAATACATATACATAACATTCAACTGTTCCAAATGTATGTTAAGTTTGTTTTATGTATTTTATCAATTTATTATTTACTTAGAGGGCTAAGCTTAGGATCGAAATAATAAATTGCATGTCAAGACTTCATTTCGTCATTGAATAAAGTCGCACTTAAAACATCGACTCACACTTAAAATGTCAAAAACTATGCAAAATATTTACATGTATTTTTGTTTGTCATATTTTATTCACCTCATGTAGAAGAGTTTTGAACCACGTATACGTTGGCATATAAAGTAAAGGTCAGAAAATACTAAATATGGAATACTAATTTGCAGTCTCCGAAAATATGATTAATCTATATATTACCACAAATTAAATTTGTCGTTTGTTTAGAACTCATTCACCTCACTGTCGCAAACTTGTGGTATATACACGTACACTAAAGTGCCTAACTGCTGTAATAACAATTCTCCAATACTCCAATACGTTAATCATTTACAAAAATGGTAAACAATACACTTTCATTGAGGAAATATTTTCTTATTACTCAGGTGGTAATTTTCACATTCCTAATTACAAATGCTATTTCAATGCTTTGATAAATACTAACTATTATTCATGTTTATGACTGATCGAATTTTTTTTCAAACACGTAAAATCGGAATATATAACTCATATCTGCAAATAACAGTGTAGATTGCTGGGAGAATTCCGGTTTAACAAAATAATTTTGGAATTCTTCCAAGCAATTTAACCCCACCAACCCATCACTCCTGATATTCCTGCTGCTGATAAATGTTAAAGGTTACATGAGCCGCGAATAAAACAAGGAGAGCGCAGCCAATCTCGCAGTCGGACTCAGTTACTAGTGGGCTTTGCTTGAATCATTTGAAACGCTTGAATGCTAAAAGGCCCTAGTATAAACTGGCAAAGTGGAGGCGAGCATGCGGTGCGCTGTGCCGTAAGCGTATGTACTGCTTCGGTTGCTTCTGTTCAATATTGATCAGGGGCTGAAGGCTGAACGACTTGGCGTGCGTGGGGGTGCAAAAAGGACGAAGAGGGGTCGGGCAAGTACTGCACACTGCACCGTCCACGATAATATCGACTGGGCGCAAGCGAGCATCCGACGCATACCTACCCGCTCGCAGCAGTAGTAAACAGTGCGGCGTCGCGACGCGACATCATCGAACGCCCGACCGACTTTGTGATACCGTATACGCGTTGCACCACGCACCCTGAACTAATAAAAACCTAACGTTGTGTTATAAAGACAGAAAATACTAACTGTGACGGTGGGCGTTGTGCGTGGCAGGATCTGGGGACATTTCCGGATTTGAAAATCGCTATGGCGTCCTAGAGTGGAAAGCAAAAAGGAACGCAAACGTGTCACGCAGGTGGGTGGACCATCCGAAAACTGACACGGGCGCCAGGAGTGTAATGTCCTCGATATCCGCCCAGGGGGTAGTGGAGCGTGCGTCCGCCGAATTAACAAAACGCATCAATGGCCTCCGCGGCAGCAAGCACCACTCTAACAAGGGCAGCGTTATGGAACGCGTCACGAACGTCTTCTGCGGCAGCAGCAACAACGCGGCGGTGGCGGCGCCGCCGGAGAAACCGTCCCGCCTGCTTCCATCCAGGGGAGGCGCGAAGAACGCGCATCACCTCCACCAACTGCAGCACCAACAACAACAGCAGCAGCATCCACCGCTGCCACAAATGCACAACCAACACCACCACGGAAAACGGGCGCCGCGCTGTCTGCCGCACACCACGCACGTCACGTGGGAACAGCTGATAATGGATGATCGCTTCCTGATGCGCTTTTTCCTGTACTTCAATGCCCATGAACGATGTACCCTGGCGCAGGTGTGCTCAAGGTGGCGTGACGTGCTGTATCGCTGCCCACGCTACTGGTCCGGACTGATTCCCGTGCTGCAGTGCAGAGAGCTGCGGTGCGCCCAGGGTCCCGAGCGCGCAAGGCTCTACTCGTCCTTGATCCGACGAGGGTTTCACAATTTGGCGTTGATGGGCGCCTCCGACGAGGATGCCCTCGACTTAGTTAGCTCGTTTCCATTAGCTTCCAAGCACGTCCACTCCTTGAGCTTGCGATGTTCGAGTGTCACGGACCGGGGCCTAGAGACACTCTTAGACCATCTTCAGGTAGGCATTATTGATATCTTTTGTTTTTGTTCACTTGACCTTGCCTATTGTATTTGGATTATTTTGGTACACGGTGAAGATATTGGTTTTATATTGGGACGAAAATGAGGAGGCACCGGGCTAACATGTGTTCATTCATATGGCAACAAAAAAATATCATCAAAAATTCATTATTTATTTCTATTTGGATTTCAGAATTTCGGATTTATACTTTGAAAAATTGAAATTTGAATAATTTAATATTTCCATTAATTCTTATAATTTGAAACATTATACTTTGCTAACGGTAACTATCAAATTACAAGCAATAGCCATCACTTTGTATCTATTTTTGGCAAGCAGAGATCTTTTCTGATTTATTTATTACGTTTACATTGCTACAAAAACACTTTTTAACACCATATGTTTGTTCCTCGCTTACTTTTCATATATTCAAGTCCTGGTTCATTCATTGTATATTCTTATATATAATTAAAGTATATAATTATATGAGTATTGGAAACGGTTTGAGTAAATATCTGAATTAACGTTTAATGAATAATAAATTTACTTCAGATTTAAAAACAAAACAACATAATTTTACATAGGACATATTTTAAAAATTTAATGCTTAGGTCCAAATTATTTACAAGTCAAATATCATGTTTGTTAGGCTGGTGACACGTATAGGAAGTGGTTGAAAGTTGTCAAACGCCCAGAAACAATTTGGAATTCATCCAAACTACCCAACCATTTGTGACAAAAGCATAACATGAACTTTTGCGAGAACGATTGATACTGTAAACAAGAATGGCATTTTGAGAGGCAATTTGCTTATAGGTACATATTCTGTTGATAAAATCGATTGGGTTACCTATTTATACCTACAGAATGGTAAACAGCAAATGCACCCATCTTCCACTACATTGAACTTACGACTTGATTATATTGTTGGCTGACTGACCGACATTCGTATTGTCGAGTTCCTGATTGTATTTTTTTATTGCAGGCACTCTTTGAGCTTGAGCTGGCCGGTTGCAACGAGATTACCGAGACTGGTCTCTGGGCCTGTCTAAATCCTCGTATTGTGTCTCTCACACTTACGGACTGCATCAATGTGGCGGACGAGGCGGTTGGTGCCGTTGCCCAACTCCTGCCGGCCCTGTATGAGTTTTCGCTGCAGGCGTACCACGTGACGGACGCGGCATTGTGTTACTTTTCACCAAAACAAAGCAATTCGCTCAACATCCTCAGGTTGCACTCGTGTTGGGAACTGACGAATCACGGCGTTGTAAATATTGGTAAATAATCAATTGGTAATGAGGACGCTGTATTTTAACGCTTGTTTTTGTTCTTGGTAAATGGCAGTTCACTCGTTACCCAATCTGACCGTGTTGAGTTTAAGTGGATGCAGCAAGATTACCGATGACGGCGTCGAGTTGATCGCCGAGAATCTACAGAAGCTGCGTTCTTTGGACTTGTCCTGGTGTCCGCGTATCACCGATGCTGCCTTGGAGTATATTGCTTGCGATCTCAATCAACTAGAGGAATTAACATTAGATAGGTTAGCACTTATCCTAATTTGATCCCTCCTAACTCAAAGGACATGTATCAAGCAAACATATAAAAGTTCGTTTATCTTGTAATCCTAATTTAATTAATTTTATCGCAGGTGTGTCCATGTGACTGATATCGGTGTAGGGTATATTTCGACAATGCTCTCTCTTTCCGCATTGTACCTTCGTTGGTGTTCCCAGCTGCGAGATTTTGGTCTCCAGCATTTGTGCGGGATGCGCAACCTCCAAATATTATCTCTGGCAGGTGAGCACTAGTTAATCGTATTATAGTTGGGTTTTATTTTAACATTACACGAGTGTAATAAAAACTTTTGCTGTTTCAGGATGTCCACTACTAACTTCCAGCGGTTTGTCTAGTCTCATCCAGTTGCGACACATGCGCGAACTTGAATTAACGAATTGTCCGGGCGCGTCGCGTGAACTCTTCGACTATTTGAGGGAGCACCTGCCACGGTGTCTAGTCATTGAATAAATTGCAACCTACCTTTACAACCAAAGTCTTAAAGAATTTTCGTTAATTTTGGTTTCCGGAATTTATAATGGTACAATTCGATTAAAGTTTACTGTAATTGACTGCGTAAGTTGTAGTGATAACAAATTGAGGGCCGTTGGAACATTCGAATACAGGATTGAGTACTGAGACAGACTTATGAAAATTATAAATTTCATATGCATCTTAATATGCGTTTTTTGCTAATTATAAATACAATTCTTATTTTATAATAATTTCCGGTTTGCAAAAAAAAATTGATTTTGCGCATTAGTTTGCTTCAGTACACCACCTTGTATAATAGACTGGTTTCCCTCTGAGACTTTAAGTTCTAAGTTGAATTTGATCTAAAAAAGATACTAGTAAAGTTATACAAGCAATAAGTCTCAGCGTGGTTTTATCGCTCTACAACGTTTTCTACTGAAAGGGAAAAGCAAAACAAACTTGATATTTACGATTTAGGTCGGTAATAAAAGATACTTGGATACTTCATACTCCTTTATACAAAAATATATACCAAACTATGGCTTTCGACAAAACGGGAAGCATGCAAGTGCTACTTTGAGAAATGAATTACATATACGTTACAACCTTTTAAAATACCTAAACATAAAAAGCTTTATAGCCGAGTTGCAATTTATACCGTGTATACATATGTACCGTACTAACTTGTAATGTAGGTAGAACGATAAAATGAACACTGATGTAAAAAAAGTACTTAAATGGCCGCTATTCGCAGGCTCACTGTCGAGCGCATCCACCATGACATGAGGACGATAAAATGAAGGCAGGTAACCAAAAATCATTGCTTCCGCAAATAATACTGAATTAAATATTTTAACAAATACTACATTAACGACGCGACACCCAAATAAACCAAAACAAACAACTGCTACTGAATGCTGTTCTAACTGTTATTACTATTTAGATGGTATTAAAAGTATATATTTTTATAGAATAGTTAAAAATGCGCCCTAACCACAACCTGAGACAGATTTTAGCGATGACGTTGAATAAAATACCTTGTGTATATGATTATATCATCATGTAACGTGAGAGGTTTTGTTTTGAATATAAATCGCACGTACTATGCGCTTTTTATATCAGTAACAGCGCATGCAGTTCAAAAGAACATAATATCTTATAATTGGGTTGATTTTATAATCATCAATTAGCTACTAAATTATCCAAGTTTAAAGTTTTACTACATTGAATTTACTACTCGCCAACAATCGGAAACGCACTAAACTAGACTGCAAAGGAAATTGTTCTGTATTGAAGTCCTTTGTTTAAAGAAAAATGTTAGCGCAATGAATTTAACACAATTATAACTTCACTTACTTCACCACCCTTGTTAAACAACTAGTGCAATACCCGCAAACACTCATTAATATCAATCAACTAAATAAATCAAATTAACTAATGATACTAAAATTTACCAAAGCAAAGCCAATTTTAAAACTATACTAATTATGATAATTAATGCATCACGAAAACCTCACCGAATCACAGCAATTGATTGCAGCTGCGGCAGTGCTCCCCTATAATAATTTAACCAACAGAATATCCTAGCTAATGCTTCAAAACAAATTCATAGAAACTAATACAAACGAAAAAAATCCTAAGCAATTTTATGTGTAAATTATGGTTTTCCAAGTTTTTATTTAACCTTTACCATAGTTAGTTATAATCTTAGATTTTAAATTATGTAAATGTGATTTTCTGTACATTTCGGTATATTTTATAATTTGTATAAAAGTCCAAGATAAGTAATGAAAATTTTATGATAGAACAAGGGCATGGACATTGTTCATGGCACAATTATATTTAAATCAATTGATGAATACTTGTTTTTATGTGAATACATTTGAATGTTTTCCAAGAAATAACAAACTAAAAAATGGAGAAAACAAAAAATAAAATAGGTATTTTATAAAAACATTAAGAATCATGGAGTTTTTAAGCACAAAGTCTCAAGTAAGAACAACAAACACCTACTGTCCTGCACAAAACTATGCACATTCTTTTATTATTTGATGAAGATGAGGATATTGACTGGGTGCTATGTGAAAGATATTAAAATATTATATTATGATTAATCGCCCACCAGATGATCAGTATTTACATAGACTTTTTTTATCACATGGCATTTGGAAAGTGTTTGGAAAGTGTTCCAATATGTAAAGATTAATTTTCCCACCATGACAGTAATCCAAGTCCTGGTTCATTGATGCTACCCTATAAATATAATTTATTTACATTAAGAAATTTTAAAGCAACATGGAAATGTCTTTCACTCACTGTTAATGTATAAGGTACTTTTGCTTCATTCGATACATCAGCATTTTCAACTTTCATCATGTTCTGTTGTGGCTGGGTTGGGCAGGTCTCTTTGAAGGACTCTGCTGTCACTCGAAACCTTATTGTTTCTCCAGCATCCATAAATAAGTCATGTTTACCTTCACCAGTTTCATACTCCCAAACCCAGGCCTGTTCAGTTTCATCAAATCTAGATGGATGCTGAAGTGCAGTTGGAGGGATTATAATGTCATCAAAAAATCCCAGTGAAACTATATTCAACAATAAACTCAATGTTTATAGACAATATAGAAAATAATGCATATTGTCATACTGACCATGGACTCCTTCTTCACTGCAACATCTTATTTTTCCTAAGAGGATTTCTTCAATAAATGGTCTAAATACAATGTATCGAAATGTAACCCTTGTATGTGATGATCCATCACCAGGAAATATAAAGGAATCTTGCAGTTTCGTGATATCAAATAAAGCAATGCACAATCCAACATCTAGGACAACCTTTAAACAAACTCTTTTATATATTACAAAATATTTAATGCATATACACATACTACCTTGTTTGCAAGTTTCTTGTTTAATTCGCCGGCTATTGCATCATTCAATTTGATATCAAATTGTTCTGGTAAAATCCTTGTCACGTTTTCCATTTCTGCCAAGACAAACATTTTTTGAATTTGTTTTTCTTACTTAAAATTTTCGAAGGCGTGAAAGTTTAAAATTTGATTTCAGGTTAGAGTAAATGTCATGCCAAGTGTAGGGTTTGGTTTATAATGTAAGGTAATCTAAGTACAGGGCTGTACTATTGCATAATCTATGGTCGCAGCATGGTCACAGCCTGTGGTCAAGCAATGAACGCATCAAGATAATAATTTTAGAATTGGTTCATCCCCACACGTGGTATAGTAGACTATATACTACTATGTATGTGTATTTACATGTTGTATACATAAACATTTATCAAGTTGCCAAGGCAACAACGATATTGTCAAATCGTAAATAGAAATGTATAACATCAAATATGTATTGAAATTTTAGTAGTTGACGTTATTTAAGAACATCATTATAAATTGATTTTTAATTATTGTTTTTATTTTATTTTGCCATAAGACTAGTACAGTAAGAACCCGTAACGGGCAGACTTTAGTCATTTTATGAAAATGTTTCTATGTGTGTACCTAACACAGCAAAGAACGATCCCCAATTATGAAACCTGGATAGTGGTGCCTTTGGCAGTTAACAGCCAACAAAGATGTACAAATGATGTCCTAAGTTTTGTTATTTTAGCAAATGTCTTATTTATTTAATAAAAGTCATTACTTATGAAAAAAATTGGCGGAGGTACCTGACCTGATTATATTTAAAAAGTTGTTTAATTACATCATTGTGTAGAGGGGCTCTTAATGATACAATTTAAACAACTTTTCACCTAATAGCAGTAAGGAATTTTCCAGTAAATCTTATTAAGTGAAATGTGCACTCCCATCGAGACTTAAGAATCAATTATCTCAGGAACTAATAGAGATAAACAAAAACCGAAAACACCCCGATGTTCAGCATCAAATCCTAGATAAGATAACATTTTAAAAATTTGAAATATAACATGTGCCTAAAAAAATTTCCGCTGCTATTTTCTCGGAAAATAATAAAGATCAAAAAGAACTTTCTTCATTTTATTCATGCCATGATATGGATCTATAAAATGGCAGATTTAGTTTTTCCATTTTCCAAAGTTGACCAAAGACCTCTCAAAAATATCAAGAGGTTACACTTGACTCTTTTTGGACTCAAAAAAATTTTTTTAAGCTAGAAGAAAATGGAAAACGCTAATCGAATGAGTTTTTTAATGGGATGAAAGATATCAAGTCAGTTTTCCGATAACATCAGTATTTCGAAAAATAAGTGGTAAAGTCTAAACAAATCAAATAAAACCACCTCGCTGATTTTCCCCAAATGTTTCTAATTGAAGTAAGACATCGCCAGGATTCTATTAATCATTTTTAATTTACGTAATGTTGATAACTGGAAATTTTAACATGTTATATAATGTAAAATGCAATACTACATACAAATATGAAAACCGTTTTTCTCTATTTCAAATAGTTTTCAAGATAAGTGCGAAAAACTATTTTATTCGTTTTCTCTATCATTTCCTAAGCAAAAAATAAAAATAGGAAATTACAACTTTTTATTACCAAATATAGGAGAACATGTGATTCAACAGACTTTATTTTAATAAAATTTTGTTCTAAAATGTCCTAAGTTTTTGATAATAATAACCCAAATTAAGTTTGGTTTTGTCGCTATTCAAATTACATAATTTTTTATTAAAATTGCAATAGGGCCTAAACGGTTAATGCAAGCCAAAAAAGTTACTAACAGAATTTAAAAATTCCAACTTTTAATTTCGAACATAAAAAAGAGAAATCTTTTGCCTTTTTTATAACAAAATATTTTGTTATTTTTTTTACGCATTTTTGGTCGTTTTTTAAGAAGGGTGCCATCTTGAAGAGAATTCTTTAAGGATCAAGAATATGAAGTCCTTTTTTCCGTAGCCTTTTTAGTTCTCGAGATAATCGCAATTTAATTTCGCCGCTTTCACGGGAAAATTTAAAAAAAAGTCCGACCCTGTTGTTCAGCAGAAATTTTTTAAAGAAAATAAGTTCGACCCTGTTCTTCGACCGAAAAAAATATTTTAACAGTGCCGAACTGTTATTCGACCAAAAAATGAATTTTTTGTACAAAAGTGGCTATTTTCAAAGTGCTTTTTAGGGCACTTCTAGAAAGGTTAGATGGTTAGAAAAACATGGATCGCGTAGAGAAACTCTCGAACTTCAAGATTACATTAAAAAACTTCAAAAGAATCAAATAGTTCACGAGATACAGTTTTGCACACCATGTTTTCAATTTTTTTGAAGAATTCTAATTTTGGAATGGCATTTTAGGGCACTTCCGGAAGGGCTCGAAAACCAAAAAGATATGGAGACTTTCGAGCTTTAAAATAGCAGTGACAAACTTTAAAAAAGTCAATTAGTTCGCGAGATACAAGGTGTTTTCTACACCATGTTATCAATTATTTTGAAATATGCCAATTTTTAAAGGGCATGTTATGGCACTTCCGAAAAGCTTAGAAGATTGACAAGGGATGCATCGTGTAGAGGAACTCTCGAGCTTTAATATGGCAGTGACAAACTTTTCAAATGTCAATTAGATTTATTTACATAAATTCTGAGTTCGTTGAATCCCATTGGTCCTGTTTAATTCTATCCGTAATGCTGAAAACATGCTCTGTTCATTGCAATCTGGGCATAATAGAATTATAAAAATCATCTTACGTGTGGAGGAAATTCCTTAAATTAGGAATGCAGTTTTAAGGTGTTAATTTGGCGTCTTGATAAACCAAGACCCATGGTCCGGTTTTATTCTCATAGACAAAATCATTAAACTAAAAAAAACATTTCCACACTGCTGTAATCATTAAAAAGGGTTGTAGAAAAAATAAGTTCATCATTCTTTGAAATCTCTATTATCATCAAAGTGTAATATAATATTCCAAGTTAAAAAGATACTGGCTCTGTTAAATTTCATTAAACACCTTAAGTAACTTTCTCTTTATTTTTGCTAGTTGTCAGGGTGATTGTAATGCCAATAGAAATTATATTTTTTGAAAATAACTCTTTTAGAAGAATATCTGTTGATAAAACTAGCCTTCACGGGTAGTTGTTATTTTAGTTCTCCCTTCTATAAAAATACCATCTGCTCTGCCTGTACAAAATAACTACTTTATTATCGGTGGCGTTTTTTTATTCTTGCGAATGGAAAGGTGTCACCCTGACAGCAGTTCAATTTTATTTAATTGTATTTTCTTTTCTTATGGTAAATTTACTGATATCACAGAATAATATCTTACTTATACAGTAAAATAAAGATATTGTTGACAAACCAAGTACTTAAGTCATTCATTAAGAGTTTTGGGGTTTTGCTTTTTCGTAATGGCACTACACAAAGTAATACACGTAAAATAAAATTATACTACTTACAGAAAATATTTGTTGCATGATAAAAACAAACAGGTTTTGCTTGGAATACACCGATTAACTAACTTACAAGTAATGAAAAACTTTTAAAAAATTTATCGGCATTAAATTGTTCTTGAAACAAAATTTCCCTAGGAGATAAAAACACATCCATACATAACGGTAACTAAAACAAAACGTTTTCCAATCCATGAACGAAACCTAGATTTCGATCCCTATTACTTTTAGTTTAGTGACTAGCAAGTCGCTCGCATTTAAATTTAGTTTATACCAATTTGGCAATTTAAAATGATATTGTAATGGCCAAGATTATTTAATGTTTACGTTATAGGCATCACGAAGTGAAAGAAATGAAGAGAAAACATAAAACTATTAGCAAACACATCGTAACTGTACGATATACTGCTGAAACTGGCGAATATACTTACAAATAGTATAAAATAATTTAGATTTGTTTTTATCATAAACGATCATTTCGAATGCAATTAAATTAATATCTTAACCTAAGTACTGTTGTTATTTTGTGGTAGGATTAACAACAGTTTCTTGTGTCTGTGATTCGATTGCAAATAGCATGGTAAACAAAATCATCCAGGTTTTAAATAGTCTTTGGTTATATCCGCGGCTCGCGCTGAAGATTCGTAAACGTAAAGTAATTAGACTTGATAAAGATGAAGTCAGTCGGATCGCCAAGCCTTCTCCTGGCTGTAACTGTAACTCCCCGCGCGGCGGCCTTGGTTTAGTTGCTTTGGTTGGCTTTTCTATTCGATGTTCGTGCACATGCACATGCTTCCAACTCCGAAGCGTCTCTAACCCGAACATACGTCCGAATGCTCGTCCCAGGCAGTCACCTATAACAGGATTCGTATTTTTAGCAATTCACCGTATTCATGCGCGGCTTGGTTAAATGTGCATTTAGTTATGTATCTCAATCACATAATCTATGGATGCCGAATAATTCGACAATTAATGTAATAACACAGATCAATAATTAAAACATTCATACCTGGCATTCCCGACTGCAATACCACTGATTGCCACACCCGGCGCAGACAAACTGTGCCGCTTTTTGATTGCATCCTTGGCACTGTGGCACATCGTCACCTGCTTCAGAATTGTTGTCCGTTCTCGACTCGCTGAGATCGTTGCTCTCATCAATGACTAGACGATCTACGCTATCTTCAGTTTCATCTTCCACCTGCAAAACATGGATATATAAACCATATTTTAAATATACGTATTATATTGCCAAACTTACATTATGTTTTCGCTTGCCTCGTCCTTCTTCATAATCGCCGGTGACTGGAGTAATGGTAATCTCGCTGCGAGCCTGAAAATAAAAAATTCAAATATAATTGTCCACAAGATTGATTCCAATGAACAAATTTTGGAAATTACACAAATGTCGAATGTGTCGGGTGGGACTCTTACCTTGTTAGTGCTGAGGATGTCAGAAATTGAAACATTAGATGATTTGTTTGGATGCGCGCCTTGGGTCTTGTCGGGTGCTGTTAGTAAACGGGCTAGTGTCGGACTGAACGTCGTGCGGCTATCCGTTTTCACTTGCGCCTGAAAACGATCGGGTGGAATTTAATCGCAATCTAACAAGCATCGACACACGCAAATATTAATGACGCCAAGCATACACATTCACTTAAAGAGTGCTAAGAGTGCCTAGAGATACAGGTATCTGATATCACAATGACTAAAGACCTATTCACGCTGGGTGTTTGCACTTCAGAGAGGGATGTGAAGAATGTATGTTGTTAGGTGGATAAAGCCCGTGATGTTGTTAGTATTTTTTTTTGAAGGGTAATATCATTATTACTGAATTATTACTTTGGTCAATATTCCGTGCAGCAACGAATTCGTCGGTGCGTTCGAAGTAGACGACGATGTCACAGCGTGGACAGTAACTTCCGGATATTGTGATGTCAACGGTGGCACTGGCTGTTTCATAAGCGATGCTTTCTTACGATCGCTATGCGCAATTTGATCGAGAAATTCCTTGTACGTACTGGATTCGTGACATTCGACTTGAGCGACATCAGGATTTCCCTGCAAGATTCATTCCTCGAACGTTTAACGACATCATTTATGGAGTTATCATTATCAGAAGTTGTTAAAAATTAGGCGGTGTTGTTAGTAAAGGCAAAAGGTGAGTAAAGAGATATTTTAGTGACTAGTTGAGTAGCATATTTAAGTTTTTTTCAGTATAAAGTAACAACGCAAAAAACCTATAATTAAAGCAGTCGACATCATTGCAACTGCGTCCAATGATGCATCGGATAGAACTTTATTGAAATAACTCCACAAATCTGTTTGCTTTCATTTTAGCGCGACCATTGACATAAATTCATTGCAATGTCGGTAATAAATTACCACGCGTTGACTAATGAACGAATTGCACGAACACAAATACTGATAAATCTGATTAACTATGAATCTATTTGCCAATCGACATTTGTTATCAAACTGTTTGCATTCGCTGGTTTCGCGTCCTACATAAAAGCGCGCAAAAAGGAAATGCGTTCGCGAACATCAATAATATCACTCCTATCATGCTAATGACCGTTAATGTTAGTCATACAGTGATTATCATTTACATGGAATGAATAATTGTAGCAAAACATTACCAAATATGAACACTTACATTCTCCATGGAGCTAAGCAAGAGCGCAATCTCGCTGTTGGTATCAACGGGTCGCACTTGTGCTCCGCTTCCTAATGCAACATTCGCCAGCGTGAAAGAGCCACCGCTGGACGTGAACGCTGCCCGGCTGGCGCTGCTCGAGTCACTGGAGTTACCATTGACGTTGCGTATCCGCCGGCCGCGCCTTGGCACGATTTCCGGATGGCGTTGACGATAATCAGCAATGATTGATTGCACGTTGCGTACGGCACCCTTGGTACGGCCCTTGTTTGGATCGTGCCCGTTCATGTCTAAATTGTGCTGCAGCGCCCTCGCCAGATTCTGGGCATCCTGCTTGCTATGTTTGTTCGGCATTAGTGAAGAGCGCTGGCCATTCATTGTGGCATCCTGATGATTCGATGACTCGCCATCAGAAATTTCCAGCCCATTGGTCATCATGCAGACCTGCTTTTGACGCTGAATACGCAGCAACAGCTCTTCTTTCATTTTTTTCACGTGTATGATGTTGTTCCATTGGCGCTCGCGTTCCTTAGCGATCTCATCGAGATTTTGAATTTCCATTATAAGCTTATCCTCCTCGTTTTGAATCTGTTCGAGGTTGGACATATCTAAGCCTTCTGTGTATTCCATGAGAATTTTGTTGCGCAAATAGGTCTCTTGTTGGATCTCTTTTTTAAGCTTCTTTGTTGGCTCGTCGACGTCATCGTCATCATCCTGATTCTTGCGCTTTGTGCATTTTTCATCGTCGGAGTCTCCTTCAATTTTAATAGAATTCGCTGCCGAAAAGGACTCCTGCATCTGATGTTGGCCATCATCGCAAACGGATTCCGTATCGCGTGTCAGCTCCGAGCGCAGCTCAGCGTGGCCGGGCGACGAGGGCTGAGCGGTGTCGCATCCCTCCCGAACATCTTCCATATGCATCTTGTTTAAGCTGGAAAAGAGGGTTGTACGATTAGAATCATGTCGGGAACAAGAAGGACGCTATGTCCACGCCAGCGCCAAACGACGGCGATCAATATAGTGGTCCTGGTAGTCGCAAGATTTAAATGTGACATAGGGCGGAGAGGAAGCCATAAAGGGCAATACTCAATGCATAGGTGAATGTAAATAGTTTCAGCTCCCCTTTTCATATCAAATAGCTGTAGATGGGCCGTATTTAGATTACCAACAAATAAAATTATAACAACTATTGAGATAAATGAAAATTTCGCCAAATGTTAAGTGAAATCGATTTACGAGAATACAAAACGCATTATTAAATCTAACTGCGCGGTGAATATCTCCGACTTGGAGGTCTTTGACCGACGTCGTGCGTCGACCCAATTAACTACGCTCCTGGCTGGTGTGGCGACCAACAGGAGCGAGCGATAATCTAATCCCAGCGCATATCCGTGCGCGTCTGCATGACCATACGTGCGCGAGTACAACAGCGGCGCGCTGATGTTGGTTGTTCTCATTCTCTCACGCAACGAGCGAGAATGTGTGCGGTGCAGACACAGATCGGGATGCAGGAGAGATCGTCACCACGGTAACATGCCGGTTGCGCTGGTAGCTTGCACCACCGCATGCACGCGCGGATGCCGGGTATTTTAGGGACGGTGCGCGCCTGTATGAGCATTGTAGCCATATGACTCACTCTTGTGGTAACCCTCCGTTGGCGCGTCGTTCGGCAGCCGGCACCAGGCCGACAGCCAATAGGACCGCAATCGCGCTGTCGGTCGATGGCGATGGCGGATGATTCGCACTCGATATGGACGAAGACGGAGACGGAAAGGCGTCGTACGTAATGTAGCAATTGTCATCGTTCGGCAGATGTCGATCAGGCATGGCGCCTTTCTTCAACCGGCACCTGGTCGGTAACCCAAGCAGCTCGTGCTGCATATCCTTCTCATAGCAATCCGGCGAGAAATGCAGCGAACAAATGCGCGCCGTAGAGGTATTGGGCACGTGACGTCCGCAAGCGTTCAGCCATTGCCGGCGGGTCTTCTCATCGCCTGGGAAGCGATGATATTTCACGGACCCGCCTTTCGTTTTCCGGTGCGTATTGTTGCAACTCGCCACCGCACATTGCGGCATAGTGTAAACTGTTTGTTATCGTTATTTGCGTTTATTCGACACCGAATTGACTCATCGCACTCGCATAGAATTATTTTTAGGTCTTTACACTGCACCACGAAGCCCGGTTCAAACGCGCACGTAGGATACCGAAACAATTCGATGACTTTCCAGCGGCCTTCTGTGTTTTAAGGCGTGTTCGATGCGAAGGCGACTGGTAACATTTGGTACCGAATGTGCGCCAAGGTGAAAGAGCGCGGATTACTCCTTGCGAAGGAGGACACACACCGCTTGCGACAAGAAAAAGCAGGCAGATACTCTCACACACACTAGAAAACGCACGCGCGCACACATTCAAGTGGAGAACGCGCTCTTGGCGGGTTCATCCCTGCCAGACGTCGATGCAACAACTGCGCGACGCTGCGATTGCTGCGATACCGATTGCCGATGGGTCGCTCTGTCGCTACCTCCGCCTGTGTATCCGCGTGCACACTAGCCTTGCTCGCTTGCATTGTCGCACCCCACCATTTGAGCACCGATGACGTCACGATTCGCCGACGTCTGCCGACGTCCGCCCCCTCTGTTACCCCATTGATTTTGCCGGTATGTCCGACATCCTGGCCTACGAGGCATTCGGCCCACGCGGCGTGTATACTTCTAAGAAGCTTGGTGGAGTCGGCGAGCATCAATCAATTGGCGCGACAAAAGATGGGGACAATCAGAAAATTTCGCAACCGGATTCAGTGCTAATCGCCATCTATCCACCCCATTTCATGCGGTTTATAACCGGGGTGTTGACCTTCCAGATCCGAAACTAGAGGATAGCGATTTTGCCGAATATAATAACATTTTTAAAATAGAAATCTGTTTTCGAAAAACAGGCAGACTATATTTGTAAATATTATTATGGCTGTGGTGCAATACTATTGGGAGGAAGCGTTTGTTCTCGGAGGGTCGCCAGCACCCTTGCATCTGTGCATTTTATTGATTTTCCCAAGTTCATGACTCATCTACACTTAAGACAATCAACATCCAGCTAGGTTTGCAAACAATGCCATTATTACCAAAATGGCATACACTCGGGTAACCGTTGAACCTATTATAATAAAACTATAAATTCTCAGTATATTGCCGAGACGTCTGGTAACATCTTAACAAACGCTTCAACATGTTCCACTTTTAAAATTCAATATTTGCCGTAGAAATTTATACTCTTTATCAAGCAATTTGTGATCGAGGGCACTTGCAGGTCTCAATTGCATCATTTTCTCTCACCTCGTGTTTCATCTCCGGCGAGCGTGATTCTTTCGCGCGTTGCAAGCGCAACAATTTGGTTACATGCAATTGTCGAAGTCGAGATATGTCTCAACATGTCAAGGATCTTTGGTGCGTTGTTTGTTCACTCCGTCCGGCGTCAGCGTAGAGCTTTCGGCCTTGAACCTCTATGTGGTATCGGTAAAAACCGATGGTTTGTCCAAGTCTCCACGACGAACAATTGAACGTGAAACTTCACGCGCCGTTGTCGCCGTGGTCATCGTCAGCAAAGGTACGCGCCGTGGTGCAAAGGCACACGGTGCGACCACATGGGCGCTCAGGTAAAGTAGCTCAAGGGCGTTGCTGACAAACCGTGTTTGCCGCGCTCGTTAAAACACGCGTCGAGTGCGCCAGCCCGGTGCGCAATCTCTGAACTCGTTACTGATACCATACACAAACGAGAAGTTCACTTAAAACTAAATTTAATTTTCAACAAATACTGTCGTCAGGATGGATAGCTAATAGAATCAATTTTACAATTTGTGTTTGAGACATTTAATCAAACAGGTACCACAATTGGTTAAAGATAAACGTATTGTTTAATACAGCTTTAGTTTTCAACTTTTTATGCCATGAACCTATCAGAAAACTAAGATAGAAGAAGTTGGAGATGATGCTGGAGTTGACGAATCAACGATGTACACCCGCATAAAGTAGCTCAAGGACGTTTGAACAAACATGCATTCCGCGTACTAGCAGCTGTATGCACAATGCACAATTTGTAATCTCAAAATTTGTATATATAAAGCACATACACGAGTATGTTATCAGCACTTCGCGAATGCATTAATAGAGGTTAGGTTGGGTTTGACTTTGGTGTTTTGCAATAAACCGAAACCATATGAAATGTTCGTGTTGGTTAACATCCAAAGGAAATTGTACCATCGCAAACGTGCAATAAAATTGAATAAACATTAACACTACCACTGGGAATACCTAAAAGCCTTATCTTATCTTTCGACCCAACCGGAGGAAACATTTTCTTGCCTGGTAGAGGACACAATCAACTCACTCACCTTGCATTGTACTCTGATCTCCTACACGTATTCTCATCATCTACCTCCTCAATAAGAACGAAATCCTTCTCATAGGCACTGCTCGTTCCTTTGCGAGTGTTGGTCAAATAATTAAGCTCCAAAAGACGCAGGTACTTAATCTGGCGTGACAAACGTGCACGTTTGCGTTTCTTATCTTCCGGCTTGCACTTTTTTATTCGCGGCGAGAGTAAGTCGGCGTAATTTTCCTTGACACTCTTCTTGGCGATACGCAGGCTGGATCTTTCTGGCGCCTTCATTTTCCGAATGTTTTATTTTTTAATTTGAAATCTCATTGAATTCATTTCGTAACGTCTCACACTCAAACTATTTGCTAGGATTACTTGTTGGAACTTATAACCGGATTTTTTTATCACTGCGATATTGTGAAACGTATGCTCGCTAACATTTTTTTACGTGTGTTTCCAATAACGTTAAGCTTGGCTTTCTTAACGGCAGATGTACTGTCAACCCCTAATGTGTTAGCTCATGTCTAGCCTTGGACTTGAAGCTGACATAATAAAACTGTGCAACGTTTAGTAATGAAATGGCCTTCTGGGAACCTATACAATAGCATGATCCAATGCCGAAGACATTTTACTTATACATTTGTGGTTGAAAGTGAGAATCACTTAATATGGCGGTCCGTATGAGTAATGAATAAATAGCAAGAGAAAATTACTTACGTCACAGGATTCTCATTATTGCCGTTTTTCAAAGCGTCTTCTAGAATGCTGCTGTTGACAGCTTCAGTCTGCTGCGTGCTATCGACATCTTCGATAGCGTCGGTATCATCTTCGAGATCTTCACACTTTTCGTCGACATCAACGCGGCCTTGGGAGCCGTCGTCCCCAGCATCCAACTCCACATCTCCCTCACCACCTGGTTCCTCCTCGTGGCCAGTTTCGGCAGCCGCATCAAAATCGTCAACGTTTTTGTTATCCATGTGCGGCAATTCGGCGTCAGTGCATTTTGAATCTCCCGCCGAGCTTTTGCTCGCGGCGGCATCAACAATCGGCTCCTCGTGCTGTGACTTTTCCTCAATTTCATCCGCTTGAAGTTCTACTTCTAGTTCGGATTCCGCCTCTATCACTTCATTGGTGTCAATGAGATCTTCCGGTTGTTGTTCGACATCGTCGGCATGCAGCAGTTCGTCGTCACCGTTCATCATAATCTCACCGACCTGGTCATCATCATCATCGTGCAGTTCTTCGGCATCGCTCGTCGTTTGCTTCGCCTCTAAAGTGTCGGCATCAGTACTCACAGCAGTTGGGTCACTTTTCTTGTCCTCGATTCGTACGGTCGGCGATCCAGCGTGTTGCTCGTCCATTTTCATTTCCGATTCGCCCATTCCACGCCGGGCTCAGCCGCGAGTCGAGCCAGCAGACGCTTCCAACGCAAAACAAATAAGCACGCACGCACCACGAACACGTCGGCGTCGCGGTCGGAGTCTTCGATAGTGGCGTTCAACGCCGCGACGTTAACATTAAACCAAAACACTGCAACTCCACCATAAATAACTTGCGCGTCTGTGTTGTTCTCACGTCGTGTTGAATTTTTGGCGTATCGGAGGTGCGCAACTTTACCAATAATCTAGATGAAGCTTGACGTTTTTAAAATGAAGTCGTCGGAGCATCGAGTATACACGCATCTTTATTAAAACGAAAACGGCAGGACACTTATGTATGTACTACGCGGCGATAGGACAGTTCCTCGACTCTTTGACCTAAATGTATTGATTCCGCTGTATGTGCACAACCTAACAAACGGCAGTAACAGGCAGCAGGCCTCCGAACCAGCAGCAAAACAGTAGACCAATCAGCATACGCTGCAACCGTTTATAGTAGCGTCCTGCAACACCATATCACACTGACGTGTCATGCGCAGCAGTTATACTTGCTGGTGGGTGAAGTTAGCTTCCTTAAATCTAGGCCACTAATAATGCATTTATTTAAATTCTTGAACAATTGATTATATGTTGTTTTATTGGTGTTTTGTTTTCAATTGTAATTATTTCGTAAATGCTTAAAGTTGTTAGGTTCATAACGAGAACTCGTTTTGAATTAAAGCAAAATTGTATGTGTTGCCTTCTACGCGTGTTGCCGGAAAACTTGAGGTATTGCCTTCAATTAAGTAATTAATGGAAATTTTGTGGTTTTGATGCAAATGAGTGCTCGTCATTCAATAAAAGCAGTAAACACAATTTTTGCGTCGCTCGGGATGTATTTAGGAAGAGAAAGACGAAAGGGTCAGAGCATGATCATCGGTTATTCTATTGCCAGATAGATGGCACATCAGGTACGGAACAATTCATTTATTTGATCCTAACGGCAGTTATAGCGTCGTCTGAGTTTTGACTGTTATCTAAGTTAGATAGTGTATTTGGACTGATTGGCGGTTGTAAACATTGTGTTCTATTTCAGAGCTATTTTTGATCTATTTATGCAATATTTGATTTTTCTGTTGGGTTTATTTCTTTTTGCATGCTTAATGTTTCCAAGTTTAAGATAGAAACAACGAAATGAAAAGAAATCGATCATAATTTACAATCTTTTATAGTAAAATTCATTAGAACGAATTAATTATTGATCAATGTCAATAATTCTCCACTGATTTGATATTCTCCTGGACTGGCTTTAATTTTGGAAACGTAATTTATGTTTTATCAATATACTTGGAACCAGAATAAGAAAGAAAAATCATAAAATGTTCTAAAAGGCTTGTTCACTTCGTTGATCTATCAAAAACTATCAAAATGAACTATTACGTCATAGCATATTCAAATATCATCTTAAATTTTTAAACATCAGAACAAAAAATTAACGGGTAATTAAGTAATCGACAATTTAAACCAAAATTGTTTCTAGTGATGAATTATTACTTATTTTAAATATGAGTACTATGAAAAAATCTAAAGCGTAAACTTGTTTACGAAGCCTTTTTACATAACTTTTCTAAGTAAGAATATGATTCTTGCTTGCACGTACATGCGTCTTGTTTGGGCGCGATGTAGAAGTGGAGGTCAAAGTTCGACCTTCTGGAAGACTCCCCAAGCGGCATCAACGCGTTTACACTTTTAGATAAGTATAGTCATGAACTCATGCTGGAAGCAACTCGCCTTGCCTTCTTGAGCTCTTGCTGTGCGCTTCGACCGCCAATTGCTTTGTTGAGCGCCGCGGTCTCGCGAAGCGTGTTTAAATAAGAACACCATTACGTACAGATTTAAAATCTCTTCATATGGTATTGCTTGAATATGATCAGCCGTTGGTGCTATGAGAGAACATAAATAAATTTAAATTTAAAGTGATTCAATGACGACCCTTGGAATCAACCAAATTGGAAACGCAGACAAAATGCTTTTCAAAAGCGAGTCGATTACCATAAGAATTAAATTGAAGGGACGTCCTATTTACATGCAAACACTATTCTTTGCTCATAACCACTGAAATTCTTTTTACATTTGTAGTCTGCCTATCATGAGAATCATCAATCATACATTTTTTTTTAAAATTGCCAACGTACTCGTACTTAAATTTCCAAAATTGATATTTGTATTAACAATTTACAATAGCTTGTAATTCATACCAACATTAATTAACATTGTCAATGTCATTGCCATTTATCGCCATTACCTAATACCATTACCTATTAACTTATTACTAAATACTAGTAAATACATTATTACTAAAGACTAGAAACTAGAGACGCTGACTTGAAACAAGGAATTAATTTTAAGGGAAAATAAACAAAAACTGATTTTTTGATATGAGTATGTATAAATTTAGAATAATTTGATTCAGTAGAAACACAATTTACCGGACTTAAGGCTGACAATAACAATTGGATATCTGAAAATTATTATTGATTGTATGATTATGAACATTGAGGAAATTGGGTTGGTGGTGCGTTAGTTGTACTCATAGGTCCCAAATTAGTTGTTATTAAGGTATGGTATCATTGATTATTGTTAATTCTGGGAATACTAAATTAGTAAGCAATCAGTTTTGTAACCAGCAGAGCTATTTCGCACAAAATTCGTGAAAATGTAAATCCAATTTTATAAATATTTGTATGCTTTCTAATAAAGGGAACTAAAATAGCATCCAATTATACGAAATTCTATTTTAAATGAAATATCTACTAATTGGTATTAAGTTACACTGACATAGGTACGTATATTGCGTTTGCAAATATGAGTTAACACAATTCGATTAAGTTCTGCCATTACATAACAGTACGATTATTTTGTATGTATTGACATTATATAAAAGGAATTATATATTTACATAAGCTTACCCATTTTATATATAATCATTAATCATGAATAATCACATCCAATAAATAATAATATTGGGCGTGTTTGCTCTTTTTATAAACGACGCGCACAAAAGTTTTAATTTTTGCAATAAAATTTTAAAAACATACTTCATAATGCTGGCATAGTTTACAATTTGGTTGAAATTAAGACATTTTGTAGTTGGCAATAAACTATAAACTATAAAACAAATTAACAGAATTTAACTTCGATTAATAATCAAATTTGTATTTGCTTGAAGTTTGAAGAAAAAATTGAAAATAAAACAAATAGTTTTTAAACAATTACGAAAATAAGGTGGTCAAAAATCACGGATAAGTCTTATGATGTAAAATACGAGTATAGTGGAGATTCGAATGAAAATGGCTTAATGATTAGGTAAATTAAATATTTTTGAACAAATACGATATTTTTTTCCAAAAATTTCAAAAATGTATATAAAGCAATTATGTTATTTTGATAAGATATTGTGTACCTATATTTAATCTCCTGAAAATAATATAACATCTATCCAGTTCATACATGTTTAACAACTGTTTAAGGTTTGCCTTTAGGCTTTAAAACATAATTCCATGCCCAACTAGTTATTTAATTTTTAAACCATTACTACCTGCAGCCGACTGTACCTGAAATAAATTCAAAACAAAGGAAAAGGTTTGAGATAACGAGAAAATTATAATGGTAATATATATTTATTTATTTCATTATATTTAGTTTTCATTATTTCTGGTTTGGATTCATACGTTGTATGTTCAATTAAAATCGCAATTTATCGTAACTAGTAAATACATGTTGGTGTAGGAAAAGAAAACACGAATATGAGTACTACGCGAGACCTTCGATCGACATTTCCATTTGTTTCTCATTTCACAAGATCGAAAATTTGCTTTAATATAAAAACGTTCACGATGAACCAACGCAACATTAAACGCATAGATATTAAATGGAACATGTACATTCTAGGCGCGGCACAGGACACAGGATCACAAGTCATTTGATACACATCTACTCTAAAGTGTAATAACTTATGTAACAACGGTAACAACAGAATTTCAGCCAAATTCTCAAAATGTATTTTCGTAAAAGTGGAGATATATATGAACAAACGATTGTGATGTTAAATTACCATGACTTGTTGACCATACATTAATTTAACTAATTTAGCATCAGTTGGAATAAATATAAAATAAACATTCGATGTTTGCAATCGTTTAATTATGTTTTTTTGTTGTTGTCATTTAAAAGAAAATTACATTGTTTTTACATTGTTCTAGGGTACATTTTAAAGTATTGGTGTACTTTCTAGTCATAGACATAGTATTTTTAACATCACAGTAGTTACACAAATATTAGTTTCCAATTCGTTTCCTTCTCGAAAGTATATGTTCATTAAATAGGAATAAAACGATTTATCATCATAGAAATAAACAAGTACAAATAATCTTTGGTTTGCTGAAAATGATGACCATTCGTTTTATAAATTGATTCTCAATTCCTTAAAAGGATTGTTCAAAACTGTCACATTACAGTATAAGTACATGTTAATAAGAAATAGTGTACAAGTTTGAGAATTACAATATAATTGGTTGAAAATAGATAATCCAATTCGAAATAAAACAGAACGTACTTACAAACTAAAAGATCTAACAACTTAAAACTATGTAAAACATTAAATATTAAATTAGATTCGCAAGTTGTGTTGTTAAATTAATACCTGAATTTAAGGGTTGCTATCGTATTGGTAAACATAGCAATTGATTTTCTAAAGAAAACAAACATTTGTGTTTTGACAGATATTGGGACTAACATTAATAACATTAAAGTATCCTTAATCGCTCCGCCTTTTGATTCACAATATTTGTAACGCAATGGTAGAATATACAATTAAAATCCTTTGCAATATTTTGCCTCATTTGCATTCTTTCCACTGGATGAAATATTATATGTTTTCTTGTAACAAAAATATGCCTATACACCTAGGTAAAATCTTAAAAGTAATTTAGTCAAGCGTGAAACTCAATCGTTAATGGTTTGCAGTCGTAATTAGTATTCAATCAATAAGAAATCACTTCTTTTCTTTTTCTGCATTAACTTAATCAAACGCAATAAGTGTTTGCTCTGTATTTGTAATACGTTTTGTCTTTATTGTCTACACCTTACTTTTAAATGGGTGAGTTATAAATTTACGTCCGGCCATTTTTATTTTTATCTTGTTAAACATTTTAAAATTCAATTTCACTTAAAACGCAATCTCGAATGCACCCGGAATGAAATGTATAGGAGATAATACAACTCAAAAGATAAATAAGTAACAACGAAAAACATTTATACATTTACATAATATACATATGCCCGACTTGCGTGCATCAAAAAAATCTCACGCAAATCCAACAAAAGTTTGTTTGGTTGATGTGTGAATTGTGAAGATTTTTCTGACGTACGCCCGACACTGAATATAAATATATAATCAATAATATCTCAGTTCATATTAGGGTTTACCATCTCATGTTCATCTTTTAAAAAGTTTAAATTGTAATTATAGTCGAAGCGATATGTACGTTTTGCCTTACAATTTGGTTTTGCAGTTTGTTGGCGTTTCCCGCACGGCAATTCAAAAAGCAGCGATTCCTCCTAATTGTGTGAATGGTTGTTAGGCGAGAAGTTTCAGCTTGCAGATAGTTTTCAGTGTGCATGCAAAGTTTTCGACAGTAGCCGCGTATGCGCATGCGGCCGAATTGTTCAATTTGCGCAACTTTTCGGTTCAAAAACTTCGGAATGCTAATAGGTTCTTCATTGTTATTTCCGGCTTTGAAAGCGGTAGGTATGCAGGAAAATAATTACAGCCGCTATTAATCTCTGGTAACCATATTTCATGAAATATCGTGTATTTCAAAATTGAATTTTTGTTTATCCGATGAATGTTTTTGATCCATTTTTAAAATGATGCAAGTATTGCGGTTTTAATACGCATCATATTCGATACTCATTGAATACTATATAAGCACGTATGAAAAATCGTATGGTTTTAAAATGTTACAATTATTTTTTTACGAATGTATTCTTTTTTTTTTGTTTTCATCCAACCGCTCGCAATATGTGAGATTGTTCGATTACCTATTTTTATTATTTTTTTGCTTAAATTGTAGTTTCAATTTATATCAATTAATTTATTAGAATATCAATGTTATAATCAATTCGCTAAGATTTTTATTTATATTTATGTATATATTTATATATTTTATGAATATTTTCATTCGATTCTCGCTTATAGTACTCGTATAGGATGCGATCAATTTGATCACACTTCTATCAATTAGTCATTGGCATAGCTAAAATATCGATTAGTTTGTCTAATGTGTGTCCTTCATTTCATCGTCGCTTACAGCATTTAATTAACTTTGTACATGTTGTTTTTTTCATCTTCTTATTACATTTACATTAATATCTATGTTTTTGTCTTGTACTACTCTGGCTGTTCAACGCCCTCGTTAGTTCGCTTTGACCACATGTTTCGTTATCGCTAAAGGAAATTCATAACCGAAAACAATATTGCAGATAACGTAAAGTGTGTGTCTCAAAAATACTAACCGTAGTTTATCAAATACATGAATTTAAACATAAATGATTTTTAGGCCAAAGTAGGGCCTCGTTAACGAAAGTAACATTTCAATCAATATGTGTTAATGTTTTCTTGGGACGGACATTCCGCAATAAGTTTGGCATACTCGCGAAAAGATGTTTGTGTAGTACATATACGAGTACAAGAGACGTGTGTGTGCAGTGGTTTTGTTCACAATAAGTGTGCGTGCCACTTTTTCCGTTGTTCAGTTGCAATAATTTTGCCAATATTCCGAATATTATGCAGATACAATGAGCATTCATTTGTCAAATGTCTTATCAATACATGTACAATTAATTTTAACTATATGTACAGCGAGGAACATTTTTATTTGTTTTCTTTCCGCGTTTTCTGTGTTTTATCATTTTTTACATGTTTACATGCGATCGTAATGTCAGCTTTGTGTAGGTACAGATAATGAAAGTGGGCAGCGGTACACGTTATTTTTTTATCTTTAGTGCCTAATACTATGTTTTTGTCAACGACAAAGTTCCAATCGGTTTTATTTGGCCGTGTTTTAAAATGTTTTCGATTGTTTTGTTGTTGATTTATCAAACACTGTGTAGTAATATTATTTGGGAAACATTAATTTCATCAGACATCGATTTCCGGCCGCGCAGACTCGTTTGCACACTTCACATATATCGTTAATTGCGTTTAGCATTAGATATTTAAAGAAAGACTTCTTTTCGCCCCGGCAACAAATTAATTCAATTTCCGTCATTCAATTACGAGCGTGCGCGCGCGCTAACACTCGAGTGCTCGTCGCCTTGTGTTTCGTTTCCGATCCGCTCGTCGTGTACCTCAGTGTGCGCGCTGCCTCCGTTTGTATGATTTGACGTGTTTCGCCTTTTTTTTTATTAAATTTTGTGCGCGCAGCACAGAAACGCGACCGACGAACAAATGCGGATCCGAATGGGAAGCGGTGACCTCGCGAGACCTGGTTCGCGTTCTCCTACCCCCTGCACTTCGGCTTCGTCGTACGTCCGTCTGACGTATTACAGCACTCGCTCTTCTATCGATTTTTCTTCACATTCGGAACTGGCCGAGCGCGCGGAAGTGGAGTGGAGACGTAGCGAGCACACGCAGCCTTTTTTATTTTTATTACGAAGCTGCCCGTTTTTTAGACAACGCTTCGGGAATCGTCGCTTTTAACTCATCCATCCGCGTTGAGGGTCGTCTCGCGTCTCCCAGACGGCAATGGGGTGTCGTTTTCTTTTCATTCAACATCCCGCACCACGGCAATTCGTGTTTTACCTTCTTTGTCAGGATTTGTGAGCATCTAAAAGAGTTCGTACCGATTGACGCCATTGGGATTCTATAGTCGGTTTTCATTTTGACAAGAAATCAAAGTCGAAGCCGGAGAAAAGGTCCATGTTCTTGTTCGCCGGCGGGTCTTGTGAGAGTGGACCTACGGATACGGACTGTCTGGGTGGTGTGACCATGGTTGGCAGCGCCTGTTGCCTCCACTGAGTCGGAGGCTGTTGTCGCTGTTATTCTCCTGCGGCCGTCACCGTCGTCCAGTTCCACGGACTCGTGTAGCTTTTTTGGCTGTAAAGGTTACAAAATGCACATCTTTTATTAGTTTCTTCTTTGTCCAAATTCATTATACTATTATTACTACTCTTTCAAACATTCATCTAAGAAAAGTAAGTGGAAGATAAATATAAATATAAATCGTCCTTGGTAGCAAAAAACTTACTTGCCAAATAATGGATGCCAAAGATGTTTTTGCGCTTCTTGCATCTCGTCGATGCTACTAGTTGTACTGCCCACTTCGGCGATGTCATCGTATTTCAACAAACGTGCAGCATTCTTCGGATCAACTAGATGCTGCGGTTGTTTTACTTTGAGCTTGCCTGTCGGTGGACCGCCAGATAAATCGATTGGTCCTTGCGATACCCTGTTTCGTTTTTCGTGCAGCGGATGCGGTTGTTGTTGATGCGAATGTTGCTGCTGTTGTTGTTGTTGTTGTTGTAAAAACTGCTGCTGTTGTTGCTGGAATATCCTGTATTGATCAATTTGCTGCTGATGATTCAGCTGCTGCTGCATTGGTGATGGCGGTGTGCTTAAGCCAGGAAATAGACCCAGCTGTAAATGCGGTTGCACCAAATTGGCAAACGGCTTGCACGCCACTTTCGGTTTGTGGTACATTTCCTGCTGTTGCTTTAACAACTCTTGTTGTTTGAGAAATTCCTGGCGGTGCAATTCTGCTTGTTGTGCCTGTTGTTGCTTCTGCCGCTGTAATTGCAATTGTTGTTGTTGCTGCTGAATCTGCTGTTGTAGCAGCTTTTCATTATCGTATTTCCGCTGAGATGCGTCTCGATGATGCGAAGGATGGCTCTGATGATGATATGTGTTCTGCTTCGATTGCTGATAACTCGTCGAGGATTTACTCTTACTCGGATACTTCGGCGTTTGATGATTCGTCGACGGCGGCTGATATTGCTGCGGCAACGACCTGGGCACGTTCGGTTGTTGAAATTGATGTTGATACGAGCTATGCAAGCTGTTCATTGGACTTGGACTGCTGTTGGTGCTCATTGCGTTTTTGCTCATCATTTTCTGCGAGTTGAGAAAATCTATTTGGTTTTTCGTCCGCGCCTGTTGCAACATGCTTTCTTGCCACATAGATAATTCGAGAGGATTGTAGTTGAGCGCCGTTTGTGGAAGCGGAAACGCAGGTGGTGGGAAAGGGCGCATCATATGCGACATATCCGGGGGGACATAACCCGGCATCATGGTGCTCAGAAATTTCAGGAATTCTGGATTATTCATCGCTTCCATTTGATTCAAGTAAGGTAACCACATCATTTGTGAAAAAGCTGCATTTGTCGCCGCGTCAATGTCGCTTGATAATTCAGAAATCTTCGACTTTTTCGAGGTTTCTTTCTCTTTAATGGCGTCCCGAATTTCCTTATTAGGCATACTAGCAACTGGTGGTTTTTCTTTCGATGGTGTCAACGACTTTCGCGGTTCCGGAATCGAAATAAGTTTATGCCTCTCCCGCTCGGCGAGTGGCTTCTCTTTCTCCTTTTCCGCAACAAACTTTTCTTTCTCAACAACTGGCAAAGACTGACTTTGCTTTTCAACAATGAGCTTTAACTGTGATAGAGTAATCACCAGAATGTCGGGATCTTGAAGCAGATGAGGGAAAGCAAGTGCTTCCGGCAAGCGTAATTCTGGTCGTTGCTTCAGCAGCTTTGGTATTTCTTTGGCGGGAGCAGACAAAATTTGGCTCAATCTATCCTTGGGAATTAACATCGGATCCGGAATGTTGAACGTATTATTACTTAATACCTGTTTCAGTTGCGCAACGGGGTCCATTTCCTCTTCTTCCTGCGTCAGCAATTCTAGCAACCGCGGGGTGTCTATTGCGTTATTATTGTTATTTTTATTATTATTATTACTGGCCTTGTTATTTGTAACCGAGTGCACAGTTTGTTGAGGCTTTTCGTCTTTTCCGGTCTCTGTATCTAGAAGGGTCTTCAACGTAATATCCTCGAGTTTTATTTTTTTAGAGGGTGGTTCCTCTTGCGAGCACGTCACTTTTGGACTATCTGACTCTCTGAGTTTTCCCAGATCCAAGGGTTCCTTTTCTGGTAACACAATAGCATCTTTGGTAGGGGAAAGCAACGATTCTAAGTAAATATTGGACTTGCTATTGGATTGGGCATTGTTTTTATTGGCACTGTACAGGTCCGGGGATGGTGGAACGGCTGGAATTCCACTCGGTTGTGGTGATTGTATCGTCTCCGAGTTTTGCGATGCGGGTCTTTTTGACTGTGGCGAAGACTGACACTTCGGTATGCTCAGGTCTGTCGGAATTAGGTCCTCGTCAGTATCACAGGCTTTTGTAGTGTGTACTCTCAAATCAGTCGGCGTTTCCTCCGTTGATTCAGGTTCTTCTGGGATGGCAACTTCTTCCGGGATTTCCACTTCCGGCGCTTGAGACAAATCTACCTCTGGAGACGCCAGAGATGCCTGATTGACTGCTTCTATTATTTCAATTGTATCTATCTGCGGTTTAGCTTCAATTTCTTCTACATCCTCTTCCTCTTTGAGTACATGGAGGCATTCCACTTCCGGCTTACAGTCGGCGGGTGTCTCAGGCGGTTCAATCAGCGCATCCTCGTCTTGAATAACCTGCGGACTGTTCAATTCAACTTGTTGGTTGTCATCATTTGCAATTGTTTCCAAGTCCTGTTTTATGATGCTGTCGATGTCGGAGTGTAAGTTGTCAGGACTCTGCAATGACTGCTCCAACCTGCTGAGAATATCATCCATGGCTAGATTATTGTCATCGTCGTCGTTATAGTCAATTTCGCAATCTTCCTCGTCGTTTATCTTGTCTCCGTTAGTAGTGGAAGCATTGCAGGACTCGATAAACATGTCGAAATCTTCCTGCTCATTCGACTTGCTGTTCGTCGTCTCCCAGCGCTCTGCTTCGATTTGCTGGTTGAACTCGAGTTCGGCGACTGCGAGTAAATTGTCCAGCGGCGAAATGTTGTTTTGACAATCATCCTGCGCACTGGCACATCCACTAGTATCCACACTGACAGCACTGGCACTACACTCCCGATTGTTTACATCCGCCTCCGGCAACAAATGCGGCGGCGAGCAATCCTGCTGCGTAGGCGGTTCACTCGTCACTTCCGAATCGTCCGCGCTCCATGTGGCATCGGGATGCGGCTGCAGCTCGTTCTCGTCCACCTGTACGCCGAAGGACTTCCGTTTCGGCCTGCTGTTACTGCGCCGCTTGGACTTCTTGCAATAGCGACCGGAAGCGTCATCCTTCTGGAGAACGGGTGCCAGCGTCTCGGTGCGCGGGATGGCCCGCCATCCCTGCGCTGTCTTTGTAAGCAGAATCCGATTCCGCTTGTCGTAATCTTCGCATTTAACTTCCACGATGTGAGTGTCTTTTTGCCGGACCCACACGAATATCGGATTCACTCTCGGCGACGAGGAAGTGGTATCACTGCACGACGACGAAGACGTCGACGTGTACGCGTGGTGGTGGTGATTATGATGATTATGTGCATGCGACGAGTCGGAGGCGGCGGCGGCGGCGTTGTTGTGGTGGAGGCGTTTGGACGAGTTCGAACGTTTACGACGTTCCCGATCCCGATCGCGATCACGTCTCCTGTCTGATTTACGATGCCGCTCGGTTTTCCGGGACGCTCCCGGGGCGGCGCCGTCCCTACCACGTGACCGCGGCGTATCGATCACCTCCGCCGCCGTTGGTTGCTTCGTCCGCCGCGAGCGCTGCTCTCCCATAACCTCTCCGGAGCACTGGGTCGAGCCGCAGGGGGCGCGCTCCTTCACCTGCACGTCCTCTTCACAGTCACTATCGTTGTTGTTATTCACAAGCGCGCCGACCCCATCGATACTATCGGCGCCGTCAGCGCTGTCATCGCCGTAATAGGTGCCATTGTTACTGGGCGTGTAGTTACCGCTGTAATCACTGCTCGCGCTATTTGAACGATTGCTGCCCTTCCGCAGCGCCGAGATGGGAATTAAATCGGGCACGGGGGGCAGCGCCGCACTCATATCTACGACGCGCCACACTCACTAATCATGTTACAGAATTTTGTCCACGCCGCATTCGTAGCTGCACCCGTCGGCGGCCCCCCAGCACCTGGACATTTTCCGCGACTTTGTCCTCGATTTCCGCGATTTATTATTTACCGACGACGATACCGGCAAACTCGCACATCACTATTTCTCGCGATTGGCCGGCGCGAGCGCCTCGCTTTGGTTCCCGACCGTGGCAGCGAAATTAAATCGTAAACGCGATGCACGTCGGCCGCCGCTCCGTCCGCAACTCGAATCGCTTCGTAGCGCGACTCCACTACAATAATCGAGTCAACGTACTCGCGTTCAACGCTAGAGCCACTGCCACTGCCGCGTCTTGCCCGTGTTACGTCGTCGTGACCGATCCACGATCCGCGATCGCATTCAACGAGCCACACACACTACGACGTAGCGAAGGCCGACGGCGTACGACTGCGGCCGAACGTTTCGGGAAAACCACCTGAAACAACCCCATTCGTTGCAGGAATTTTCACCCCTCGTGCCGGCGCATCCTCCAATAGCGCGCGCGCGCGCGTGCACGAATGCCAAGGGTAAGGAAATTACACCAGCGGCTCGCAAAATTTCCTCAAACTCGCTTCAAGTTGAAAACCTTCAATAGCACCGATTGAAGAAGTGAACGACACGCTTGTTGGCAATGCACAAACACACCGCCGAGCGAACAACCTTGACACTGCGAGGTTAATTGACCATTACGTGTACTTACAACACAACTATGCACAATGACTGAGGGCAGACAAGCAGAACCCACGGACTTTTCCCTTCGACGTACTCAAGCGGTGTGAATTAAAAAAATATAAGCCCATAATATCATCAACGCAACACCTAGTAGCCTGTTTTCGGCTTTTCAGATTTCCAGTCTTCCGCAAGTGCGCCGCAAATACCACAAATTGGAACACGCTCAAAAACAAACGCAAAGCGTAATATCTATTAATAGCCTCCCCACAAAAATCACTCTCAATCCTCCTGTTATTTTCATTTTGTGTATGTGTGTTTTTGCAGCGCAATGTTTCGGCATGTGGAAGAGGGTGGCTTTGCCTAACAAGATCAAGAACAAGTGTATAAGAACAATGAAACGTAGTGCCTTGTGTTGAGGGACCTTGTGGGGGGGCCTCGAAAAGCGTGCGGAACGAATCGACACCCTCGGTTATTCCACCTCGCATGTGTTCGCGTTCAATTGTCGCTGCAACTGCGAGTCACTGGGGTGTGCTTAGAATTCTATCCCTCCGACAAAACCACAAAGTGATCAGGAGCGTGAAAGCGATAATTGACATATTGATTCCGTCAAATGATAGAAGAGAACGAGGCAAAGCAGAAGTGGAGAGAACTCTAACTAGCTCAACAACATCTGAATCCCAATTGTGGAAAACAAAGCATCTACATTTTTTTCTTCTTCAAATCAGTAATTTTATTTTATTTATGTCGCGCAAAGTTGAATAATTTAGGCTTTTAAACACTTTGTACTTGACAAGTCCGCACATGTGTTATGCCCAAGGTGTAAATATTTGAATGGAATTGATTTTTACTAGTGTGCTCGTCATAAGTCATAAGAATAAGAAGTGTGCTCAATATCGATTGCATGTTTCAATTGTACGTTTCTATTACGGTATTGTTCCATGCGCTTTGAATTGAAACAGCATTTATTATAAATGGCCAGCTGTTTCATGTCGTTGTTTATGAACGCAACATGTAACATAGCATGTTCTCGGTAATTGAATATATTGTTGGAGTGTTCTCCGATAATAATAATAATTGATCGGGGACCTGTTGTGTTGCGAGTTGGGAGCTCTAATACGAGCATTTACTTAATTAGAAAACTTGTGTTTTATAAATCGCGTACATATTCAAACACTTGGAAAGTTGAATATGCAAAGTACTTGTATGTAGTTGAAGTAAATTAACTGTGCTCGATCAGAACTTTTCATTAGTAGAGAAATATTCTGCTCTGTTAAATTCAGGTAAAATAAAAGAGCATCAGTTTTTATCTACCGCAAAATATGCATTGATTAAAAAATATTGGGAAAAATGTTTTTTATGAATTTGGTTGGTTTTGGCTTTTGCAGCTGTGCAAAATTAAAATTAATAAATAACTTGTTATAAAAAATCAAAAACTTGCATTGGTTACAACGTTTTTCCAAAATAAACAAAACATTTAAAATTAAAAAAAAATTATTATGAGATAAATTTATGACCTTGCCAAATTTATCTATTTACAAATAGAATATGAAATAATAAAAATATATTAAGCGTGAATCAAATTCATATCAAATATTAACGAGTTTTAATGACAAAGAAAAAAATCATTTTATGATTCACTCAAAAAATTCAACCAATAAACAATATGGTTTTCATAATATTTGCAACATCCTAAATTGACCAAAATTTATTTTAGCATTAAATCAAATTCGATCAATATCCGTAATTGCAATATTTCTTCACTGCTGTTGAGTAATGCTTCAACCTGACTACACTGTGAACTTATTAGTTTGATCTGCTCGATAGTGCGCAGCATTTGTGTTTCGAAGGGGATTAAAATAGCTTAGCGCAACCCTAAATCGAGTTATAATAAATAGGGGGTCGGCTATAGTAAACAAGGTCCGCCGCGTCGCGCTTCATTTCATACGCGAAATTCCGCTCGGGTGCGGGAGCGATGCGTAAGCGTATGCAATACACTTTCGGTTGTTGCATTAGTTACGTCAGTTACGCGTACATTCTGCATACCCTCAAATAAGCGAGTATGAGAGCTGCGTGCAGATAGATAGAAAGGAGATGAATGAGTGGCGCCGCGCCGTGTTTGGAGGGTATTTGCTATAGGGCTAGCAGTACCGGTCCCTAGGGCACGTGTGCACGCGCCGGTACAGTCATTACGCATTGATTGATCCGTCTGCTCCATGTTTGCTATATGGAGTGTGTGCTGCTAAATGAATGGCTTTGATTGGTATTGCGTGATGTGTTTACTTTGTTTCGAGGTGTGCAGATTTGGTAATCGTTTTTGTTCTCATTGCATAATAGTTTGACCATGCTACATTTTACAGTGGATTGTTTTCTACACCTGTAGGATAAATCCATCATTTTGTTTTGGTTTTGTTAGAGAAAACAGGAAAATTAATTGTTTTGTTTTAGCTTTGTTACAGAAAGTAGATATTCATATTGCATGTAAGTTTGGTTATGTTATGTTAGGTTAAGTTAGGTTAGGTTAAGACATAGGGAAAGTAGCCATATTTGGACCATTTTTATATTTTTCGATTTATAGAGCCACATATAAACTGTCAATAAAAATTAAGTAGCGGAAAAGTAACTCACAAGGCTTACCAACAAAATGATATTTTTGATTTAAGTAAAAATTATATTTATACCCCTCAAATTTCAATTTAAAAAAATTGTGTTTTGGTCCAAATTAAGAAACCGGTTTCCTAAATTGGACCGCGCGGTTTCCTAAATTGGACTATGCTTTTTTAACGGCAATTGACACAATAGTAAATTTTAGTTTTAGCAGAAACACAAGCACATTTTGTATAAACCAAAGTGCGGCATTTCATACACTGCATCATTTCGAAGATTTGTGCTCGTCCACAAGCTTTTCTAAGAGATCAAAAAAATGATATACGTTTTCCCTGTTAAAACCCGGTGCCTGTCTCCGGTCCAACTTGGGCAACTTGAAGAATTTTTATTTAATGATCAACGACAATATTAATATAACATAACCTCTCCAAATTAATACTATAAATTATAGATAAATAAATAAGCTTTCTGATGATATAATTATAATCGTGAAATCTAACGTTTAAACAGCTTGACAGCTTATGCACTTACGTCGTTATAATAGATTTGATAATCAAGGATACGAAAAGTTGATGTCACGACGAAAGCATGCGGCAAGTTTTAACCCAAATAGTTGCATCAATTGTTTATAAATACGAGTAAAACAAGGGTCTATTTTTGCAAAAACATCAACAGTCCGCGGATATCGTGGTGGTCCAACTTAGGCGCTGGTCCAAATTATGCTACCTTCCCTACCTATTTTTGCAGATATTTTGGACTACACACAATTTTCAACCCTTGTTACATAATTTGTAGTTTGGTAGTTAATTTAATACAATTGTAAAAGGTGCGAAAGCAAAGTTTCATTCCATGTGAATACTTCAAATGTTCAAAAATGCAAAAGTTAATTTCCACGTGGGAGTACCACTGTTTCAAACTTTTCAACAACCACAAGCTATATTTTGGAGTTGCAATATTGTAATAAAGCGTAATTATCAACATCAACACGAAGCCGTCGCACTGAAACACCTCTTTCCTTCCAAAAACACCATGTACGTCAGCATTTGCGATCGCGATGAATGCGGCTGGAATTTTGAACGATTTGCAACTCGTTCGTGCGGAACAATCGGGCAGTCTTTATCAAAAACGCCGGCGTTGTCCGGGCGGCGGCCTATCGTCACCATCGTAACCGTCATCATTCATTTCATCATCGCAATGCGACTGACGTCGGTGTGCGCTTTGTCCCGTTCATTCATTTATAACGCACAATGATGGATAAAACTTCCACATTTCCACCGACACCATGCACGGACATTGCGCCAACAACAACTACTCATCCAACACACAACATGACACATTGCAACCGAACGGGAAAGCAGAAACGAATATACGATGCAGACATTCGAAACACGCGGTTGTGTGAATTGGTTGAGTATTTGATGGTGTGAGTATACGACGTGGAGGAATCCTGAAGCTCGTTGCTATTAGTGATGTGCATCATGTGTGACGGTTTCTTCTTTCCTAAAGGGTGCGTTCGTAAATAGATAAATATTTATAAGTATGTACATATTTATTATATACTTGCTTCGGTAGAAAATACATATTTAACAAAGAAATCTTCTAAAAAAAACATTTAAAAATGTTTACGTTATATTATTTAAAAAATGCTGTTGAAGCACAATGAAAAGTTTTGATTGTCTACTTTTGTGTTAAAATTGATTCATTCGACAAGGCATAAGTTAAATTTAACAGAAAAACGATTTTTATATAAACTTTCCACTTTTGCGCATGATAAGACTTTTATTTCTGTGCTTAAGCGTTCAGTGCCGATTTTTTACTTTCATTGCTATTTTATACAACTTCATTGCCATTTTCGAAACAAATTGGTCGATTTTTACAACAAAGAAATGTTTTTTATTTGTGTCTGTATTTGTACAAAATGGATTCCATTTTAAAAATCAATGACATTACCAGTGAAACAAAAATAAAAACTGCAAATGAAAATTTTTATATTGCAAATAAAAGTTCGAGCTTTATTTGTTTTATTTTTGCAAACAAAATTGTTTTTCATTTTGATGTTGCACTCTCGCAAATGACATAAATATAAATGCATTATATTATATTATATGACATGGTAGGCATTTTTTACTCGCGGCAGAAATATCCAGCAAAAATATAAAAATATAATCCGGCGTATATCCTACGCGCATTTATGTTCATCATGCATGCTTTTAATGCATGTTTTGATATCGTCGGGAGAGCAGGCAGGACAAACACAGCGGAGGGCTACATATTTTCTTCAACGATCAATACTCTACCACACTCTCTATGGACAAGCTGCCGAAGAAGGACGAACGGAAAGCAATAGTAAAGAACTTGATTTAGAGATATGTGCGATGAGTGTTCTGAAACGTTCAGTAATATGTATCCAGCCTCTACAAACGGATCAAATTTATACTCAGAAATCAGAAAAGAATTGAAACTTAGAATTTTTTTGTTGTGCTTTGTACTTAAAGTTTAGTACAATGTATGCAGCGAAAATAAGACAAAACAATATTTTGAAATTTAATGATTCATAAACCAGTTTTTGTAAGCAATATGTTGTTGCCGATGTGACGTTCCGAATATTATCTGCATGATTACGACATGGAAGCAAGGAAAAATGAGCAAAAAATGAACTTTGTTGCGAAATAACATGCATAACAAATAATAAAAAATATTGCGAATTTCATCGTAATATTGTATTGTTATACACCGTAAAAAACAAAAACTAATAAAAGGCAACCAGATAATCTACACTACAACCTTTGGTTGAAAATAATACTAAAACGTTTTTTTGTAAATTGAAATCACGTATTTAATAATATTTAACTGATTGGATCAATTACCTTTCCATAAAAATGACAATTTACGAAATTAGGTATTAAAAGTTTAAATATTATATACTATTATATTACTGCCAGGTTATTAATAATAAAACTTTGATATTAAATTTCAACTCTCATAAACTAGTTATTAGTTGGCGCACATAATGATCTGTCATCAACACTATAAATTTTAATGTAGATCATTTTATTTTTGGACGAAGTTTCAGAAAATTGCTAATCCATTCTAGCGTACATGCTATAGGAGTTTAGCGATAAAAGCAGTGCGCAGATAAATCTCTGATCTCTAAAAAGGCGGTTTAATTGGCTGGTCCTTTGTTTCGAATTCCATTTTCATTATTACCTTCGCTCGACGTGGTCGCTTCGCGCGCCTCTGAGCGCACAGGGCCTTTGTGAATGACTGGCAAATTGCAGGATGCAATGTTCATCAAACTAATTGCATTAGCTCAAACGAATGCATAAATGCATTGGGCAATTTTGCATGTCGCGTCAAATATCAAGCGGACAATGATAAAATTGAAGAATTTAATATAGTCCGATTGTGTTCCATTCATACATATTTGATGCATTTGGAAATATGCGCACCTAATTGTGTCTGTTATTGATTGTTCCATTTTTAATCGCAATGTTTTCTAAATTAGGATTAATTTATTACAAACATTTATTTTCAACAAAAAGTCTCATAATGCAAGCTGTAACAACTAATGAAATTTTAGGTAAAATTCGAAGGCGAAGCTGTTAAGCAATATTTTATAAAACTATTGCAAATCAGGTGTTCACGTGAAATGCAATGAATGCGTGTAATAAGCACACGCAATATTTGCTGAAATTTGTATCAATTTGTATCAACGAAGTTGATATAATATGATGAAACTTGCCTTAACATTTTACTTATATGTAATGAGCACCCCCAGGTAAAAACCAATTGTTTATTCCAATAACACAATTATATTTGCGTCATGTTTCGTCATAGCATGATCGGAAAGATGAATATTTATTATCATCTTTCTTTAACAACCCTGAGGGTCTTCACATTCTAGATTATTTCGTGTCCATCCGAATTACATTTGTTTTTATATAATATGCTCCCATTTTACAGGGACAAATATTTATTGCACGTTATTATTTTAAATTTGTATGAAGGTTTCTTTCAATCTTTGCTTCTGCGAAGAAAATCAAGTATGTCAGTAATATTTACAAATGCTCATATTACTTGTAAAAATTAAATTTAGTTTACTAGATTACATAATTTACATACTGAAACTAAATAAAATTGCGCATATTCTAAGATGACTCAAACATGTTACTTTTTAAATATTGTTCATTACAAGACCCTTTCAAAGGAAGTTCTTTTTATTTTTATTATGTTACTTCTATTAGTGAGAACAGAAAATTTTATTTGTCAAAAATTAAAAGTGGCAGACAAAGCGACTCACCTAAGTAAGTTGTTATTACACATTAAAGTTAGATACAATTGATAATGATGATTTCGTAAATTACATAATGTGGATTGTCACATACACATACATTTTTATTCAAATAATAGTGTATTCATTTAAAAAATACATTATAATCTTTTAATTTTACAATTCAACATCGTAGATACAGATTATAACGCATATTGCGTGCGTTTTTAACACATTTTGCACATCACGTTACGCTCAAAATTCAATAAATAATTCATCACCTAAGTCGGAATAAAATTCGTTTTTAATGGAAAATTCACTACAAAATAAAAATCAATTATATTATATATTCAATTATTTAATGTCAAAAACATCAAACATTCCACATTTTCAAACAAAACTACAAAATTATTGCTTGAGACTTATACTGAGTGATAATTTGATAGTATGAATATCTACAAAATAACAAAACAACAATTTTATCAATGGTTACAGTTCATACATAAGTATACTTCAGTGTTTCTTAGTTACAGCAAGACTATCAATATGTTCAACATAATTTCGACCAATTTTCAAAAGTGCCAACCCTGAGCCCACCCCACACACTGTGCACAAGGCCACATTTTGTGGCACTACACTCCTTAAAATTGCCCAAATAAGGACAGATCCCAATGAAAATGTGACAGATCCAAAAACACTAAAAACAAACAAAAATGTATAATATTAATATTTCATTTAATTTAAAACTACACTCTCATTTACCTGTATAAAATGCGTTCCTGTTTAGATAGGTTCATCAAATGTGGTCGATTGTATAAGTATAAACTGCTGCCCACAAATGCATGAGCAAGAAGCACATTTGTAATGTCCCTTCGAGGAAATAGCCTGCAAGTTGCATAAGAGTAAGGTTAGACAAAGTCAATATTAAAATTGCAATTAATTATGGCATCAAGAAGATAACAGCACATGTTGGCTTACCTCAAAATTAAAGAAGGATTCATAACATTCACAGAAAGGGCAGTATAGCTGATAACTCCTTGAATCGGCGCATAATAAAACATGATGTTGTTGACATTTATGGGTTTTAGGCCCAATTTACCGCAAAGGGAAACGCGCGCGTCGGCTGCTGATGCCATTGTTTCACTGAATTTCACAAATAATTCCACTCGAGTTATATAGAACCGAAATAAATAGTTAATATCGTCAACAGCGGCGCGTTTCGAAGATTCTTGAGAGAGAAATAAAAAACTGATGCTTATGACATTGGAATCGCAATGAAAAGTTTGTATGCAACCAAATGTACATAGTAGTTACGTTAAAAACTATGAGTACAATATTACACATTTTTAAACAATATTAGTTATTGAATGCAAACAGAGAAATACCTACCCATATAACTATGTTAATTTTAAATATATCTATTTAAATTTGCTTGTTTTAAGCAGAGTCAATCAAATTCACTATGTATAATACAAAACAAATTTTAATTTAACTTCTATACAGAGTTTATACAATGCTAATAATGGATTAAGTTTTATTTTCTTGTCTCTCCTGTGATAACCCTAATAGTACACAATCAGCTTCCAATAATGTAAGATCTTTTTCAAAACCCAGGAATTTTGAAGAAAGTTCCAAATCTTTAATTAGCAGCCTAACTTTGGCTCCTCGTAAATAATTTCTGAAATAAAGCATGAAACATTACACAAACATACAAAAAAATTGATTTAAAAATACTCACTGTCCATTTTTCTTTGGCCTGGGACACACACAGTGAAATTTCCATCCAAAGTCAATGTACAGATCATCTTCAATCACATGGAAGATTTTTCCAGTAACTATTTTTCCTTCTGGGTCTCCTAACTAACAATTAGAAGTTATTTAAGAATAAATATTATATTTTATACATACATCAACAAACTTGGAGTTGCTCAGCAGACTAGCAAAGGTTTGTATTGGTTCTTGAACTTTTTGTTCACTATCCAAATTTTCAAACTTGGTAAATGCTTTTGCATAGCCACCCTGTTTGTCAGTAGGTGTTGTGGTTTCCGAAGGAGCGGTACATAAAAAACGAGTTACGATAGCAGGCTTGTTCAGTGAACGATTAATTAGTGTCCTTAAGAGAGACATTTCGTGTAATAGTTGGCGATTAGTGACTTGTTTAAATCAAAATGTTGTTAAAGTATTAGATAACCTCACAAATTCAGCATCGGATTACGGTTTACTTCGGCCATTTGGTAGGCGCTTCGTATTTCATCGTGATGCCTAACCTTTCAAAATAAAAGTTTTGTTAAACATAAAAGTGGATTTCAACATTCGGTAAGTGTACATTTGGATTTATATATTGTGGAAAAATATTTAGCGTTAAAGGAAAGGCACAAGTTCTACTTGCTATCGACTTAGTAAATACTCGCCCAACTCACTCACTAATTTTGCATAACCGACGGCTATGGTCAAACCCATTTGGAAAATAATATAATGATTAGAATTCATTGTTTTCCACTCTTAGTCTGTAATATACTATTAATATTATTATTATTATTGAACTTACATGCGGCAGGGGTTATTTTTCTATCCAATAAATAGTAAATTTCAGAAAAAAGTTTCTGTGCACCTGAAACATTTGTATCTGGTTTGAAGGTAAAAAATACAAGTAAATAAGTATAATTATTATTTCGTACTAAAATACATTTTAATGATTTAACTTACTTCATGGTTAATAGGAATTAGTGAAAAACGTGCTTATTAATATAAATAACATATCATAATTACATTTTTAATAAAAATACAATATGTATAGTACATTAACAAATCAACAAACACTTCTTAAGTAGTGTTGTGTTGTTTTAGTTCTTTTCCGATTTTTTTCTTTTTGTTTTATGTACAAGAACAATAAGATTGGCAATATAGATAATAGTTTCGTTAAGTAGTTACGTGAACAAGTATTATTATAATAAGAATAAAAATATATAAATAATTAAACTTGTAAAATCATCATACGTAAATTCATTAGATAAATAAATGGCACCTGATATTCTCATCGGATTATCTCGTCAAAAGCAAAACGCTACGAATGTTCCTTACGATACATAAACATGAAAGAGATTTTATAATGTAATTGATAACATAAGTGTTTTTATCATAAAACAAAATATATCTTCTTATATGATAGTGCACGGCAAGCCGCAGCATAATGGCAAACAAACTGGAACGATTGCAGCGCCAGAACTGCTTTTACTTTTGCTCTTGCTTTCTGCTTCGTATTTGTATTTACCACTTTCTTTTGCCATGGCTCCCTGCAAATAAAATAATCAGTTAGAGTTGGCACTTCAATAAATTTGAGATTGTTTACTTGTGCTCGCCAAGCTGCTTCCTCTTTCTGAGCAAACATTTGATGTTCAGGTGGATAGTACACTGGTTGACCAGTGATATTTTTAGATAGAGGTTCTTCTCGCTTCTTGCGTTCGTAGTCTTGCGATGCCTTTAGTGCGTCGATTTTGCGTTGCTCCTGCAGTTCACGTTCGTGAGCACTCCAACCAGAATTGTAAACATTTGTTGGAGGCTAAAAACAAAAAATATATAGTTATTCTTTTAATTAGCATGTCATTTACGATTGTAAATATTTGCTCACTTCATTGCCAATTTGCGCCATTAAATCATCTAAACGTTTCGGTGGTCCTTCAACCTCATCTGTAGGAAACTTCCTTGGCAATATTGGTTCATTATCGTACCGTTCCGTATTGTATTTGTTCGTAGTGTTAGTGGTCGAGCGATATTTATAAGTGATGTTCACTTCTGGCTCTTCTGGATACACCTGTACGGGATACTGTTGTACTGGGCTGACATTTCCATTACCCGGAGGATGTTTGGGATCGAAAGTCTCCACATCGGGATATTGCCTGGCATTCAAATTGGACATTGAGTCAAATTTGTGAATAGTTGTAGTTACCGGCGGCAAGCTAGTCCTGTCTGGAGAATCTTCACGTGGTCCTCGGCTAGAACTGCGATGTGTAGTCGTCTCTGTATGATACTCTCTGGTTTGAAACGTGTCGTTTCTGGGCGTGTGTGGTCGCGAAACATGACCGGTCTGATGAACGGGGTTAGGTGTCGAACGACCACTGGGACTTCCGGGGATAAAGTCTTTATAATCTCTCGTCTTCACCGTCTCGTTGTAAATGTAAGTGCGCTTGCCGTCGGTGTCCGTGTAGATTTTGTTATCAGGATGATAGTTTTTCGTAGTGATGGTTTCCCGAATGACTTTGCGATCGCTGTGAGGGCTGGTCGGAGTGACCGGACGAGTTCCCGTACGCGTCAAAGTGCTGGCGTTGGATGCATTCTCATAATTCTTAGTTGTGTAAACAAAACTTTTACTCGGCGTCGTGATTGATTGATTTGATTGTTGGCCTTCGTATTGATTGACTGAGTGTTGAAGGGCTTTCTGGATGTATTGATCGGGGTCAACATTGCCGGGTATTTCATAGGTGTAGGTTTTAATTGTTGTGGTGACCTTAGTGTTGCCACTTGGAAGGATTTCGGGATCCAGGCCAGCAAGGACTTGTGGGTTGATGTCTGGATTGGTGGTTTCGATCACCTCGACTGGATATTCTTGTACATTGACCTTCTTGGTAAATGTGGGCGAAGGAGTACGGGTACGCAATGATTTAATGTCACCGTAACTACCTGCAGTGCAAGAAATATGATAATGCACTATTTGTTTTTGTTGATTAAATACATACCTTCATTTTGGTGGTAAGTCTGCGAACGATTCTCACTGCGTTCCAAAGACCTGGTTCTCTCGGCATATGATGGTACAGCGCGTTCAACAATAGTCTTACCGCTACTAGTCCTACTCTTATGATATTCAGCTTGATGCTGAATTGAATTGTTATTTACATTTACTCCCATAATTGAATCTAAATATACCATGTAATAATTACATACATTACTAAAAAATATATAAAAAACTCACCAGATTGTTTAGCCTGCTGTAAATCATCTAATAACGAATCCAATTGATTGATGTTATCTTGCATTCGTAGTTTTTCCGGTGGTAGTTCAGTGCCGCCTTTGCTGTTGTAATGATAATGTTGAGTTTTGACTGTTTTGTAATGTTGAGTACCATCTGGATCCTAGATTCCCACAAGCAATTAGTCTCTCATTAAATAAATAAACTAATTAAATCACTTACAGTATAGCTATATGAATCGTTGATGCTGTAATCGGTGACTGGAGTAGCGTTGATCAAATGAGGACTCTTCAAAGAGGATTTATCTACCCGCGATTCCTTATAAACGTTGCTTGTTGTGTTGCCGTTGGTCAATGGACGGGATACTGTGCTTTGCAAATCATCCAGCAAATGATCCAGACTGTTGTCGAATTGTGTGCCGCCATTGCGTGAGTAACTTTGAGGCGACAACGTGCGACTGCTGCTCGTATGCGATGATTGATATTCTTTTCGTTCGATCCTTGAGCTCGACATCGTGGATATTTGTTAAGTACTGAAATTTTTGAAAAGTTTTAAATTATTTCTCTGGGTTTGTTAGAAGTTTGCGTGAATACTTGAAAATTACCGAGTAGTCTCCGACTTGACAGGAAAGCCGAGTATTGTATTACTATGATTAATATCGTCGGAAATACGAAGCAAATAAATACTTTTTTCTACTTTCACCTATAAAGCGCCATGGTTTTCACAAAAAGTGGTACTTTATACATGGACGGTCAAGCCGTGAGTAAAGTACTTTACTCACGGACTGTATTCATGACGCGAAGCTATGTATTGCCTTTTTGAATAAAAGAGGACGTATTTTGCATAAAACACACGAAACAAATATAATTCTAATATGCAGCAAAAGTGATACATTTTCTAGATTACCTAATTTAATCAATATTAAGTCGATGCTCAATACTAAACATCTTCATCAATTTAAAAGATTAAAACTTTAAAAGATTTAAAAACATATCTTTATTTAGTTTTAGCCTATAATTTTTCCATAATCGCCAAAATAAGTTTCCAATGAATAAAATTTTCTTTCTTTTTGTAAACTTACTTCATTTATGATATATACCTTAAAATTATACCCTTAAAAGAGTATTTGTAAGTATTACTCGACATGTAACGCAGTAAAATTAATGACTTCTTAGTAAAACCATACATATGAAATCTGTGCAATCCGTCATTCTGCTTTCATAATTAATATTCTCATTCATCAGTCTACATAGCTGTTAATACTAATTCGTCAGAATTAAATTCAGTATTTAAAAACTGCATTGCAACATGCAAAATTTAGCATTTACAGATTCATAGAAATATCCTATTACTAATGTTGAAATGTTCATTGGGTATGCACGTGCACAAAATGTGCTCACCGTATGTGGGTTTACTTAATATAACAGCGATATATACTATATCCGTTAATTTCATCCTTCTTCATACACAACTTTCGGAAAAACGTGTGATCTCAAAATAGATTTACGGAAGTATTAAATAACATGTGTATTATGAGTAAAAACAATGTGTCTGCGTTTCGACCAAACCTGGGTGCGTATAGTCCACAAACCTCAAGCTTAAAAAACATTGAGAAAATTTTAGATTTAGAGTAAACGGAAACTGATTCGCATAATATAGGTCACAACGGCGGCGATTTTTTCCAACTAACTTCTGAATTTAGATCGGCGCCTTCATTAGCCAGCATTTCCACTCGGTGTGACATACACAGAATACGTTTCGATACGCGCTTCCACAACATGGAAATGCTGGTACAAATAGTGTGGCGATTTATTCATAAATTATTAATTTTTACTTTCGAAAATATCTAAAAAAATAATACCAGTAGGTGGCAGTTGGTATAAATATATTGTCCTGTTTAAATTTAAACTTGAATAAACATTTTACCATGACTCAGTTTTGTAACAGTTTACACCTAATTAACTCTGCGGAAAATTTGCCGAAAATACGAAACCAGACGGCCTCGATTTTCACCTGCCCAAAAGCAAACGGATGCAGACTTGATTTATAATTTTTTGAAAATAAAATTTTGGCTCACGCGCCGTACAAAAATAAATGTTACTGTTTGCAATTTCGCGGGCTTACGACAACTCTGAACTTGTAACAAAGCACTCACAAACATACATCTGCGAGTTGCAAGCGATTTCTCGATGTTTTGAAATTTACTGCACTGCTGCGTGAAAAACAATCTCGAGTAGTATTGTTATTTTTAAATTTTGTCACATTCGGTGACAACACCCTGCGCCGCCCACGCTATAGCAGACATCTGTTCGGAAACCTACTAAAAACCTACTTGTCTGTCGCACTTTTTTTTATATCGATTGAATCAATGTTAACACATCACAAGTGAATGACGTAACGAATATGATTCGTTATTCCTCGTGCTAATTATTTGTCTTATTCGCGTCTGATATTGCCTTATTTGCACCGCTCGTGAAGTGAGTGAGCGTTCTGTCTAGATTCGTGTATGCAACCTACACCTTCAGTGCGACTCAATCACTTGTCTTCCACCACAAGGTGGATTATTCTCGGTAATGAATGAACTTGAAACCGGTATTATCGTCGCAAACGCTCACACGAATTTATTTACGGGTTTTACGAGTCGGTCGCATGGAATGTCGATTGCGATCGCGCGATTGATCGACGGATACAGAGCGATAGAGACGAATGATCTGCACGCCCACATGATTTGATATTACAACTTGCTTATGTTATGCACAACCTAACTTGTTTTACATGTTTTGCATTGATTTATAATAAAACAGATTGATTCTTTTAATTCTCGTAAAATTCCAAGACATATCTTTGTTTATGTGATCTGTTTTATGATGTGTTAAAATTATGAAATGTAACAATATGCGTGCCTGAGTAAACGAATTTTCGCAGAATCTCCACGCCTTCGGTCTGGCCGGATAAGCATGTCCTTATTAGTCCTCTCAGTTCTTTCAAGTTTACACTTGCGCCGAGGCGCGACCATTGTACAACTGTTTACAATTGCAATTATAAATTGAGCGTGAATCGAATTGCCTCGTTATTGAATAATTTGTGGAATTCCTTGACGCATTGTGCCAAATATAGCCATCTTCGGGCAGGTACGATGTCCTTGCAAGTCCGAATACGCGAAAAGAGCAACCATATGGATGCTGTGCGTCCGCTTTGTGTTTCGCAACGTAACGTTAGCCGGCGCCGACACAAGGTTTGTTTACGCTGACCTAATTTTAACGCGTCTTTTCATCATCCGCTGGTCTGATCTCTTATTTATCATTACTTGTCATAAAATTTCATTTCGAATTCTATTCAAATTTTCGCGTTTTTGAGATCATAATGTTAATCATATATCTTCGGTTCATCTTAACACTGATTAAAAAGTTCCTTATTGGATGTCATAGGACACATTTCATTCAGTCGCCAAGAGTCGAAAAATGTCCCGATAAAACCCAATAATTACCCATTTTTAAATTTTATTTCCTTTCCCTTATAAAAAAATAACGAGAGAAATTCCCAGCTTTAGTTGTTTGACGCTACGTCCCAAAATAATTCCCACTCCACTTGGCAAGTGTTCAACTCGTTTAATTATTATTGGGTTACTAAGCCATCCAGTTGTACTTTCATACCGCACGTACGGGCGCCTTGCGAATAAAAATATTATTATCCATGTGCAATGCCACTGTTTCAAAACGCGATCGGTGCGCAAAATGTGGCGGTCAATCTGATTCGGGATGATATTTATTTTCGAAATGTTTGTCGGTGAAAGCTGTGTGGATGTAATTCAAATAAACAATTTAAATATAGAGGTACACTCATACAACGCGTAGCCACTCATTGTTTATGTCAACCACTGAGTATGACCAAAACTTTAGGTAATATTTGAAAATTTATTAATTTTGTTAACTTGATAACAAAATTAGATATAATGTTTTAATCTTGCAAAAAACAATTTTTAAATACTTTTGAAATTTGAAACTTCTATAAATAATTCGTGTGTTTACTCCCAAGAATTTGTAATGTAAATCATGCACGATTCTGGAATTTTATTTGCATAACAAATTTGTGCCTGCTGGTTGTAACGTGTTTTGTGTTACTCGGTGTTTGTCAGAAGTGCTAATGGATAATTGCAAAGTACGAAGTGGAGATTCTTCGACTGAAGTCAAGCGTGCGAAATTCAAACAAAACGATTGTTAAGAAAACTATAAATTAGAGACATTCGGTTTCGTTGTTATGTAACTTGAGCAGATGCGCAGCCTTGTCAAGGTTAAAACAATAAAAATAATTTTGCAAAGTTTTCTAATTAATTCATCAGTGTACGAATAGCGACACTCTCGCTAATCTAGATATAGTCTCGAGATCTAGCGATATTTATTCCTCTATAACCAGTTAAAATATTTATCAATATTTTGTGATTCTTGTAATTTCCAACTTTTTTCTTATATGATTTTATTGAAAAAAGTGAGAATCTTAAAGTTATGGTATTGAATTGGATGCCTTTCTATAATTTTCCACATGATAAATGCAATGATATTAATAAAAAGAAAAATGCAAGTACCTGCGCTTCGGAAAAACGAGTTTAAATCTCCGGTGTTTGTAAAATCGCGCGACGCACTCTCAATTTCACTATGCGCGCCGTGTGCACCAATCAAACTAGCAAACTAACTAAAAGCTGCTGCCGTTCGCGCACTCACACAGCTCGCGCGCACCTCGATCGCCCAGAGTCGCAGCGTCGACTTAGCACGGCGCAGACAGAAAAGTCGCGGTCGCGGCAGGACGGCGGCGCTGCGCGCTATTATCGGTTGGCGGTGCGCCGGTGCGTGCGTCCCGTCGCCGTAGCGAAAACACACATTGAAATGTCAGCGCGTAGGATCCTGGGACGGAGCAGTCGCGCATGCCTGACGCATTGAGTAAGAGAACTCGGGAGCGTGGGTGGAACAGCGTAACGATTCGGGATTCGAGACGGTTCGCGGCGGATTCGGTTTAACCACGCGCTTGGGTCCGTGCTGAAGTTGTGTAACAAGAGCCGCGCTCGCTGCATCTCTGTCGATGGAAACAGGTAGCTGGCCGCCTCCTACGGCGTGAGGTTGACTTAAATTTGTTTTCGAAGAACGGTCGGTGCAGCTACTATACTCGTACGTGCGTCAAGGCTTTGCTAGATTCATGGCAATGCATGCAGCGAGAAGAATCACCGCGCTTAGTCAGTATTGTTTACCTACCAACCTACTGTACTCGTATTTTATATAAATTCACTTTCATGTCTGATTATTGTGTTCTGTTAGAGACGGTTAAAAGCATATTCTGGTGCACTAAACTTTAAGATTAAATTTATGTTGAATAATTTCGAAATTTCAACACAGGCGCCTTCACCATTTCTTAAGTTTCCTATTTTATGATTTTAATATCAAAAAAGAATTTGCGTTTGTTTAAGCAGCAAATAGATAAATTCTTTTGTTTTATTTAAATAAGTAGAACACAAATTCTAAAAATGCATACAATGCCCTGCAGGAATTATTTCTTTATAGAAATGAATTAAATATTAATTATCTAATATTGGACTTTACAGTGGATACAAAATATAGTCAGTGAAATTTATACCTATATGCTACTAGATAGTAATATTTAAAGAAATCATTAATTCAAGTTCATTGCTTTTTTTTAAATTCATTCATAAAACTCTCATTCAACAACTAATTTAACAAAAAAATTGATATGTACAGCCCAGATTTAATAATACATATTTTGATGAAATCAGTTAATTCGTTCTAAGTAAAAAACGCTCTTGAGCTACACCTTCACAATAATAAACGGTTTCATTCATGAATAATGACATAATCAAACACACATTGTAGAATTTAACCAAGGAATTTAAAACAGTTACCTAACCAACAGTAGATATATACCAATACCAGATGCTTAAATCGTGATCAAAGGAAACCTACACATTTATATTAATGGTTTTCAAGTGTAACCGAAGGGGAACGTATGAATGAATGCGTATAAACATACTCTGGTTTTATTACAAATACAACAAATCAAAATACTATCAATTGTCATACATTAAACAAATAATTAGGTACATTCATGATTAAAAAGACTAGATTCGATTTATTACATAATTCACACGATACCTATATAACCGTAGGTTAACACTAAACGCACAATTAGAATTGTATCAATGCAACTTGGCAACCATTCCGTGTATCCGTGATTAGCATGCAAGACAGCTTAAACTTGACATATATACACTGATGGACTATGATCGGTTCCAAGTATTCTGTATTGACTTTTATGACCGCAGTGAAGATGAATTAGTATATATAAGTATAAGTATATATTTTGATTTGATTACATATGCAATAAAATTTTATTCTCAACATCCTTGGTTCTTTTCGTCACAAAGGCACACACTGACACGTAGCCCCTACCACCAACACCTATGTCACATAACTTATTTATATTATGCAAATTGCGTATGATAGGTATACCACGAAATCTTTTTGCACACATGAGTTATGTTGTAGTTTAGGCGGCGTGCTGCAAAGCAATTTATCCACTTCCAACTGCTTTTGCTGACATTCATGTTGTAATCGTAAGATGACTGTTAAACAACCAGATCCGTTGATTTTGCATGTCCTAGCGGTCTTGTCATTAACGACTTTGAGCGTGGTATACTCGTCAAACTGGTGGACTAAAAAATATTCATTAATATTATATGAATTATTAGACGAATAGTTGTTTTTGAGTATAACAGTGTGTTAAAAATAAAAACGTTATACATGTTGCGATTAATTATCATAACAGCATAATATATTTGTCAGTGTTGCCAGTGCATAATATGAATTTATAACTTGAATAGGTAGATTTTAAATATGATATCATTTTGTGATTCAGGAAGTTATTAAATAAGTCTTATTATTAGTGTTTCTGGGAATTGGCAAATTATAGTGAATGGTTATTACAAAAATATGTACAAAGTCACGACGATATGTGGTGTCAGAATGCTATAAAATTCGGCCAAAACAATTTAATAATAAATTTGTATTTTGCACATATGTTTTAGTTTTCTGGTAAAAATATTCAATGAGATCAATGCTCTTTTTTTTAGAAAAAAAAATGTATCATAGAAATGATGAAGTGATGTGAAAACGTAGAAATTATTATTTAAAATCGATTTATATGATTAATAAACGAATTATTCTAAATCTTATTATTACATTCCAAGAATCATTCCTACTCCACATATGGCCAACCTTAAACAACATGAGACAATTAACACATAACTAAAGTAATCGTTATCATGCAAGTTTGAAAGTGTAAATTTCATCCAAAAATAAACAACGAATACCGAGCAAATATTGGCAAGTCTAAATACTGCACTCAAAAAATATTTACAAGCATAAAAACGCACGAATTTAATTACCAATCAAATAAAAGGAGAAGAAAAGTAGTTGCGATGATTATTTCGTTGAAGGTATTTGGATCATTGCGTTCGTTTAATCGTGTTATGAGCCTATAACTAGATCTTGCTCGCACTTTTCGTCCCTAATCCAATCCGGCTGATTGATTGGATTACTTTGAGCGTCAAAACCGCAACACTCACACCCGTATACACACATTGAAGGTGTTCACGTACGTGGCGCGGTTAAAGACATAGATAGTTACCTCCAAGCCTCTTGGAGTGCGCTGATATTCGCTCTGATTGCGGCGAAATCCGGTCGTGCTCGTCTGCCGTTCGCGGTAGTAGCGCGAGAACGCCGTGTCCCCTCGGTGGAGCTTTTTAGCACAGAAAACCGAGCGAAATGTGCTCCGGTAATTGGCCGACAGTACGCAGTACATTAGAAAATTCAAGGATGCGTTCAGTGTGATCAATAAGTTGAAAATGTTGCCCAGCCCTGCAAATTACAGTGCACATATGAGTATGAATATGAATTACGACCACACCAAAATCATTTACTTCCGCTGAATATATACACGATTAAATATGTATATATTTTTAAATAAACATACGATTTAATTAAATTAAAATAAATTATCCTCAAACACATCATAAACATACCCCTTTTAATATTTTCGCCACTTTTGCTTGGAGCAGTAGTATCCAAGGCATCATAAATTAAAAATGCTGCGGTTGGTGTTTGGCACACAAGAAATAATACCACAATCCCAATGAGTAATATGGTAATGCGATTTTCATGTCTTTGTCTGGTATTCTCCTAAAACATTCCAAAAATTAGACTTATTGAGATATATGCATGTTTTTTTATCATACAGCTGCATTAGTTAGAGCTTTCCGTGTCCGCATGGAACGATAAACCGCAGCCACCAGAAAGCTATTGAACATAGCAATTAATACGAATGGAAGTAATCCGAATGTGATCGATGAGAACCAATAGAAGATGGTTGTATATGTAACATTTTTGCTGAGATCAGTTCCCTCGGTATAAATAGTATGCGTTTTCTTCAAACAAGTTTCTACTTCGCTGGAATTTGTTGCATTGGCAGCTGTGGGACAATTTCCATTGCATGACGACTGGTCGTGTTGGATTTCCTCGTCGCCTTCGTCTAGATATTCCGTCGTTGGCGTAATGTACGTATCGTTTACGATTGATGTTTGCGTCGCATTGTTTACTTCTAGACAATGTGCTCGGACTGAAAGTTGATACTCAAAGGTTGTGGAGGCCGTAGAAATGAGACAGAGCAAACTTATCACGGTTATGATGCTTTTCGCACGACTTTCCGTACAGTATACTTTTCCTCGTAGGGGATGACAGACTATTATGTACCGTTCTACGGTGAAGGATACTATTAGCCATACTGATGTACTACCTGCATCAAAATAATATAGAAAATATTACTGATTAATTATTTGAAACAATGTGTAGAGTGTAGATTATTGTTTAAGACGATTGGTTGCGGGTGTCGGGGAATTAAAGTAATCTTACACGTGGTTTACTTCATGCCGCGCATTACCGGCTTCGAGAGGTTTGATTGGTAAGTGAAGTGCATAAATGGAACAAGAGCGCATATGGCGATTATTTATTACAAATATAATGTTGTAATGAATTTTTAGAAACCTGCACCAATACTTCACAATTTTTTTTATGTTTTCCATTACTACAATTGCAAATTTCCATGATAACTAATCAACTGACCATATCCATTAATAAATTCCAAAATGTAGGAATTATTTCAATTAGGTGTATTGTCTTTTGGTATATATTTATGATATTAAATTTAATAAATTAAACCTACTTGCTGCATCACATAACCAATGCGTCATGCCATAAAATCTCCAATATAATACGAATCGCCCGTCGTGAATGTTGGAATAATGTTCAAATGATAACACGAACACGAATAGCAAATAAATCAGGTCCGCCACAGCCAAAGCAGTCAGGTAGATGTGTGTGGTGCATCTCATTCGCCTCCTAAAATACAATTGAAATAATATTCAATTTTTGTACCATTTTCGATTACCTTGTTAATATCATGACCGTGACAATGTTGCCACCCACGCCGATGATAACCAATATCGGCACAAACACACGTTGCACCCAAAAACGCGTGCTATCCAAAAACCCAGCCGAAGGATCTTCAATCTCGGTTGTTTCCATTGTATTCGCTATCAAATCAAAGATTTCTAAAATATATATCTCATATATTTATATCAATAAGTATTTGGTTATTGACATGTGTTTGTTAATTAGTATTTATTTAAGATTCAATGTCATTAGGAAATAGCGTCTTTTTAGTAGGGAAATTGTGGATATATCTGCTTAACGTTTAGTTAAGATTTGATAGTGTTTACGCAATATTAACGGCATGTTGCGCTCGTGCCAAGCGAGTTCGAAAAACTTAATGTTACTTTAAATTCGTTTTCGCATCCTTGCCAGTTGATATATTTTTTGTGAGTAACATGTTGGGGTGCACTCTTTATGGTTTTCTTCAGATTTAACTAGCGCAATTTTATAGAATCTTTACGACGCCATGACTTACGCACGTACCTAGTCATATAACTAGAAAACTATCAAAGTAATTTTATTTGTGGGATTTATACTAACATTTGCCAGATTTATGCAATAAAGGTTATTTGGGTATTTTGTGTTTTCAGAGTTAATAAGAGCATGAAGGGTTATTATTACAGTAAGACAATTTGAATATAGTAATTTCTCGCATTTTGGATTTTGCGTGATTCAGACGAGACCTAAGCCACTGTATACAAACATGTCAATCGTGCGTAATATTAACTTGGACTAATTGCAGTAAAAAAGCAAAACAACACGCGTATAGCGAGTATTTACTGGGATTACCAGTCAGCTAAAGATAAATTTGTTGTTTCAGAAAAGCTGTAAATGTATTCCAATTCAGCAGTTTCCTGGAACTGATTATAATCATAATTATGAATGATACAGAACTCGATTAAATCAAATTTAAACTGAAAATTTTATAGTTTTTTATGTTAAAATGGCGCCGGGAACCGCACGAAATTGCGGTCATAAATTCTATGTAATTTCCTCGGTACATTCATCAATCACGATTTAGCAAAATGCCAAATGATAGCCGCAATAAACCTTGTTTTTCCTATTAATGTTTTTGGAACATTTTATTGATTAACCGTAATCGTTTACATAAGGGAACGTTTGTTTAATGTACGTACAAAATTAAATTGAGATGCATTTAGCATACGTAAATAAATTTTCTATTTATTCAAAATATCAATAAGATATTATGCTATTTGTTTATATCTGTTAGGTAAAGGTTTTCACTTAATATGCCCTTTTACTTAATTTTTCTCTTTGACATTGATCAATTTTTTTTTCAATTTTCTTTCTAGACAACAAGAATCCGCATGAAAACTGAATGTATTCAGGAAGTTACTTAGCGCCTATTTATCAATTTAAGAGTCATGATATAATCATGATATAATCACATCAACTTAAATAAGACATTAAAATAACAATGCAGTACCATATTTCCTATTACTTAGATTAAAATAATGAAAAGAATGAACTGAGTTCTTAATCAAATGCCATCACGTTCTCTTCAATTTAATGATAAAAAAAACACAATAATATACTGTAATATATATGCCTGTTGACATTATACTTATATTTTAGATCCTTCCACTTTTAGATTTAAACCTATACATGTTTTGCTTAAGTGACGTTACAAAATCAAATCAGGAATACCACACGCAACAAAATTGAATCCAAAAATTAAAGAATGTGATTTACATGACTAAAATATACACGAAAACTTATATTTTCTTACATCGACAAATTTGTCTTAGTACAGAAATAATTATTACTAAGTTTATTAAAATGTTGTCACATTCTCAATTTTATGCGTTTTGCTGGAATTAATGGAATTTAATTTGAGAACTTCACCTATAGTACTAATCGTTTCCTGGTTTCAATAAAATATTTTTTTCATACAAGTTTTCATTTTATATTATTGTCATGCATAATCGGGCAATAAAAATAAAAAAAAAGTGCAAACTAGCGATAGAACATCTTTCTCTAAACCACAAATGAAGTCAGCATCATTGAAGCAACATTTTTAGCGCTGACAAAATTCACATGCCTTGCACTGCCTGCTTGAACTGTCACAACATTCAAACGCCTACCCACACTATCCACAAACGCATAAAATACATAATGCTAAAACACAATTTATTTGGTTGTAATTTAATTTTAACTAGCCAAGCATCCATGAACTTACATACCGAAAGCTGTACGTACATACTACCAAATTAGTTTTAGTACCACAATTTCAAAGGTATCAATGTTTCGACAACGCTTAACTCGTCAAAATTTCATAAAGCACAACGCGAATTTATTGCGCCTTGTTTTTATTTGCATGAACACAGGCGACACCGTTATTACGAAGGTGGACGTCATGCGAGCGCTGAAAGTTTTCGTAATCGAGCGAAACCGAACCGAAGCAGCTTGTTTGTAATGCGTTTTGTCTTCCTTGATGACTATTTTCGACCGGTGGTTTTTTTCTGTCTTGACGGATATTATTAGAGATCAAACCTGTGAACGGTGCCAATATTTATTCGCGTTTTAATATTTAGATAAATAGCACGATTACATTTGCATTACCGGTCGCACTTAGTAAATACGTTTTTCGGGAAAAGACATGAAGTCATAAAAATAATTCACTACAACTGGTTTGACAGAACGCAGCGATAATTCAACAAAGGCCAATAAAATTCACAACTTAAAAATAACATCGCTATAACATAACGCGTGTTAATAGGTTGCAGTTACAATCGAGAAGTACACGAAGTTTTCTTACACTTAGAATACTTTTTTGGTGCATGCATTTATTTTTTTAAATATCTACCACATAATTTAATTTTATTCATTTACGTAGACCAAAAACAAAAATGAATATTTTAAGTACATGGCTTTTCTTTCACGATTTTTTGAAAAAAGTACACAAATCAATAAAAAAGCATTTTCAAATTTTAATTTCTGAACAACTTGCCAACAATTCTCGTCGCTGATCAGTACGTAAAACGAATAACATGCTTAACGATATTTGAATAGCTGGAGACTAAATAAAGACAATCATAAACAACTGCTAATTATTTCGGTAGTGTGCAGAAGATTAAACGGTTTATTTAATTTACAATTTGCCCGGGAATTGTTTCAATGCCATTTCGATTCGATTCTACTTGTCCAAATAGTGGGCGTTATTTTTTTTTATATAGAACATAGAATCATGGAACACTTACACGTATTGCTTGCAGCTAAACTGGCGCACAATTGAAGCTTCGAACACCTGGTGGCGTCCGCAATGCTCGTCCTCCGAACATTTTCTGACGTTTTAATCGCAAAGAAAATCTGTTACAACAAAAAATCCGCTGCCATATTGGAAAAAGGAAGTTGTTATTGAAAACATCACATATTAATTATTTGTATACAACTTTCTCACTGAATGTTTATTAGTTTTCACCGAAAGTACAAGTTCCAGAAGGTTATGGACTTCTCAACGAGATTTGCAAAGTAAATGTTTACGTAGAAGATTGTTAATTGCGAGCAACGATGTATCGCTGCACCGATTGATTGATACACTAATTAGTGAATTAACGGAGGTCGCTCGCGATGTAAAATAAACCCGATATTATTTACGTACAGCTTGTTTGGACCGCTTTTCGTTTGATCGCCGCGACTTTGGATTCGAATGATGAAGGACCGACGAGAATCGCGGCTGTGGCGGCAGAGGCGGCACGAAGCAGCGCGACCCGACGCAAATTTTAAATTTAGCCGCGGGTACACACGCTCACGTTTTCGCTCCCTACTCTGTTCGACGTACTATACGTCGCGAGATTACGTTGCATAATAATTGCCATGTACAAATTCGTTGGATACGAGATTGATAAGGATTATGCTCTGCCTTTGTTCCATAGACGCGGCATTTTTATCACCTTGGTTTCCCGATAGTCTGCTCCTTTGCAAATCAATTTTACGCTTTGCACCTTCTATTTACTTTTTATCTTCTCATTTTATCGAAGGGTACGTGGGCCTGCATTTTGATCAAAATGGTTTTGCTCTTAACTTTTCTTATAAACGCCTAATCATAATGTCAAACTGTATCATTTTGTAATTTGTGAGTCCAGATTTCATAAGAGGAAATTTTAAGCATGGAAGAGTGGAATGGTACGATAAAAACATCTTAATATGTTTGAAGAAATCACACCCAAAGCTTTGGTATTTTGCCTCGCAAAAAATAAAGCTTATACAACATATGTTTTAACATACAAAGAATTATACAAACAATTATAACAAAGAATATATATCAAAAATCACACACATCAACTTCGGTTTTTGATGCCATCCTGACGGGTACCTCTGCCTTTGTACCTGCCGTACCCCTAACCAACAATTTTGTGCAATTTTTGTGCTTCGAAGGACTAATTTTTGTTTGTTTTTGGGATTTTTGCACTTTAACCCGACATCGTATGAAAACCATTCTTGCATCAGATTGTAAGTATTGAATTTCTTTATCACTTTCATAAATAACTTTAGTGATTAGCTTGTTAATTAGCAGCAAAAATTGCATTTTTGTGTTTCCATTGATAAATTTTGGCTTGTTTTAGCGGTTTAGTATCTGAGCCCAACTTCGTAGGAGAACAATTCTTTCATCAGATTGTAGGTATTGAATTTCTTTATCATTTTCATTGATGACTTTAATGATTAGTTTATTAATTAGCAGCAAAATTGCATTTCCGTGTTTTGAACCATTCTTTCATCAGATTGTAAGTATTGAATTTGTTTATAATTTCCATATATAATTTGTGTGATTAGCACAAAGGAAACCCGCAAAAATGTCATTTTTCTGTTACGATGTGCTAATTTTATATTGTTTTTAGTGTCTAGCAGGCGAACCGAATGATGTAGGACTACGATTTTTTCATCAGATTGTAAGTATTGAATGCGTTTATAATTTTTGTAAATAATTTTCTTGCTTCGTACAATGGAAAATGAATTAAATTAGTATTTTAAGTTTAAGCAGACCCTTGCAGATTTCTGGGTTAATTGGAAGTCACAAAACTGGATGGCGCTAGTCGGCTATGTTTAACTATCTTTTGTTTCGTCACATCTAGAATGCGCTAGTGTCCGCATATCTATTTTGTTTTGTGCCGCCACCGCTAGATGACGCTTCCATCGATTTAGTTTAAATTCATACTTAATTTTTGTTGTTATTTTTAGAACGGTGAGTTACTACACTTTTATACACAACTTTTATGTTTAACAAAACAAGAAATAACAATATTGCATACTTAGGCTTCGAATTCTGTAATTTTCGATTGATAAGGTGATTAGCGAGCAAAGCCGATGTCGTAAGACAACCTTTATTTCATGTGATTCCAAGTGTTCTAGTTGTTTACAACTGTCATATACAACATTTATGTTCAATACTAGGGTAAGCCACAAACGCTATTTCACCACAGTACGTTAATTAAAAATCGTTTTACCAAATAATCTTTTTTTAAACTACCTCATAACTTGTTAACTTGCAATAATTTGTAATCGAATTTCTGTCGTATGCAGATGGATGAATGCCCCTCCAACCGCGGGTCGGTTATCAATTCTCTGGTTTGCTTAGATCGGCTTAGTTGGTTGAGCGCTGTTGCGTGGTGCGCACGTCTTATTCTCATTAATCAAACGTGAAGACGAATTTTGCGTTTCTTGATATTTTGTAGCATTTCTAGAATCGATGGACATAATTTATATGTTTGACGTGAGTACATTTGGAATCTCCGCGTGGAATAGTAACGAAGTGCGTATCATCAATTCTACATACAATTGGCGAAAACGTGTTTGTGCGCTTTAGTCATTTGATAGACGAACAAAGGTGTAAGTAGCATCAAATAAAACTTAACTTTAACTTTTAAAATCCTACAGTTACCATGTTTTGCATTATAATAATTGTAATATAATAAAGAATAAAGAAAATTTGTAAGGAAATTTTACATTCTTGTAAACAATGAGTCTCTAGTGTTCACTTTGTCACGTTTAGTATTAAGTCATGTTGCACTCTAAGAATACACCATTGTATAGCATACTATAGTACAGTGTAGTATAATAAAAAACTGTTGTTTTATTTTACTGTAAGATTTGCAAACATAAATAGAAGAAACCAATAAGGTTTGATAAGAAAGCCGCGTGGCTCTCAGGTGTGCACCATATGATGCTATACCGCAGGTCGATGGTTCGATCCCCAGATATAGGAGGCATTTTTCTCAAATATAAAAATAACGGGTGTAATTTGGGTTGCATATGTAAACTCGAAATATAATATAAGAAATGTAAGAGGAATTGAAATACAAGTGAAGGCAAGGCAATAAGAGAAGTAAGAAAGTAAGTGGAAAAACGGGAACAGAGAAATAGAAGAAGGAGTAGAAGAGCATAGGAGAAGACAGAAGGAAGAGAACAGGGAGTAGAGTAGAGAGAAGAGTCCTCCTCGATAGATAGAAGAAAAGAGAGAAGGGAGGATCGGATTTTTAAATTTTTTGGTACGTGTCGTTATAAGACAGCCCACAGGTCGATGTGTCCATTGCTCCCGGCCCATCCTACAGCTACGATGTCTCTGCGCTTCATCCCCAGGATTCTCAGGCATATCAACAATTTTTATGGTGGGGGATCACCCCCAGAGAGGGGGAACTCCTTATAAGTACATCCTTTTAAGGACTTGTAAAAATATTTCTAATTTTTAAGTAGCCTCAAGAGAAGTGACACTTAAAAATATTCTTACAAGTTCTGACCTGTACCTGAAATGAGCGAAAGAGTACACAAATCATACAGGATAGGATACATTAACGATTTTTATAGTGGGGATCATCCCCTGAGAGAGGGAACTCTTCCTGAAATGATAGAAGGGATGCACAAATCAAAGAAGTCAATATATTTTACTGTTTCTTTTATAACAATAGAATACAATATTAAAAATATTTTTACAAGTTCTGACCTGGATCTGAAATGATAGAAGGGGTGCACAAATGGTGTCAGTCACAATCTCCTTTAATAATTATTCTTTATTTACAAATTCAATACAAGCATGTAAAATACATAGAAAATTCAGGTCGCCATTTTGGAAAAGTCTTACGACCTGCATAATCGCACACATACAGACAAATACCAAATTATAAACACTAACACATAGGTACCAGATAATAGCAATTTATAACGGAAAACTAATATACAGGGTGTTACAAAAAGAAAATCTAAAGTTTCAGAAAGAAAATACTCGAACACAAAAAAAATGGTCAAGGATTGATTGGGAATCAAAGAAAACAAATATACAGGGTGTTGCCAAAAGAAAATGACAATAATTAAAAAGAAAATTGTCAGATCAAGCAAAAAATATCATGAATTAACAAGGTTGATCAACTTTTGGTAAGGGAGCAGGAAAATGTATTATATAGGGTGACACAAGAAGAAAATCTTTACATATAATAATAAAACTCTAATTTCTCGAAGGAGAACATCTGTCAAATAAAAATGTTGCAATTTTCACAATGGAAATCGAAGGAAAATGCAAGAGAAGGCAACACCACATCAATGCCACTAAGAGATTATATTTGCGATGCAAGCTCCCGACAAAGTGCCGGCCGACGGCACGCACACGCGGAAGAAAATATTGAAATCGCGTATTACATACATTTTACGGACAGTTATTAATGGTCAAACTACTAAACGTATCAACGCGATTACAGAATAAAGATTGCAAAACAACAGAAATATGTGAGATGAAAAAAGATAGTAAAACCAACTTTCTGCAGCGAGGCCAAAAATGTATCCGACGGCACGCGACAATTTTAAACTATAACGATACTTTCACTACACGCGATTAAAAATCAAAGTGTAATAATGATGTAATAATATTTACAAACTTACTCCTGCATCGGGTAATCTAGGAATTCACTGAAACAAAACGTATAAATAATTTCAATTCATATTCTCAGCATCGAACTAATCCAATGGCCGACGGACCACTAACACACAAATGAAGACACGAGTTTTGTAAATGTTCAGCGTACAAATTAATAGCTAAACCCAATGCACATCTATGATCATTAGGTGCTGATTTTAATCAGTAAGACGTAATTCACTTCACTGAATTGAAATGAAAAGTAGAAAGGTGGACCGCCGCGTGCTGATAGGAACAGACTGAAACGATCGAACGATCAAACGTTCGTAGGGTGTACTCAGCATAGAACTGGTTCAAGCGATAAAAAAAGTTGTTTATACACAAACCCCGATAGAGGCAACATGTTGTGTCAATATAATTCTGCACTATTCTGCACAAATCCACGAATTTCTATATTTACGTTACTACTACTTACGTTAAAGAATTATCACGCAAATAAATTTAAATACAGGGTGATAGAGAATTAAATTCTGCATCTGGAAAATATATTCCGAAAATACTGAGACATCGCGTTCGCGTGTTATTCCAAAAGAACTACAACTTCTAGCGCAACGAGTACTAGGGCGCACACACACACAACTTTCAACGTAACTCGCGTTACGGAATTATCTCGTAATAAATTTGAACACAGGGTGATAAGGAAGAGTACGAAGAGTACGATACGAGTTACTTTTACCACTACTCTCGTACGGTGCCCAGAATACGAATCACTTTTAACCAGATTTGAGTCAATTGTCACGACAAAACATGAAAAATATAGAAAACTACCTAATTTTGAAGCCATTTTTAAGGGTGTTATCAGCCTAATTCCGGAGGTGTCAAATTCGTATAATTTAAAATTACTTTTCTTTTACAATATAAAAAAGAATACCGCAATAACGGTTTGAAACGGTTTGCTCCCGAGATATGCGCCAATTTCCACGATAAAACATGAAAAATATTAAAAATTACCTAATTATGAGCCCAATTTTGAGGGGGTTCCCGGCCAAATTCTGGGGATGTTAAACACGTATCGTTTAAAATGGCTCTTCTTCTGCAATAATAAGAAAAGGACACCCCAACAACGCAAACCGTTCCCGAGATATGAGCCAATTTCCACGACAAAACATGAAAAATATTGAAAATTGCCTAATTTTGAAGCCAATTTTGAGGGTGTTCCCGACCAAATTCGGTGGGTGTTAAAGATGTATCGTTTAAAATGACTCTTCTTCTACAATAATAACAAATGGACATCCCAACAACTCAAACCGTTCCCGAGATATGAGCCAATTTCCACGACAAAACAAGAAAAATATTGAAAATGACCTTAAAGCCACTTTTGGGGATGTTTCCGGCCAAATTCGGGGGCGGTGTTAAACGCGTATCGTTTAAAATGACTCTTTTTCTACAAAAATCAAAGAAAAGTGAAAAGTAAAAAAAAAAACAAAAAATAGAACATTTCAAAAATTGTATTTTCTTTGGATATGAAGGAAAAGTGATCGTTTAAAATGACTCTTTTTCTACAAAAACATAAAAAGAACACCACAACAATGCAAACCGTTCCCGGGATATGAGCCAATTTCCACGACAAAACATGAAAAATATTGAAACTTGTCTAATTTTGAAGCAAATTTAGAGACTGTTCCCGGTCAAATTTCGGGGGTATCGAATGCGTATCGCTTAAAATGACTCTTCTTCTATTATGATAAAAGAAGAGCACCCCAACAACGCTAACCGGCCTCGAGATATGAGCTAATTTCCACGACGAAACATGAAAAATACTGAAAATTGCTTAATTTTGAAGCCAATTTTGGGGGTGTTTACGGCCGAAATCGGGGGATATCAAATGCGTATCGTTTAAAATGGCTCCTTTTCTACAATAACAAAAAAGAACACCCCAACAACGCAAACCGTTCCTGAGATATGCAGTAATTTCCACAACAAAACATGAAAAATATTGAAAATGAACAAAATTTGAAGCCAATTTTGGGGGTGTGCCTGGCCAAATTCGGGGGGTGTTAAACGCTTATCGTTTAAAATGACTCTTCTTCTACAATAATAAAAAAAAGAACACCCCAACAACGCAAACCGTTCCCGAGATATGAAGCAATTTCCACGACAAAACATGATAAATATTGCAAATTACCTAGATTTAAAGCCAATATGGGGGGTTTTCCCGGCCAAATTCGGGGGGTGTTAAACGCGTATCATTTAAAATGACTCTTCTTCTACAATAATAAAAAAAGAACACCAAAACAATGCAAACCGTTCCCGAGATATGAAGCTTTTGTCAAATTCACCACGGGAAATTACTATACAGACAATAAGAAAACTCCAAGTTTTAAAAGCAAAACTCCCAAAAACTAATAAATACGGTCAATTAAATGATAAGGAAAATATATCTACTGGGTGATACACAAAGAAAAATTAAGATTTAAGTCGGAAAACGGATGAAAGCAATTAACAAAACGACAATAACAAGATAATATAAGAAGAAAACTATCAGGAATTTAAAAAAATCAAAATGTTTACACCAAAAATCAAAGAAAAGTGAAAAGTAAAAAAACATAAAAATAGAACATTTCAAAAATTGTATTTTCTTTGGATGTGAAGGAAAAGTGATGGGTTGGATATTACAAAAATAAAGCACAAAGCAGAATTTTATTTTAAACCATGTAATACAACCAGCGACCAGCCCGGAAAGCCGCCGAGGATCAAGAAGGCAGCCGACGGCATGCGACTATCTTTATATTTTTAATTTGTACATCAAACAAAAACAAAACAAGGTATCAAATACGTAATGCAAATCAACGGTATTGAAACAGGGACAAAAATTATTTGTGTGGTTAAAGACCACGCGGTTGAAGTAAAAACAAGTAAAGGCAATAATGGATTTGATTTTCAAATGGCTTAAGAAATGCGAGAACATACCTTGATGTAAAATTAATTTTTGCGCTTTTGGCCTATCCAATTAATTGTAAGGACGTTAATTATGCACATTGTAGAAATGATGAAATACGCGTATGATACAAAAAGAGTATCCGACGGCCGACGGAACATCACTCACATTTTACCCGCCGCACATCACTCGCGCACAATGGAAGGAGCATTTAGAAATATTAAGTAATGACGCGAAGAAATTAAGGAACTCAAATTATTATGAAGAAAATGTGCATGCAGATCACTCGACGACAAATATGAAACTGACGTGGAAGGCAAGCCAACCGCGTGGCGAACCACGTCGCGACCGCACAAAAATTGCACGAGACAAGAAAACTTGTTTGTTTGTAAACACTGATACATTCCGTGTGGTAATGCATAACATGGAAAGAATTGTACTCGTACAATGCATTGAACTTTTAATTTCGATTAAATTATGAATCGGACACCAGCAACAAAATTATAGATTAAAGCCATATTGGCGTGTAAACACCTATTTTTTTTAATTAAAATTGTAAATAGGCAATGTTAGGATAATAAATACTTAAACAGTTTTTTTAAATCTACATCGATTATTTTAGTAACTCTTTTTTCCTAAGATTAACCGTTTAGGCCCTATTTGCAAATTTGAGTGAAAACTGCATTCGACATAAAAGAGAAATCTTTTGCCTTTTTTATGACGAAATATTTTATTTCAACAAATACAGATTTGGTAATAATTAGAATTTTTTAATCCCGGTTTTTGTTTTTTGAGTATATATATATATATATATATATTTGTTCATTAAACGAAAACGAAACAATGTATCGAATACGTATTGCAAATCAACGGTAGGTATTGAAACAGAGACAAAAATTATTTGTGTGGTTACAGACCACGCAGTTGAAGTAAAAGCAAGTTAAATCAATAATGGATTTGATTTTCATGTGGCTAAAGAAATGAGAGAAATGCAAACATACCTTGATGCATAATACATTTTTGCGCGTTGAACATATCCAAAGAAAATACGAATTAAATATGAAATACGCGTATGATACAAAAAGAGTATCCGACGGCCGACGGAACATCACTCACGCTATACCTCTGCGTGTATACAATTCCCGCTACGAACGCCGCACATCACTCGCGCACAATCGAAGGAGTATTTAGAAATAGTACGTAATAACGCGACAAAAAATTAAGGAACTCAAAATATTGTAAAGAAAATGTGTGTCCACATCACCTGACGACAAAAATGAGACTAACGTGATACGCACGCCAACCGCGTGGCGACCGCACAAAACTTCAGGAGATAAAGAAACTTGTTTGTATGTAAACACTGATACTTTCAGTGTGGTAGTGCAGAACATGAGACGAATTGTACTCGTACTATGCATGGAACTCGTACTAATTCATATTAAATTCTTAATCGGATTCTGATAGATATTTTAATTCTACATCGTTTTTTTCGTAACTTTGTTTGCTAACATTAACCGTTTAGAGTCTAAACGGTATTAGAATCTAAGGGTTGCTCTGGTAATTTGACAATTAAAAGATTTTGATATTTTTACATATTCTAGTTTAATGATTTCTCATTTCATCTTGTATAACATAATATTAATAAGTAGTTTAACATAATAATTATAAATCAATCAATGAACAAGATATCAATTTAAAATTTGTAAAATTGGACGCACCATATGGTATTTAACAGCTAATCTTATATAAATGCATGTATATTATGATTTGATTTTCAATTTACTCAATCATAAGCTAGTAAAATATCAATTACATAAAATATAAGCACAAAAATGTAGTTAAAAAAAATATTTAGGCTTCACTCTATTTACAAATATAACACAAATCCAGAAGATAAGTCACATGCAACATGTCAAATCAAATTTTTATACATTTGTTACTCAAAAATAAATGTAATATGCATCAAAGCAGTAAATCGAGTCACAAAATCATGGAGCACAAAACATTTAAAAAGTAGCAACATTGGCATGTTTCATTTGTTTAATTTAAGTACTATTCTGTATTTGTAGTACTCTCTTTACCATTTAGTTCTTATGTTGATTTAATTATTCTGCTTCGTATAAATTGGCTAGTTTAATAGTTGTTGTAAAGTGTGAAGTACAAAACTTTCTAGTGATCAACGTTGCATTAATTACACACTTATCTGAAAACAACAATGGTACTTGTAATATTATGGCACCAACCAAAACAAGCATTGTTTCATTTGCTGTGTTTACAACAAAAAAAATAATCGTAACTAACTTGTAAATTGCTTTGTTTTGCTTTATACTTAACATTCTAGATTACAAACAATATCAAATTTCAATCTTATGAAATTAATGAGAAGTGAAATTACTACCAGTCTTTTGCTTAGTTGATTTAATAACATCAATGACAGCAATGTACCAATCAATTCAGCACACCAAACCACTTGATGTGGAATGCTGAATAAAGGCACATTCTAGCAAAAAATATAAATTTGTAAATTGTCAGCTTGTATCAAGAATTGACTTGAAAATGGCTTCTGCAATAGCAATTCTTAATTCTCACAATAGTTGTGACAATGTACAAGTTTGCAGTTAATGCAGTTATAATAATTAACTGTATGCACACCAAATATCAATTTTAAAACGAATATATTTTTTAGATAATCTTGCGTATGAATTGCTAAGTAGCTAAAAGTAATGTTGAAATTTAAGTATGTATCATCTTGTTCTGCTAAATAGTTAAATGCTTCTATTTTACACATAAACCGTATACTAAACTTGGCTTCCTCAAATATTTTAGTTCATTTCTCATTTTTCATCTAAACATTGTTACTGATTTGTACAAAAATTGGTTTGTTCGTCCTCGAATCATACATCATCCCACCTAGTTGTACCCAGCGCTAATACAAGTGAAATAATATGAATTATTATTACTTATTTATTTGTTAAGTAGGTTATCGTTTTGTTTTTCGTATCAAGTGTACCAAAAACGTACCAAAAATCGAATCTATTATGTCATAATAGAAAGCTACAAAATTATCGTATTTCATTTTAAATATAATTTTATAATCATAATAAATTCCTCAATCCCTACTGATAATATTTAAATTTTAGTTTAGTTGTCTCTAAGTTTACCCTTCTCTCTATATACATATTATTGTGTTTCAAAACAAAGTTGAAATTTTATCTTTACAATCATCTCAAATCATAAGTCTGGCCTAAACATACATGAACCCTGTCTCTAACTTTAAAATGTGAAGCTTTTTAAAATTTCTAAAATAACCAATAAAATATTCGTGTATCACAAATTCCGCCTAATATTTCTTGCATTATGGGAGATCCAAATAGAATATATTAATATCTTTTACTAATGAAACTCTAATAATTAGTCTTTTAAACAATAGTACATGCTTTACAATTCAAATCATTGAAACTAAATGTAATGTACGCTATATACAATATTTATATGTATAAAATAATTAATCAATAATTAAAATTATTAAAGTGACCGCAAAAATTCTTTCTTTGATTTTCAAATAAAAAGACGCTCGCTATCAGTCTTGATCTGTATATATTTTGTTTCACCTTGCGTGTGTGCTTCTTCTGATTATTCCTGGAGTACTGCAGTTATTCACAACATTGTTGTTGTTCTAACCGCTTCTCTTCTTCTAACATGGCGTCCAACTCATCGGTTAAATTTGCGAGCATATTACCGATGTCGTTTAGCACATCAGCAGGTTCGGTTCTTTGAGCTCTGGGTGTTGCCGTCGCCGATGACTGACGTGATGGTGTCGGGGACGGATGAGGCGGCAGACCGGACGATGATCGTGGCTTCGCCGGTGAATATTCAACGCCGCGACTGCCTGCGCGCGTTCTTATCGTACCGGCGTTTTCGTTTGCGAATGGCAGTGAATCCGATTCGGTGCTTGAACTCGACTGAAAAGTATCAATACAAAAACATTAATAATCAGGTACAATAACAAAATCAATTTACGTAAGACTAAATGAAATTGTTGGTATGTAAGTTGACAATTTGTATCAATAATTTATTTACTTTAAAACTAGCATCCGATCCATTTCTGTGCTGTAGCGCTAACGTTTTGATCAACTCCTGTTCTTCAGCTCCCCACGAACGAGACGAATTCATATGTAACTGAGCGCCCGGAGGCGTGCCAGGAGCCGGCGGCGGGGGCAAAGGAAGATCGCCCTGACTATCTAAAGATATACTTAAACTATCTGAACTCGGATAAGCTGGCAGAGGCAACGGGCTCGACGTCTGTACGTGATGAATCTCCACAGTTGTAGTATTTTCATTACTCTCCGAGCACGAATCTAATCGCTTGGGTGGATTCGGTGGCATCTTCTTGCCCATCATAGGACTATACGGATATTTGTTGGCATCTATAATATCTCTAGAAATTGTCTTGTACTGTGGAGCGTATTTCTCTGAATTGAATTGTGGCTTTTCATAATCGGGAAAAGACGGATCTCGCTTTGTTTGCCCTTGTATTTTCGCCACAGGACGGGGCCGTATGACCCCACGAGGTCGCGGCAGTGTGCCGCCTCCTTCATACATAAGTCCTGTTTCGTTCGTAGGCGTAATGTCTCCATCATCATATGACCGTCTCCAAGGCATCGCCTGCTGATAGTAATATTGCTGTGTTTGAGTGTTGTCCGGATTGAATGTATGGTGAGTTCGTTCGTTTGGATCTTCCAATGACTCCAACGATTTACCGCGCCCCGTGCGTATCTGAAACCCAACAAACAGTATGAGCACCTGATTGAGAGATGCGAGTTGCCACGCTCTGCTTTCCTTTGAATTGTCGTGTAAATCTAACAAGAAACATGCTTGGATAAACACGTAATTGATATAACAGTCAAATCAAATAAAGATTTGCTTAAATATGAGAAATCAAGTTGACACGAATAAATGAACAGAAAAATGAATAAAGTGGATGTGGTTGTGTACCTTGATGGGAACAATGTCAGTGCAATATCCGGATTGCATGTAGTGTGTGCCGACGCCTGCAAGTTGCCTTGTCTGATCCAATTCCCAGGTCTGATGGAAAGAACGGAAGGTGCTGTGGACTGCTGGGACACCAGGCGATGGCGGGCCCAAGGGTGCGTGCACCACCACGTCCTTTACAACAACAAACATGCACAGCGTAAGCGACTAGCGGAAGAGTATTTTTCAATGGCATGTACAATCCTGTACGTACATGCCAGCGGCAGATATCTCACATTTTCAGTTACTTCATTATTATAGAAATAATGATGAACATTTTCAGGTATTATTTTTTTCTTTTTATACAATTACAATTGGGTATGTTTATACCAAATTATCGAATCATCATGTGAAACACCTCTAGGAAAGAGTATATTTCGCATCACAATAATTAAGTAAAAAGAAAAATGTCATGCTTGAAATTTCGAACGAAATGAAACAAAACACGAATGTGTCTCGTGATCTAAACGAATGAAAATCTCGTTGTCGCTTACTTGTTGTGTATAGGACCGGTTCATGTCTGCCGTACTTATACGCTTGCCAGCACGTAAATCTTTAAACCGTTTGATGGCCAGCATGATCTTTTTCTGATGACCGAGTTTAACGATGCCAAACTCTTCCAAGTCCTCCCAGGTCAGTTGCGCGACGGCATCCACTGTCTGATAGCCTTGATCTAAAAAAGCACTTTGATATTCCTCTAATCTCAACAGTTTTAACCATTCCTCCAATGAACCCTGCAACAAAAAAAAAAGATTGATCATGCTTTATTGCTCTCTTGTGAGAACCAAAACTTAAAACACACAAGATATTATTGATTGCGTCCACAGCATGAGTAACTTACGGGTATATATTCGGGTAGGTTGTCGGGCAAGTTGAGTAGCATGATTTCGGACTTGAGCTTCTTACGATGATTCGGTTTCTTAATGCCTATCGCGGTTAAATCTTCGGGCGTCATCCTGCAAATGGTGGGCAGGTCATAGCCAGCCTTTAAGAAGTGAGGAATGTAATCCTCAAATTGAAGTTCAATCAGCCATGACTGAATAATCTCTTGGTCCTGGATGCAAAATAAAGTGGAGGAATTAGTTAAGCCGTAATTTCAGAGTTCCTCGATTTCGTTGAGCGGTAATCTTTAATACATACCGGTACACCTTGATTGATCATGCGCTCGATGCGTCCCTGATCCGAACCGATCGAACACGAGCTCAGCGAGCAACGAGGGCTGTTTGCGGATCCGATGGTGCTGCGGCCCGCCGTGCTCAATGGATGATAGGAGGCTCGCCCACTGTCCAGAGAAGCCGTACTGTGTCTGGAACCAGAACCAGCACTTCCACTTGAAGAACCGGGACTATCTCTACCGGGCGACTGTAAATGAAGATAAATAAATAAAATGTTTGTTTTGCACTTATGAGACAAGATCCGATCCACATACTTGTGTCATATCAATGCCCTGATCTTCCTGCAGGCTTAACTGGTGATGGTAGTAGACGGCAGCTTTATGTGTAAGCACGGCACCGGGCGGTGGTGTTGGGTACGTGAATGCCGGCGGTTGATAAACGGGCCCCGGTGATTTACCGGTGCTGCCGCTGATAGTACTCCCATAGTCTGAGTGATCATCTAGAAATAAATAAATTTATATAACATTTAGCTTCGTATGAGTGTGTATATATGCAAGAAGTTTTATAAACTTGAGCTGGAATATTGAAATTGGCCATAAGAAAAAACTGGTAGCATTAGAAAAGTGGATAAGTTGAAAATGTAGGAAAGTCTTATAAAGTAAAAGCCAGTCAAGCATTGAGCTAACATTGCCTTTTCGGTCGCAAATGTGGCGGTAACCTACCGGCCGGTTTTGCAGTAAACATCTTCAACGACTTGGATAAAGTACCTTTGGCGCATTTAAAATAAACCTCGAGTTGACACGAATGAAAAAAATCGTCTCACAAGACAAGCGTCAGAAGTGCTTGTCCATTGGAATGCCTATTGAAATATGTCATCCTCAAATATTTATAAAGGTCGTTGATGCGTACCGTAATGTGTGCTTCTTTGCGTCTGCGTTCGAATATATTCGCATTAATAAAAACAAAAATGAATTGCAACTGCAGCATTGTAAATTCAAGGGCCATTTAAATCGAATCGAAGTTTATATGTTGTATAGATTTTATCGTCGTTTTCTTTATAAATGACCTCCATAGCGGTCGAGAAATGCATAAAATAAAATCGCATGAAAAACCATCATCGGGTATGTTTAACACTGTAGCTCACACTATTTTGCATGAACTGTTATTTATAAAGTTTGTCCCGCTGCCTAAAAGCCTATCCAATCTTCCATTATGTTTCGATCATCAATAAAGCAGGCGAACCTATTCGACGCATCCTTTATGTCAAATCGACGAATGGACGAATGTGGGTAGCGGGATTGCCCGACGACAGAAGAAGCATCTTCCATGATATACACAGTACCGTTAACAGATTACGATTTTTACCTTCTTCCAATGACTGACTCATTGCAAATAAATGTGACGAAAAATGAATACGAAAGTAAACTATGAAAAACCAATTTTGATTATTTTTTGTCGTTTAAGTGTGTTATCGCTTTGGCTCCCTGTTTTCATTTCAACTAACTCATTCGTTGTGCTAGACACTGGTAAAAGGATAAGAGATGAACGTTATGAACGTGCGGCTGGGCAACGCACACGTGATTGATATATGAAATTAGTTCCATTCGATGATTACAGAGTAAAAGTGGTTCCTGCCACTATAGAAGTTATCAATCGACTACTGTTTCTTTTGCTTCCATGCGCTGTCTTCGACATCCTACAATTCCAGTTTGATGCGGTGGAATTGATATAGTGCCGTCCGCTATATTGCCGAGCGCTCCGCACAACTGAAATAATAGAGAAGCAAATGACTGCTGTCGAGGCAAGCGAAGATTTCATTGGGGGGGCTAACAACGCGTTTGCACAAAAATGTTCGATTTATCAGCCATCGATGACAGAACACGCATTCTTTCCTCGATTACAAGAATTGCCGCACAAACCTAACTATTACAGCTAAAGGGTATTTCTATATGGAATTTGATATAGTGGCCATTGGAAGTGGTCATTTAGTAAAAATAGCCTACTAGGGAATAAATGAGTCAAAAATAAACGTTATTGTTGACAATTGCCAAACGACAAAACGAAACACTAGTCTTTTTTCTTGAAGCTTCTAAAATGAATGACTTAACTAAAATAAGTTTTTAAAAAATTCGCTTGGTCGTTTAGGTTAGTCTGTCTCCTTTTGCTTAATAACGCTTGAAAATTGTGTCCCGGAGCGATAACGATCTCGAGGTAAATTGGCATCAGTTGAATCGACTCATTTTTCCCTGTGTACTACGCGCGTGCATTACCACCGACAAGCAACGACGACTTCGACCACAAAGGCAGTGAGTCTGGCTTTGATGTCATCGCTGTGCATCGCAGCATCGAAGAGATGAACATCAACGCCAGCAGACGCACTCAACTCGACGCCGAGTTGCCGCCGGTTATATTCTTCTGCTTTTAATGAAAAGGCATTATTATGCCAAGGACGTGTGTTTGTTCTCTTTATACCTACGCCTAATACGTCTACTACCTGTCGTAGTTCTTTTAGAACGCAATAAATAATAATAGAAAAAAGCCCTATAAAGCAAAATCCAGAGAGACGAAGAACAAAGACTGAAAGAAGGGAATCGCAGCCGTGAACGCTTGCCCGCTGGGCTTCTTATTTCTTCTAGAACTACACTGCATTCCCAGTGCGAAACTGATACGAATTGAATTGAACTGTATCGGCGGGAAGAAAAATGCAGAAGCCAGGTTCGGCCTTGGTACTATGCAAATGCTACCGGTTATTAAAATAAAATCCGTGAACTGGATACCATCATAAAGAAACTGAATTCCATCATAACTGGTAGTAAAGGCACTAAATATGATTCTGTATTATTGCGAGCACAATGTGGTTACATACCTCTAGGCACTCCTGGCGGTTCGGATGGTGCTAGGAAACCGGCATCCTCAGAGGAAGCGTAGCCTGCCGAGCCAAACGAGCTACCGGAATGCCGGAACTCGTGTGGCACCGCCGGTGGCGCGACCTTCTTGGCAGTCGCTGCCGGCTTCGGTGGCCGAGACATGCCGCCCACTGAAATAACACAAAAACTTCAAATTAGCTACGCACATCATCGTCATAATGTCACATAAAAATAGCATAAACACAAAATGTAATTAAAGCGGGTAGATTGCGACCCCGCAGTGAAATACATTATGTGATAACATGTATAAATGTGTCCCGATGTAGAGTTAAGTCGCATGATAAACGAGCTTGTTTTGCGTTTGCGACGTGGTGGCATTCTTTTTTCGTGTTTCCGAATCAAAACACAAGCAAAATAATGAAATGCACAGTGGGACTAATGGGAGTGTTCGCCGGAAGTCGATCAATCAAATGCGTTGGACTTGCATCAAATTTGAAGATTTCTTTTGTTGTGGTTGTATAATTGCCAATTAAAAGTTTGCTGCTATAATTAAGACGGAAAACTCTTCGATAGGAGCTTGAACTCGGGAAATGAAATTAATGCACTCGAGGTTTACAGTGCAGGATTTCGCGTTGTGTGTTTGTACATAAGAAGCACATTAGTAGATGATGTTCATTGCTCTTGGTGAATGCGAACTGCTGGCGGTTATTACTAATAGTGGGTAGTTACGCTTCCACAAGTAGCAACGCAACTGCTCCACATGTACTAGCATTTATTCGCCAGAATAAGAAACTGGCGTTTTGCGTTGATGGTAAGTGAGCTACTAGGCGCAACTGTTGCCCAAGTAGACAAAGCATCATCAACCGCAAAGGGAGATTGAAATATTAGCCCAAATTGTAGCAAGTTTTGCTTGGCATTGCTGCTTCGCCCATTGAAGATGCCTGCTTCAGAAAATTATGCAAATCATATGGCCACCCATATTGAACAGAAACTACTACTACCACTGGTAGTTGCATGCAAGTAATTTTGTGCACAAATGTTACTAAACTTACTGGAAATTTATTATTTCATAATATTTTTGTAATAATATGTTTTGCAACTTTTATGCCACTTATGCTTATTTCATGAAGGAAGCGTTAAGCATCAGTTAAATTTTAAGAGAATCCTGATTTATTAGTCAGTTTGGCTTTCTCTATGTTTTTCCAAACATTTTTATTAATCTCATGTTCTTGTTTTGTTTTTTAATTAATAATCCTATATGTTCACCTGCATTCAGTATGTAGGATCAGTGAGGTCGCGACTGGCAGGCTCAAGAACGGCTCCACAGAAGTGACGTAAGGCAATTTAATATCTTCGCCCACGATAGAAGAATGCAACCGTGCGACGGCCCGGCTGGCGCCAATTTTACTTTTAGTTCCACTCACATAGCCGACATTAATTACAATAAAGCCAGGATCACGTTTACAAAACCTTAGCGTTCGAAAGTGGAAGACGATTTTTTAATGTGACATTTTTTGGACATCATTAAAAAGTAAATAAATCACAAAAACGAAACAAAAAAGAATCAATTTGTCTTCCAGGGTCAACCAAGTTTTAATTTTTGTGCAAACTAATGCTTGCGCTTGTATAGTTTTTCAACACGATAATAAATGCGACACATTAAAATATATTTGTAAATCCTGCGAGAACTTTGGTAGAGTACAACCAGCAGAGTTCGTAGTCGCCGGTTGAAGAGAGAACATTGTGAGAATTTCAGTACAAGACGGCTGCGACGCGTTGAAAGCGACCATATGGCTTTTTGCCACCAACACACTCCGTCGCGACCTTTTTCTCAACCGAACCCAGAATACAAACTTTGCCAGATCAACAATACTGGCAAGTAAAAAAATCTACACGTAATTTACTTATTGCGATGCATGCATGTACCTTATTATTATCTAACACATACACACAAAAAAGCTTTATTATTCTGTTTTCAATTGAAATTTCTTCATTTCAAAATCAGAGTTAAATATAATTTTCAATATTAATAATTTAATTGTATATTATTTAGAGATGGTTATTTGAACATATATTCCAAGCAGAATGGTATAAAATATAAAGGCAAGAATTTGCAATTTGCCGGTATCAATCGCAATATATTCTATGGTTAGAATATGTTTAAGATAAAAGCTAGTGATCAATTAATCAATCGTCATACAGGAATCTCCAACTGTTTAATCATTAAATGCAACACCTCTGGCCGGGACTCAGCAGGCTTGACTGTGCATAATTTATTATTCGATAATTAATTAAATAATACTTAATAAATTAACGTATTTTATGTACACACTTGATTTACTCACTAGAAATATTGATATACAATTACATAGTATTTTCATCAGCTATTTCTCTTCTTTAATAATTAAAATATTTATCAAGAATTGAATAAATTGCAGAATTGGCTCTATATGTTAATTTTTTTAAACGTACTTGAAAATTAAAAACGTGTGTCACAATCAATAAATATTTCTTCTGGTCAGGGATATGAGGTGGGTACAAAAGTTTACCACATCAACAACTTCGCATAAACAATGTATTAGTGTATGTGGTTTAACAAAATGCCAGTCAGAGTGAAAAGCTGGTGTGCCTACGAGCATTTCCTTAATAGTAAAAAGTTGCGCGGCGGCGCGCCGTATGCGCCTCGATTCAAGAACGCAAAGTACACACATGCAAACACAACTCGCCACAAATAATTTGCAATTCATTCAAGTTGTTTATTAAAAATCAGTATCCCATTCATTCATTATTCATTCATAAAACGGCGGATAAATGCCGATCGACTGTGCTGGCCATTAAATCGTACACCCAATCGGACAACCAACAAGTTGCTTTCATCATTTGCGATTTCGTATCCATCACTATTTTGCATTATTGCATATTATGCACATTGCATGTTGGCATGTTTATTTGTTCATTCATAACGAGCGCAAAATGTCTAGCAATTACTCACGCGTCCTGTTACGCATTTGATACTCAACTAATTCATTTGCTGAGGATGAAAATGCGGTTTGGCCACGCAGAAATCCCAGAAAGTTGACCTGAATTAAATGTATTCGCTTCAATGTTTTAAACCGTTATAGGACAAAATGTATATGTGTTTCTGGTTATGTTAGGTTAGGTAATTAAAAATACTTAAAATCTAAATATTAGGTAAATGTGAATTTCCGCATTGCAATTTTAGCGATGCACGTAGAATACAAGATAGGGGAAACAAGAAGTTATATGATTAATTAATATCAAGCAGCGTTTGAATTAATGGCGTATTCCTAGATTAATCATTGCATCATCGTGATAGTCATGTACTGACATCCTCAGGTTCCAAAGTCGTGAAGTTTACTATTACCACGGCGAGAAAAATCCGCAAAGTGTGTGTACTGGGCATGTCGTTTCGAGCCACGATAAGGAAACGAATGTGACTGCAGGCCGCGCGACTCGTGCAGTGCGCGAATAATTTTTATGAATTAATGACCGCCGCAAATCAGCGATGATAAATTACATACAATTAACGCAAATAACTTCGGCAATTTATTATGCACTTCAAACGCACTAAACAAATATTAACCATAAACGCTAGCAGCCATTTTAATCGCACATACAATATATAAATATAAAACTGTCAAATTAGATATATTTAGATAGCAATACCAAAATAAATAACTAACATGCCATTGTTTGAAGTACAATTTGGATGCTTTCCAAACAATTTGACATGTTATTGTTGTCACTGGCGCGGCCACAGCTTTTGCATCGGCTCATTTCATTATGTCAAATTAATAACAGTGACATAATTATACCAAAGCTATGTCATTGTTAGAGCACACGCCTCTGAGATAGAAGTTTAAATGGTCAAGTTGACACTTAAAGACTAGTCATTTATATTCGAAGTAAATAAGTCACGAAGCCGCATGAAAAGATCGAGTCCGAAGATGTTAGCTAAAGAGGGGAAAACGCACCACTCGAAAATAAATGGTGATTATACAATAATTGCACTTTAAGATCTCGAAATGGTTCCTTCGGATACGACTTTTACCCAGCTCTATGTTCCTTCTTAGTTCAACTCACTCGCAGTATTGTTACTTTTGCGTTCTTGCTCCAAAATTTCTTTATTTTTTCGTTTACGTTCCGGTGGCTGGCATCTCCTTGGGCATGTCTGAATCGCTCACAGTGCGTCGTTTATCTATGAGAGGAGATCGCATTATGTAAAACGTTCGAATTTTGCAGCGAAATTCACGTTTTGGGAATCGTTATATGCGGATAACAGCTTCTATAGCTGGCGAGATTTTTTTTCTGTTATTACTGTTTCTATTCGAGTTGTGCGATAACACAATTCCCAATATGAAAATTCCAATTTTGAAATTCCTTAGGAAGTTGGTTGTTCGCTGCAGAGATGAGAGAAAGAAACACAAAACATCTTATTGAATTTGCCAGCGTTGCTAGTGCATGCCTGAAATGCTGATACTGATGTGAATACATAATTGGAAAGAAGTGCACATCAAGAAATCCATAGAGACGTTCTGCGAGTAAAACTTCTTGATAGTTTATGACTGGTAGATATTCAGAAATTATGTGTGATGATGTTTCTTTTTTCTGAGTGAATCGAAGAATTTTGTTTAGTAACGTTTTCATATATGTGTAGTTTTGAAACTAATGTGATTCACGCCCTGTTCACACATTAACATAATATTCTTTCACTTCGTGGGTGGTTACGGTCGTGGCTTATGGAAACAAATAATTCACCCTTCTACTTGAGCACTACACCATTTACCACACATTAGACCAACGTGAAAATGTGAGAATTCGATTCCAAGTCATGAACCTGCATGAAGCTTAACCCACTCGTGGTTTTAATAGGCCACTATTAGTTTCAACCCTATAATTATCCCTTCGCATCAAAGATTTACATTTACAACTTTTCAAAGGCGCATAATTATCATAAATTATCAGGAAGATATATTATATGGAATATCCTTTAACCAAATCATAAAACAACAACTCGACAAATATAAAATTCTAACAATCGTTCAGTTGTTATTCTTATTTGGACAAACTTAATTTCACATATCTTAAAACTTAATTTAAAACCATAATTAACTAACCCTTTCTTGAATGATGTAAAACACCAAAATAG